GGAGTCCTGGGAGAGCACAGAGACTGTTAAAACCACATCACAACATTCTCAGCCAAGTTTTCATATGGGCTCTCCAAAACCTTGGGAGCTCAAACTGAATATGATGGGCAGCCCTACAAACACCCAGGAGCTTTTATTTTTATTTATTCAATTTGTATACCGCCCTATCCCTGTAGATCTCAGCTCATTCCTTCCTCACAGGGAATAACCACCTTTCTCAATACTTACCAGCGCATTTTCTGCAAGTTCCAGACGTGCCGTAATTTCAGGATCCCTGGAGGAGGCACAACTACATTAATACAGGGAGCAATCCAAATTAAATCTACCATAGCTAATGCAGGAAAATGCTGCATGCACAGGGGTCAGGCTTGGGATTCATCCTTAAGAAAGACAGGTTAAGCCGCCTTCATGAAGGTCCTAAGGGAGTGGGGGGGGGGAGCACCCATTCTCGCCCACTGTGCTCCAGACCTCAGGAAGGTGATTGGCCTGGTCTCTCAAAACAGAAGAAAAGAGCAATACCTTCCCCCTTCCCACCCACCAGGTGGCAGCACTTCCCTTCTAGTACCCTACCCCACAGATGTGGATCATCCATGCAGGACTGGTGGTTGCAGACCGTCAAAAGAGGGATGCCTTCCTGGCGCTTCTCAATAAGCTCATACAGTACTTCTTTGTTATGGACATTCAGCTGGTTCATATACCCTGAAAGCGGGAGAGCAAAACGACAGCTGAGTGACAGCAAAGAGAGTGTAGAGAGAAAGGCTGAGGAGTTCTTAGGCTCGAATTCAGACTGGAGCAAGATAGATCGCTCTGTCTAGGTTCCCAGTGCTCTATCTAGCCATTAATAACAATGGATAGCGGCAATAATTTGTGGCTTTCCATATTTAGCAGTCATATGGCAGTTTTGAGCAAAGCATTAGGTAAATGTAGGTAAAGGACCCCGAGACGGTTAAGTCCAGTCAAAGCATTACACACAGTTCACATAGGAAGCTGCCTTGGTATTGGCTACACGGCCTGGCAGCAGAACTGTCTGGTTCCTGGGTTCAGGGGTCTTTCCCAGACATGCCTGGAGATGCCAAGGATTGAACACTCTGCATTCAAAGTGCAAGCTGCCCCACTGAGATGCACACATTGTTTTGCTGCAACAACCTTGAAACAACCTTGCAAGGCCAATATTGTTACATCCACCATTGCCAGAGTGCTAGTAGTGGATGGGTTGCCTAAAGATACCTAGCAAGCTCTTGGCAGAGATGAGCTACAACAGCTCTCATTAGGGGCATGGGATGGGGAGAAATGGGGAAAACAGAAGACCTAGCTTAATACAAGGCCTGGCTCCTGGTGGCCCTCAGCAGAGGGAGAGGCCAAGATATGTAAACCAATGGAGCACACGGACAGCTCCGTCACTGGCTTTGAGGCAGAAGTGGCCTCAAAACTCTCCTCTGGCTGTATCACTTCTGAGCCCTGCTTTTCACCCTGCTTCCTGAGAGATTTTGTCTCTTGCTTGCCTTGTGTAGAAGCCTCTGGTTTCTGCTCAGGTGAAACGTAACCTATTACACAAAGGCAAGAGTTCTCTCTCTTGTTCCACCCACTTTTGCTTCTGGCTCCACCCACCCATATGACCCCCAGAAGTTTGCCCAAGAGACAATTTGGCCCTCAGGTGAAAATAGGTTCCCCACCCCCACCCTATGCCCACCCCGTCACTAATCTAGTTCTGACCCCAAGAGCTCAGTCTCCATTTCCCTGCCCAGCAGAAGTGAGTCAAAACCTCGGGATCCCTTCCACCTCTACATATTCTAAGGAATCTCCACATGTCTTCCTGAGCTCCAGGAACAGCATGAGTCTCTTGTACTGCTGCAGTCTTCCAGGGAGCCTAAATGGCAATGCCGTCAAGCATTTCTGCATACCCTGCCATGAACTCTTTTTGTCCCTTTTGTGACACTAGCTGTGTAGGGGCAGAAGTTACAGGTACTCACTGGTCCAGAAGCAGCTGTAGGTGCCCACCAAGCCCATGACCACCCTGCTGGCCAAGTTCCAGGGCAGATGCGGAGCCCGGGGAAAGGGCCATTTCACCTCAAGGGGCATCTTCCCATCCCTGGCAATCCTTGAGGTAAGAGTGTCAGCTGTCCCTGCCAAAGAGAACAGCAGATTGCTTTGCAACCTATCACATTTGCCTACAGCTCTTGGTATGTAGTCCTCTCCCCTGCCAAGGTTGTGCTGCAACTTGCAGGTGGAGCCACCACATCCTGCCGTCTCACCTCTGCCTGAGGGCTGTCACCACATTTAAAAAAAGAAAAAAGTGATGAGGCTAAACAACAGGATTAAGCAGAACAGTGCAATGATGAGAAACAGAGAGGTTGCAACTGAAGTTATGTGGGCCAACCCTATAGAAATTGAGAAACTGCTGTTGCAAGTCCACACCCAGCAAAAACTATTACTAAAGCACTTCTGTTGTGTTGTTTTACCCCAGATCTAGAAAAATTAGTTTTGAGGTGGAGGTGTGAAAGGGTGGCAAAGACCACTAGTTAGTGGTGCAGGGATTTTACTATACACATTAAATACAAATATACTGTGAACGAAAGCTTGGAGAGAAGTGGTAATTTTGAGAAGTATTTTGAGGAAATGCCTTCTTTCCACCCGTAATCCCTGATGCACCCATTCTTTTTTAAATTGGTCCTCTAATCAGAGGAGCAATCTGAGCAACACAAACTCAAGAAGTGGCTCTCAAATGTTTTAGGTGGATATTTATTGCACTTTTGTTCATATTTATTTATTTCATTTCTTGATTGTAGAAAAACCTTGAAGTGGTTTACAAAAAGAACAGTACAATAAAACTATTTTTTTTTAAAATAAAACATTCAAAAATAAAAACCAGGAATAAACTAAAAACACATCAGAATTCTAGAAATCTGGGTAATTTCTTTTGTGAGCCGAATCTTCTTCCCATGTGCGCATACAGAGGTGTAAGGAAAGATGCGCCAAATCCCTCAGTCCTCCTCTCCCTTCCTACTAGCCTTCACCTCCTTCTCTTGCAACAAGCAGGCAGGCAGCCACCAGGTGCTCTCCATCCCCAAGCCCACCGCTCCCCACCTGCGCCCTGGTACCCTCCCATATCTCTCCCAGGGAAAGAGGGACATCCTAAGGCAGCATGTCCAGAGTCCACTTTGGGGACCTAATCCGGTCCGCCGGTCGGTTTAATCCGGTCCCTGTGGCAGTTCATCTCCTGGGGTAAAATCTTAAAAAAAGCTCAATCTTAAAAACAACTTTGGTCGGGCCTCACGCATGTTCACTTCATCAAATCTGGCCCCCTTTGAAAAAAGTTTGGGCACCCCTGTCCTAAGGGAACATTCCTAAGGGACGTTCCGGGATGAAATCGGAAGCCCAGGTCGGCTTCTCTCAATCCGGGGCGCCCCTGGAGAAGAGCGAGGGTCCGGCCGCCCCTTTCCAGCCTCTCTCTCTCTCTGCCTGGGGGTCTGGGAGCCCCCTTCCCTCGCCCTTCTCTACCAAGCAGCCTCTGCCGGCTGGTTTCCGCAAGGCCCAGAAGCCCAGCAGGGGCAGCTTCCCCGCCTCGGCGCCGGGAAGGAAGCGGGAGGCCGGCGGCGCCTCTGTCCGCCCCCCGCGCCTCCTCCCCGCTTCTCCCCATTGCACCCCACTCACCTCCTGCTCCTCCTGCTAGCTGCCTTCAAACTCCTCTTCTTTCTTATCGCGGCGAGAAAGAAGCAGCTCGGCCCCAAAGCGCCCCAGTTTTGCAAACTCTCTTCCCACGTAAATATTTTTAATTAATTATTTATTTTTATTTTAATAAAAGAGGCGTAATCAGAAACAGAGGGTCGTAAAGCGTTCTCGGACACTTAGCGGCCGTGAACTGTCGCAAAAGGCTACTCGAGCGGCGCGCGCGCTTTCCGGCAAGGCCTCGGAACCGGATGGTGGTTCAGAGTGACGCGCACGATCGGAGCTTCCGCTAAATGTTGAAGGCGGCCCATCGGGCAGCAATGTCGCTCTACCCCGTGGCATCTCTATGGTGGAATTCCTATTCGCCTCGCCTTGCGAGTTAAAAGTGGGAAATATCCTCCTTTAATTTAGTGAGGAATAATCGCGAATAATGAACCTCCTCCCGCCTTGTTTTATGATACGAGTGGAGAACTCCGGCATTTTGAAAGACAAACAGAAACACACAGAAAAGGCTTTTGTTCTTAGATTAGGAACTTCCTTATGGGTTAAAAAAGAGCATGCTGAGCTCGCTTAAAACATGCTGCCCCCCGTTCATATAAGCATATTGTATTCCTTATCTCTCTGTGTGTGATGCACATATATTTTAAATGGGAGCAAACACAATATTCCATGTGCAATGCCCCTATATTTGGCGCCCTTTAACAGCGCGATCCTATACACGTTACTCAAAGGGACTTGCTTTGTTGCAGGAGACTCGCGGCGCAATCCTGGTGCACTTTTTCAAAGAAGTCCTACTGAGCTACTCCCAGAAAAGCGTGCATAGAATTGCAACCTTTGTATGTATGTTGTTTATTTCAAGTCATAACTTTGACTTACTTGTATCGGATCGGATTTGTTATAAGATGCGCGACCTTTGCGGTATGTGTTGTTGCTTCTTCAGCTTGTAAAGCGCCTTGTGTATAGCAACACAGAAAGGTGATATGCAAATAAAAAAGTGATGATGGCGATTTATAACTGAATCTCATCTCGCCACGTGCAAATCCTTTTCCCTATGGAAATGCGGTGAAGCCGAAAGCGTGACTGGATGTAGCTCGTGAGCATCCAAACGGCAGCCACTCCTAAAGCAAAGAATGGTTCTCTCTTATTGTGAAGGAGAAAAACAAACGCACCGGCGTGAAACGTTTGGCAAAGGACTACATTTCCCAGCAGCCGCATTAGGGTTGACGCATGCCCTCGCGGGGCTAGAAGCCCTCTCCAGCTGGCCGAAGGCTCCCCCGTGCCCCGGTTCCCATTCATCAGTCCCGGAGCCGTGCACGACCTCGGGAGCCGCCGGCATGTCTTCTTCTGCAGCGGCGGAACCCGAGAGCAAAGCGCTGCCCATCGTCGTGAGGACGTACTTCTCCGAGGTCGTGGAAGACGACGGGAACTTCATCCAGGCAGTTTGCAGCCTGTGCAGGCACAAGAGGAAGACCATCCGAGGGCAGCACAAGGCGCCATCCAATTTCACCAAGCACGTGCAGGTACAGAATGGCAGCAAAGGGCCACGACGCATTCGCACGTGAGCCAGCCCGATTTGCTGGCTGGTTTAAGATTAGCGATCCGGGAGCCCCCGTAGGCACGACCAGCATGCAAACTCCCCGTGCAGTCGTGCAAAAGGGATGGCGGCTCAGGTGCTCCGTGCGCTTCAGGGCCGCTTATTATGCTCAGGAGCGCTTTGCCGTTATTAGCCACCCAGCCGCGCGCAGCATCTTGTTTCGGACCTCGATGTCGCCTGGTTCGAGTGCGCGCGTTCAAGCAACCTTGGTCGTCCTCAATAGATCAGATTCAGGCCATGACCCTCCTGCAGTTGCTGATCTCTACCCTTAGGGCTGGAACAGGGATGTGGCTCTCCAGGTGGTGTTGGACTACTTTTATCATCCCCAAGCCAACATGACCAGTGAGTGGTCAAGCATGGTGGGAGCTGTAATCCAGCAAGATCTGGAGAGCCACAACTTCCCTGCCCCCAAGCTAAACAAAGACTACTCTGCATTGCAAGGAGTGGAGTCTGGACTCTTACATCACCTGATTCCACAAATTGTGGTTGACCTCTCCAGTCCTCAAGGATCCTAGTCTTGGACTGGAGAAGGGATGACACATCACGTTGGAGAACCACATCAAAATATTTTCAGTGCATATTTTCATACACATCAAATGCCAAACTACAGCAGATAAATTTATTGCCTTTAGGATGATCTTACTTTAAAATAATAATCATGAAATAGGAGATGCTTAGAACATAAGAAGAATCTTGCAGGGATAGGGAAGCTGTGGACCTCCAAGTGTTGTTGAACCACAGCTCCCGTCATCCCTGACCACTGGCCATGGTGACTGAGGGTGATGAGAGTTTGACGTCCTCTGGAGGGTCACTGGTCCCGTCATCACATGGTTTAGTGGCTCCAGCCAAAGGTCCATAGGAAACCATCATTCTCTTTGGGAAGGCCTGCCAGATGCTTCAGGAAAGGTCATAAAATGAGTGGGAAAGTACCCACCCCCAGTTTTTTATGCCCAGCATTTGGTATTCAGAGATATACTGCCTCTGAATATGTTGATTCTAATCGGTTGTCATAGCTAAGAGACTTTGCAAAAAGCATACCTTAAAATCAGATGTATTATAAAAAGAATTTATTTTTACTTAAAATTAATTTTTAGCAAGGTTAGTGGATCCTTTTGCTTCTTTGCTTTTTTCGTTTAACAATTTGGCAGCATTCTTGCAAATTTCTCTGTAAGGTTATGGAGACTGGATATTTTAAAAGAAAAATAAAGGGGCTTGATTTGACTAATGGGTGGATATCCACATAAGGACTCTGCTAGTGCAATGGGACTTTCCTCCCCTTCAACCCCCATTGGCTTAGGTTGGGATTGGGAGAATCCCCAGAACAGCACATGAGGTGCGGTGGGAGGAGAGGGGAGTTGATTCCATCAAGCAAGCAGAAATGTTTGTGCTGATCTCCTTAGTGCTATGTTAAATTCCTCCCAATATCTGTGAGATCCTGACTCCACAGGCCACTGAGCAATTCATCAGGTCTGTCAGTACTTTTGCATGTGACAAGCATTTATATATTTCTGTATGATTCCCATAATAATTTCTATATCCTATAGCACTGACTGAAATAGTTCTCCTCTGTTGTAGAGAATCCATGGAGAAAAATATCTGAAGCTGATGCACAAAAGGAAAAATATCCATTGCAAACAAATTGGTAGTGGCATGTTAAAAGTTTCTGAGAAAATTCCAAAATACAGTGAGCCTCTTTGGGACCCTTACTCACAGTATCAGCTCTGTGATCAGTCTTTATCCAAAGAAAACCTGGATCAACTAATTCTCAATTTTCTCATCACTGATATGCTTCCCTTGTCAATTGTTGACGGAAGTGGCTTCCACACTTTGATTAAAGGGATTATTCCCAGTGCTGCAGTCACTTCTACAGAAACCTTACGGAACAACCTTGCAAGACAGTATGCCTTGGTTCTTGAAAAAATTAAAAGGAAATTGGACTCAGTTTCTTATGTTTGTACAACTGCAGATGTGTGGATGCATCAGGGGCAAAATTATGTGGGTGTCACATGCCACTGGATCAATTCAGCTAACTTGACAAGAGAATCTGCTGCCTTGAGCTTCCGACGCTTTCCTGGGCCATGTTCATACAGCAAGCTTGCTTCTGTGCTGACTGAGATCCATTCGCAGTATGATTTGGACTCCACAAAAATAACACACATTGTCACGGACAATGGGAACCATTTCCAGAAAACCTTTCAGCTGTTCTCTGGACCCAAAGAGCAGCTGGAGGATAGCTTGGACCAGCAAGAGGGGAGTGATGGGGAGAAGCAAGTGAATCCCCCGGGTGCTGATGCCTGTGTCAACGTGCGCATTTATGAAGCCTTGTCAAGTGACACCGTTGATTCTTCTGACCTCTTCTACTTGCCACCCCACGTGGCCTGCTTTTCCTGCACACTCAGCTTTGTGGCTGCGACAGCTGCTTCCAGAGCACTGGCCACCAACCCTCCATACAGGCACCTTCTCAAAAGCGTGGCAAGCAAATGTTGTGCTTTAAGGAATGTTTCCCAAGATAGCCTGAAAAATGCAGAGCTTGTTAATTACGCCCTCGGAAAGTCTCTTCCCAAACCGACCTCCATATGGAATTCTGAGTTTGACAGTTTTTGCCACATATACGACATGCGTGGCACGGTGAATCTCATAATGGCCTGCCTCCAGCTTCCAAAATTTACCAACCTGGAGCTGGAGTTCTTAGGGGAGTGGTTGGAGGTGATGTCTCCGATTGCTACAGCACTTGACAAACTTCAGACAGAAGAGGCCATTGAGTCTTTCTGCGGTGCTGTCCTGCCCATGGTGCTTGTGTTAAACAGCCGACTTGAGTCAGTGTCTCCAAAATACACTTCTTGCCTGGCAGATGCACTGAAAGGGGAGCTTCAGAAGCAGTTTGGGCACATGCTGACCTTTGACACAGCCGTAAGTAGTAAAAAGACAAAGCCACTAGTCATTGCTTCTGTATCACATCCATTCTTTAAATTGCGTTGGCTGCAAAGTCAAGATGATAAGAAGATCGCTCAGGAGCTTTTCTTACAGGAGCTGCTCCGCTGTGACACTCTGTCGTCGAAGGCTGACAGTCAAGCCGCAACAGTGAAAGCTGCCGCCGATTTTTATGGCTTTGATGATCAGGGGGTGGCGGCAGCTGAGTCTGCATTAAGGAATATTGGGATACAGTTCCTCAACGATCCATCGCATGAGCTGAGGCAACTGAAAAGATACCCAGCCATCGCCAAGCTTTTTATCAAGTTCAACACCACTCTGACAAATTCTGCTCCTGTAGAAAAACTGTTCTGCCACAATGGACAAATCCTGGGGCCCAAAATGGCCTCCCTTCAGGATGATGTGTTAGAGATGATGATGTTGTTGCGGAAAAATTCCCAGTTTCTTGTATGATATATGTCCATAGAGCAGTGGCCTAGAGTCAACATGGTGCCCTCCATATGTTGTTGGACGGCAACTCTCATACTCATCTCTAACCATTGGTCATACTGGCTGGAGCTGAAGGAGTCCCAACAATGACTGGAGTGCCACAGGCTCCCACACCACTGCTCTGCAGCCCAGTTTTTCCACCTGTTCCACCTTCAGAAAAACTCTTTTCATGTTGTTCCTTCTGCTGAGGCACCAATGAAACTGTCACATCTCTCCTATGCATTGCAGAGTGTTTTGGGGCATGTTCTAGGGCGCATACTCAGGGATGGTTCAAGAAAGGTGCTGTTGTTGTTGCTGCTGCTGCTGCTGCTGCTGCTGCTGCTGTTGCTATATTAAGCAGTGTAGGTGTGATGGGCTACAGGGACTCGCCAGTAACTTGCCAGTACCTTGCCCTTAAGTAGACCCCAGTCCCTACCACCAAGCAACAACAAGGCAATGAATCCTGAGGAGGCCGTGTTTGGTCTCCTTGCCTGGAGGCTCCACTTGTGCTAGACGGGGCATGGTAGCTCTCGTTCATCTGCTTGATGGGAGAGAAGGAGTACCTGGAGGATATAAAGCCACAGGGAGAGGGAGGAGGGGCAGTGGAAGGCCAGAGAACAGGCTGGACTACCTAGGCACCTAAGAGGGCTCTCACACAAATAAGGGTGGCTTGGCCCATACTCCCCTGCCAGATGCCTTCTGCAGTCTTCTGCAATCTTGCTGAGTTTTCCTCAGACAGTTGCCCAGTGTGCCTGCATGGTGAGGGCCAGACCTGTGTCCACTCAGTTCATGCTGAGCACTGGACAAGCTTGTTGGCTTTTGTATAAACTTGGTCTGAAATTTGCTGCTTTGAACTGTATTCTTTTGATAAATATTTTACACTCTGTTTTACATAAAGCGTAGCCTTGATTAAGTGACATATACATTTTGTTAAAAGAAAAGAAAACATTTCCATGGTCATGAACTGACAATGCACCCTGAAGTCCCCTCTGACTGTATATTGCACAGGAAGATCATCAGCAATAAGGAAGTTGCCTTTCTCGGCAGCTTGTCCACCCTTCCTGATCTTACCAAGGACCCCTTACATCCCGAGGGACGAGGGTAGGGTGAGCAAGGATTACTCACCTCCGTCACTGGTGCTGTGCAATGCCAGGTCTATAAGCAATAAAACCGCCACCCTGCGAGATTTCTTTATCTCGCAGGGAGTCGACCTGGCTTGTGTGACGGAGACCTGGGTGCGCGAAGGGGCAACAGTTACCTTACGAGAGATGGCGCCCCCGGGTTTCTCCGTCCTCCACCAATCACGGACTGTGGGCCGGGGGGGAGGGGTGGCATTATTAATCCAGGAAGATTGTCCTTTCAGGGCTCTACCATCGCCATCGATCCCCGGCATTGAATGTGTTGGCCTAGTGTGGGGCTCCGAGGAGAGCTTGGCTGTCTGGCTGGTGTACCGGCCACCTAGCGCACCAGCAGCCACCCTGTCAGGCCTATTGGAGGCGGTGGCCGGCTGGGCCTTGGAGTTCCCTAACCTATTGGAATTGGGGGACTTTAACATCCATGCTGATGCCACTCCATCCTCACAGGCTCTGGACCTGGTGTCTTCCATGGCGACACTAGGGCTCTCCCAGTTTGTTTCAGGCCCCACACATCAAGCAGGCCACACGCTGGATTTGATCTTTGGCGTAGGTATAGATGTGATCATGTCTCCTTCAATGAAGGTGCCATGGTCTGATCACTACGCTCTGAAAGCCAGGATTGACTTTCCACCCCCACCCTGCTTAGGTGGCGAGCCGATTTGGGCTCGCCCGCAGAGGCTGATGGACCCTGATAGATTCCGCCAAGCCTTGCGGGACCTTGCTCCCCCTGGCGACTCATTGACTGAGCTTGTTGAGGGCTGGAATACCCAGCTCCTGGCAGCCATCTATGAGATTGCACCCAAGCGCCCTCTGCGACCCCGCAGAAACCGGGCTCCCTGGTTTACCGAGGAGCTCCGGAAAATGAAGCGGGACCTCAGACGGCTAGAGCGAGTATGGCGGGGTGCCCATGACGGAGCCTCAAGAACATCTTATAGGGCTTTTATGAAAACCTATGAGATGGCGGTGAAGGCTGCGAAGAAGTCATACTTCTCGGCCTCCATTGCATCCGCTAGCTCTCGCCCAGTGCAATTATTTAGTATAATCAGGTCTTTAACGTCCCTTGAGGGACAGCCAAATTTAAATAACAATTTGACACACAGCTGTGAGGCATTTGCGAGCTTTTTTGCGGAGAAGGTCTTGTTGCTCCGCCATGACCTCCCTGCCAATTTGGATACAATAAAGGAACTGGAGGCCCCTCGACTGTCCTCGGGTCCAGTATTGGACCACTTCGACCGGATATCCCCAGCCGATGTGGACAGACTCCTCCAAGCTGGAAAGCCCACCACCTGTCCTCTCGACCCATGCCCGTCTTGGCTGATTAGAGCGTGTCCAGACGAGGTGCGGGCCCTGCTGGGGGATATCATCAATTTGTCCCTTGGCACGGGGACATTCCCAGGGGAACTGAAGGAGGCAGTGTTGCGCCCGCTCTTAAAGAAAACATCATTAGATCCTTTAGATCTATCCAATTACCGCCCGGTTTCGAATCTTCCGTTCCTGGGTAAGGTGATTGAGAGAGCGGTTGCTGAACAGCTTGGTGGGTTTCTGGATGAAACATCGGCTCTGGATCCATTCCAGTCCGGCTTCCGCGCTGGTCATGGGACCAAGACGGCTCTGGTTGCCCTAACAGATGATCTTCGTAGACAGCTGGATCGAGGCGGGTCGGGGCTGCTGATTCTTCTAGATCTGTCAGCAGCTTTCAACATGGTCGATCACGAACTTCTGGACCACCGCCTTGCCAACGTGGGGATCCAGGGCACAGTCCTTCAATGGCTGCGCTCGTTTCTCTCTGGTCGGGGACAGAGGGTGGCGCTTGGGGGGGATTGTCATCGCGCCACTCCTTGGTGTGTGGAGTACCTCAGGGTGCGATACTCTCCCCGATGCTTTTCAACATCTTTATGCGCCCCCTCGCCCAGCTTGTTCGGAGTTTTGGGTTGGGGTGCCATCAGTATGCCGATGACACCCAACTCTATCTGTTGATGGATGGCCATCCTGACTCGGCCCCAGACACACTGACCAGATGTTTGGAAGCTGTGGCTGGATGGTTACGTGGGAGCCGGTTGAAGCTAAATCCTTCGAAGACAGAGGTCCTGTGGCTGGGACGGGGCGATATGGGATTGTGGGCAACTCCCATCTCTTGCGAGGGCGCAATTAGTGCCAGCACCGTCCGTTAAGAGTTTGGGTGTAATCTTCGACACCTCCCTTTCCATGGAGGCGCAGATTGCAGCTATAACAAAGGCGGCATTTTTCCATCTCCGCCAAGCTAAGCAGTTGGCTCCTTACCTCTCTCGCCCTGACCTAGCCACTGTGATCCACGCGACGGTCACCTCCAGACTGGATTATTGTAACTCGCTCTACGTGGGGCTGCCCTTGAGACTGACCCAGAAACTCCAGCGGGTGCAGAATGCTGCAGCGAGACTCCTTACGAGGTCTTCGCTGCGAGATCACATTCACCCGGTGCTATACCAGCTGCACTGGCTCCCGGTGGAGTACAGGATCAGGTTTAAGGTGCTGGTTTTAACCTTTAAAGCCCTATACGGCCTAGGACCCTCGTACCTACGGGACCGCCTCTCCTGGTATGCCCCACAGAGAAACTTACGGTCTTCAAATAACAACATCTTGAAGGTCCCAGGCCACAGAGAAGTTAGGCTGGCCTCAACTAGAGCCAGGGCTTTTTCGGCTGTGGCTCTGATCTGGTGGAACACTCTGTCACAAGAGACCAGGGCCCTGTGGGACTTGACATCTTTCCGCAGGGCCTGCAAGACAGAGCTGTTCCACCAGGCCTTTGGCCAGGGCACAGCCTGACTCCCTCCTTTGGCAATCTTCGCGGAGCTCTGGCCCAATGGTTGCCAGTGGCTTGAATTAATTTTATAATGAATGATTTTAGAGTGTTGTTTATGCTGTACTTTTGTATTGTTTTATTGTTGTTAGCCGCCCTGAGCCCGGCTTCGGCTGGGGAGGGCGGGATATAAATAAAAATTATTATTATTATTATTATTATTATTATTATTATTATTAGTGTGGGGCCTCCCCTCTGGCCGCAAGTAAAGGCCAGTCTGAGAACTGCTGCTGTAGAGAGATGATATAGAACAGGGGTCAGCAACCTTTTTCAGCCGTGGGCCGGTCCACCATCCCTCAGACCATGTGGTGGTCCAGACTATTTTTTGGGGGGGGGGGGGAATGAACGAATTCTTATGCCCCACAAACCCAGAGGTGCATTTTAAATAAAAGGACACATTCTACTCATGTAAAAACAGGCTGATTCCCGGACCATCCGTGGACTGGATTGAGAAGGCGATTAGGCCGCATCCGGCCCCCGGGCCTTGGGTTGCCTGCCCCTGATATACAGTGGTACCTCGGGTTACATACGCTTCAGGTTACAGACGCTTCAGGTTACAGACTCCGCTAACCCAGAAATAGTACCTCGGGTTAAGAACTTTGCTTCAGGATGAGAACAGAAATCGTGCTCTGGCGGCGCAGCGGCAGCAGGAGGCCCCATTAGCTAAAGTGGTGCTTCAGGTTAAGAACAGTTTCAGGTTAAGAACAGACCTCCAGAAAGAACTAAGTACTTAACCTGAGATACCACTGTAGAATCTTTCCTAAGAAAGTGAGCTGGCAAATCCCCTGGTTCAAATCTCCCCTCAGTTATGATCCCATTAGATTGCCTCAGGCAAGTCACTCTGGTAGCTCAGTTGAAGACTTCCTCTTTGCATGCAGAAGGACCCAGGTTCAATTCTTGGCATCTCCAATTAAAAAAGCACATTGAGTAGCAGTTAGTTAATTGGGGCAGTATCCAACTAACTTGTTCCATCAGTGCAAGGATTTCACTTATCCTCTGGCACACATCTGCAATAAAGATGTAATAACGGTGGCCTACCTCACAGAACTGTTGTAAGGAGTATTGAGAGAATATATATCAAGAGCTTTCAACAATTGGGTTATGCACTATATAAATGCTAGATATTATTGTTGGATGATTTATATAATGCAGTAGATATGTCAGAACACCCGCATTTTCATGGTTCACTGTACTTTTTTTTGTCAAAATGCGTTTATAACATTTAAATTTCAGAAAGCCACTATATATATTATACTTTTTAAAAGTGGAAATGAAAAAACTGATCATTGAAATTCTTCATAACTCATCAAGCAACAGGCGAAAACCAAAACAGATAACTGTTTTCTGTGGAGAAAGACTGTACTCAGAGCTGCTCTACCCATGAAGCAAGTTGAGGCAACCGCCTCAGGTGGCAGGATTCATCACCTGAATTGACAGCAGATCCTGATGTTGATCTTCCTTCTTGGGCCGGTTCTGCCTATACTCAGTTAGTGAAACTCCTGCATAGGATTGCACCTTCTAGCTAGGAAGTTTTGATTAAAACAATGAGGAGGATGTAAGGATGTTTAAGATTCTTTTGTGTTCTTTGCTTATCAGATTTTCCACAGAAATTGTAAATTTGGATTAAATGGAAAAATAACATGGGGTGGCATTTTGACAAGGGTGATGTCCTGCAGATACGGCACAAAACATGCACGCATGAGCAGCTCTGAGTGCATGATAAACTGCTGTAGAGGCGCCCACAAGGTGCTTCTTCAAATATACATGGCACAGACCACTGAGGGCTGGGGTAGATAAAAGTATATATACCGTATTTTTTGCACCATAACACTCACTTTTTTCCTCCTAGAAAGTAAGGGGAAATGTCTGTGCGTGTTATGGAGGGAATGCCTACGGGTGGCGGGATCTGCTGCAGTCGTGAGCAGAGGATCCATGGTTCCCCTTCCTTCCCTCCTCCGTGGCTCGCTTTGAAACAGCAAAGCGGGAGAAGAGCCGCTGAGTGGGGAGGAGAGAGGGACAGAGAGCCTGCTTGCTTTAAAGGAGCAAAGCGGGAGAGGAGAGGAGCAGCTTACACGAGTGTAAGCGGCTCCTGTCCAGTTGGTTCCTTTAAAGCAAGCAGGCTCTCTGTCCCTCTCTCCTCCCCACTCAGCTCGCTAAATAGCAGCAAAGTTTTTCAGCTCGCTAAGCCGGGGATGAGCGGAGAGGAGGGAGAAAAGCAGAGCCTGCTTGCTTTAAAGGAGCAAAGTGGGAGAGGAGAGGAGAGGAGCCTTCTCCCCTTATACCCCTCTTCTTCATTATTAGCAGCATCCTTCTCCACCCACCCCACGCATGCTTCTTCTCCCCTTAAGCCCCTCTTCTGCATTATTAGCAGCATCCTTCTCCTTGTCCCTTGAGTGTTTTTCCTTCCCTCCCCACTTAAAACGTGGTTACAAAGCACGGATCCACATGGGTCCTCAGGATTTTTGCACTGGGTCACCCCAAATTCACCATCAGATCACATAACATGTCCATGGCTACATCTTGCACCAAAAAAATCACGCACCCACTGTTGCCTGGGGCCGCAGTGGTGCAAAAACGTGGTTACAAAGCATGGATCCACATGGATCCTCAGGATTTTTGCATTGGGCTACTCCAAACTCACTGTCAGATCACATGTCTGTGGCCACAGCATGAACCACAAAAATCATACATCCACTGTTTCGTTTAGAATATTTTTTTCTTGTTTTCCTCCTCTAAAAACTACATGCGTGTTATGGTCGGGTGCGTGTTATAGAGCGAAAAATACGGTAATTAGCAGACCTAGAAGTTAACTGGCAACCATGAGTTTAAGCTGTCATGGTTCTTGGTGTCTGCCCCCCAACCCCCACCATGTATATGATCTGACCTGTTATCCTGGTATGTCCAACAAGCAGTAACACACATCGCATTGAAAATGCTTTTGCTTTCTCAGATGTTGTGCTTGATACTTAATGAGCTGTTATTAGTGTTAGTGAAGACATACTGCATAATGGATTGCCGTAGTATTACCACATCAGTTTTAAGCAAGTTGCCCCATACTTTCACTGAATGTGATGACATTGTGGTTGGTTGTATATTCAGTTGTTGCTGGATATAGTTTCACTCATGGGCATAGCCAGGATTTTTGTTAGTGGGGGGCAGGTCTTTGTTGGGGGGCAGAACCTCAGTTACCTATTTATTTTTATTTAATTTTATTTATTTGGGGGGACAGCTGCCCCTTCCTGCCCCCCCTTGACTACGCCCATGGTTGCACTGACCATACATGGTTGTGATGACAAAACCAGGTGGAAGTACAGTTTACCCTTCCTTAAACAAGGTTTTATGTCACCTCTTGGCACATATTAGTGCTTAGAGCTGTGTCCTTTTTGCGTATGTGCTGAGTTTCTGTGTTCAAATGTCTATTGATTTTTTTGTTTCAGTGTGCTGATGTACACGTTTGATTTTGAGTTACTTGAAATAGGGGAATGTGCTAGGACGCCCTGGGGAACAGTGAAACCTGTGGGATTCCTGAAACAAAGAAATGTGGGGGCGGATGGAGATAGGAGTATGGTGAGTAGTCAGTAGAACAATAATGGCACTTGTTTTACAGGTTTGGGATCTGATCAGAGAGAGGGAGGAGAGAATGAATATGGGAATTCCTGTTTGAATTGCAAACTAGTTGCAACATAGGATATGGGATAAGAAAGGCAAATCCTGCACCTTTCCAGACAAAAAAATAATACTCGAAACTTTTATTAAACTATAAACTATTAAACTGGAGTTAATATGCTTGCAGGAATTATTGCTCCTCCCCCGCTGTAGTAACAAGAAAGGGTGGTAGATGTGTTAAAGGATAGGACTGCACGTGTTTCAAGTGAAAAAAGTAATAAAATAAAAGTTTATTTAAATAAAATATTTAAATAGTTTTTCTAGATATTGCAAGAGATCAACACAATATTGCCAAGCAATAGTGTTCACTATCCCTCGTGAAAGTGCGCAGAAGCTTTACCTATATTAATTAGTGCGATATATCTGTCTACAGCGCCACCCGCGTCCCTTTACTGACACCTTAATGTGGCAGCTACACATGCCACATGATCTATGTATATCTCGGGCCAAACTAGGCATGATAAACACCAGGGGTAAGTCATTGAGCTCTCTAAGTGTATTTCCACAGAAGCCCCATAACACTGAAATGCACTCAGTATATGTGCTGATCGCCAAAGAATTGATGCTTTTGAATTATGGTGCTGGAGGAGACTCTTGAGAGTCCTATCCATTCTGAAGGAAATCAGCCCTGAGTGCTCACTGGAAGGACAGATCCTGAAGCTGAGGCTCCAATACTTTGGCCACCTCATGAGAAGAGAAGGCTCCCTGGAAAAGACCCTGATCCTGGGAAAGATGGAGAGCACAAGGAGAAGGGGACAACAGAGGACGAGATGGTGGGACAGTGCTCTCGAAGCTACCAGCATGAGTTTGACCAAACTGCGGGAGGCAGTGGAAGACAGGAGTGCCTGGGGTGCTCTGGTCCAGGGGGTCACGAAGAGGCGGACACGACTAAACAACAACAACAACATGTGTGGAATATATTAGCCATGCCAGCCACCTGCTTCTCCTGTCAGTCATTGGCACAGAAACGCAACACCCAAATGGGCTGATTTGTGGGGTACCCCGGGATGGGAGCCCATGAGTGGGTGCCCTACGAGGGGGGAGGCAAAACGAAGCCAGCCTCCCTTGTCCGTTTTACCCTCATAAAAAGTTCTGCCCCGTTTTCTGAGGAGCTTCCTGCACAAAGCGACTTACAGTTTTATTTCAAACAGAAGAGTTGCACAACGCGGCGACCAATATAGGCCAGGCGTGTTCGCAAGGGAGGCGCCCCCCCCCCTCGAAAGCGGGCTCGGGGAGAAGTGGCGACTGGCGAGGGGGCGAGCGCTCCCTTCTCCCGCCCAGCCGCGCCTCCGCCCTCCTCGGAGCTCCCCGAGTGGCGCCTCCTTCGAGCGCAGGGCTGGACTGTCCCGCCCGCCCGCCCGCCCGCTCCGTCTGGCTGTTCTGCTGCTGCTGCTGCCCGACGGGCGGACGGAGGCGCCACGGCGCGAGGAAACGGGCACGGCGCTTCCCAGCGCGCCGCGATGCGGGTGAGAGGAGCGAGGCGAGGCGGTGGGGTCGGAGGGCGGGGAAGGGCTGGGGGGCGGCTGAAGGGCAAATGCAGGAAACAGCCGCCCAAAGTTGCAGGAACGGGCGCAGCGGGAAGAGCAGCAGCCGCTGCGTCGGATCCGCCCTTCCCTTTTTGCCTTGACCGCGGCGGACTCCCAAATGTTCCGCTGCTGGATGGCTCCTCAGCGGAGTGTCTCAGGATCGGGAGCACCCAGGTCCTTCCCGACAAATTAAAGGACAGTCCGAGACAGGGAGGAAACTTCCTGTTCCTTGGAAATAGACCGGTTAACTTGGAATTAACCCGTTTCCGGATAAGCAGGATTGGTGCACCAGAGCTCTCAGCCAGGCACACACGAGATCTAATTATTGATGATGATGATGATGATGATGATTGAGCAGGAAGGTTGTTCTGTCAATAGATTTTGGTACCTACCTTGCACATCGGATGAATCAGGAGTAGTGGCTGGACTCAAACTCATCATCAGCCGTAGCCAACCTAGCCAATGGTCAGGGATGATGGGAGTTGTAGTCCAGCAATATCTGTTTATGCCGCACCTGCCATAAACAACTGTGCAGATCTGGCTTAACTGAGAAAAATAATTTGGCATTCGCTCTTACTTTACACACAGTGGGTTCAACACCTGTTATTAATTTATGCAAATTACAGTGGTACCTCTGGTTACATACTTAATTCTTTCTGGAGGTCCGTTCTTAACCTGAAACTGTTCTTGACCTGAGACACCACTTTAGCTAATGGGGCCTCCTGCTGCTGCCACGCTGCCGGAGCACGATTTCTGTTCTCATCCTGAAGCAAAGTACTTAACCCGAGGTACTATTTCTGGGTTAGCGGAGTCTGTAACCTGAAGCGTATGTAACCTGAGGTACCACTGTAAAGCTTTTACTGGTACAGTCAACACAATAGGAAGCCGCACCTCAGTTGTCGAATATTTTTGAAGCCAAACGGGCTTCCGGAACAGATTAGGTTTGACAACCGAGGTCTGGCTGTACTAATAATTCTGCCTGACATTATAAACAGCTAGGAATACAGACGACTGGGTTTCTGTGTTTTGGCTTATGCAGTAATTCTTATTCTGCAATTTTGGTCTACACAATTAGAGGCTGGTCCTTCTGATGTCGTGGCACACACACGCTGGGCACCCACAGTGTAGGGCCCAAGTTGGCACCACTGCACTGTTGACTTAAGTTCAGCTTGTGGTCTACTAAGACAAGCCAGGTGTCCTCCATCTTATATTTGTCCTGCTGATTCTTACTGCCTAAGTGTAGAACCTTACATTGAATGAATTTATTATTTTGGTCACAGACCAGTTCCAGCTCACATACAAAATCAGGGAAGTCATGAAACACAATAGAACCTTACATTTGTCCCTACTGAAATTCATTTTGTTGGTTTGGGCCCAGTTTTCCAATCTGTTAAGGTCCTCTTGAATACTAATTATGTCTTCTGCAGCATTAGACACCCTCCCAGTTTGTTGTCATCTGCAAATTTGATGAGCATCCCCTCAGTTCCTTCATGCAAATTGTTTATAAATACAGTGAACAACAACGGGCCTACAACAGAACCCTGCGGTTCCCCACTTGTCACTTCCCCCCGAACTACAATTCCCATAATCTCCAGTCATTGGCTATGCTTGCTGGGGCTGATGAAAGTTGTAGTTTAACAGCATCTGGAGTGCCAAAGTTTCCCCACCCCAGTTGTAGACATTATGAAAGAGGAACTTAGATGTACAGTTGCTGCTCTGGGCAGCACCCACACAACAAGTGTGGTACTCTTGTGGTCAGACTTAGGACTGAGGAGATCCGAGTTCAAATCCTCACTCAGCCATGAAGCTTGCTGGGTGCCTTTGGGGCAGTTAGTATCTCTCAGTCAAACCTATCTCATCAAGTTGTTGTATAGATAAAATGTGGAAAAGAAGATGAGAGAACCACAGACTAGCCTGAGAAACTTAGATATCAATGTAATAATACTGTCCAAATGTAAAACAATGTTAACCCTTAATGCAACTTGTGAAAATGCTGTTGGTCTATTCTTGGTCTATATGATTACCTTTCATATTTCTTTGCTTGGCACTGGAGAATGAGACAATAAAAATTGAATATATGATATCTTCTGTAAAAGCTGAGTCACTGAAAAGAAAGATAAGAGTGTGAGAAGCCTCTGTGGGCCAGTGTGGCCTAGTGATTAGAGTCCTAGATTAGAACCTTGGAGACTAGGGTTTAAATCCCTACTTGGCCCTGAATTTCACTGGTTGAATCAGCCTCTACCTCACATGGCTGCTGTGAGCATTAAATAAGGAGGGGAGAACCATATCTCCCCCCTTGATCTCCTTTAAGGAAAGGTGAGATGTGAAGCAAAAAGGAATAAACAAGAGTATTTGTTTAGTCACATTCTTTGTATGTCACCTTTCATTGAACAGGAATACCAGAAGAAGAGTCCAAAGGCCAATCTCGCCCAGCAGAGCAGCTAACCAGAGTCCTGTGGGAACTCCATAAGCAGGGCATGAGCGCAGTAGCCCCCTCCATTCATGGACTGTTTTAGAGTAGCAAATTCCTTAGTTTTACTCTGCGTCGTGTACAGGACTTCCTTTCATCCGAACTGAATTTTCCAACGTTCAGCTTCCCTGAATGCTGAGTTATGCCTGCATGGAAGCTGTAACTTCTAACTTGGAAGCCCCACTCTCTAATTTCAGATAGGAAGCTTGTGAGAGATGCATATAGCCTGCCTTTTTTCGGGAGGCCCTCACCGCATGTTCTAGAGCTGATGCTGGAGCTCAAGGCAAGTTTTTAGCATCAAAGCAGAAGATAGGTTAAAGGTGTGAATACATTCAACAGATCTTTGTATTTGAAAATAATGCCGCAAAGGGGCCTGACCAACTTCATGACTGCAGTCTGCGGGGGCGGGGGGAATCTTTCTCTCTGCACCATGATCCTGTTTAAAATTGGCACAGCAGGTGCCCCCTCCAAGAGGAAAACTGCCTCTGTGCCAGTGCCCCCTGGCTCAAACCAAGCCTTGTCTAGGAGGAGTCTGTTGGCATAAGAGTCATAAACTAACACGCTGCTGCTTTCTGCTCTTTCGTTTGTGTTGGTCTTTATTTAGTAGCACTCATCTCTATATTTAGATTCATCCCAGAAGATTCATGAGTGGCCACTATTGTAGGAGTGATTCCCTCGACAGGCTCCCAGCCACTGCCACCTCCTCCATCGGCCTGCTTTCCCGTCTTTCTCTGATTCACTTTTATCTTGCACAGAATCCGTCTGTAGAAGGAACCTGACTGGATTCCCAAGGATGGAGCCCTCCTGCTTTCTGCGCTTCTTGCCGCTCTTGTTGCTGTGCCCAGCAGGAGCCCCCTTCCGGATCTGTGCCTTCAACACTCAGCGCTTTGCCCAAGGGAAGGCAAGCAAGGCCAGCGTCATGGACACACTTGTCAAGGTGGGGACTTCAAGGCAACCCCCGGCGGGTGCCCTGATTCTTCTGGATGCATGTCGCTTCTGTGGGTTGAATTCCTTCTTTAGACAGGATTTGCTCACATGAACAACGTGTATTAACAAGTTCTAATGGGTGTGGAAGGAGTAGGAAGGACAGGTTAGGAAGAGAAGCCACTAAAGTTAGGTGTAGGGGTGGATCTGCTATGAAACTACCCCTGGTTCAAAGCGCCTAATTCCAGAGGAGCCCTAGAAGTGACTTTAGTCTACAGTGCTTTAAAAAATTGGGTCCAGTAGATCCAATTTGAGTTGCATGACTCAAATTGATTAATTTTTTGTTGTATATATTTTGATAATCCCAAAGTTTTTGAGTAAAGTTGTTGTAAAGGTGTGGCAATCTGTTGTGGAACAACCCCATTGAATAAAATAAGAGTGGTTGGTTACCCAGACCTTTTTGCTGGTTGCGAATGGGCCCCCATGGCAGTTCAAGTTTCAGGGCCCCCAAAACATAGGCCCGTCACTGGTTAGGAGCTCCAGGGGAGAGCCAAAGTTCAGTGGTAAGAACACATGCTTTGCAGGCAGAAGGTTCACCTTTAAATGTGAACTGAATCAGAATTCTCTCCCATTCCCTAGGTATAGCCCAGACACAGATTTACCACCTTGTTTAGGACTAACATGTTGGAGTCTAACAACATTTGGGCTCTCTACCCCTGATATACAAGCTAATGTGTCTCTATTCCCTCCCACAGATCCTCTCTCGTTGTGATATCGCTGTCCTACAAGAGGTGATGGATGCAAAGGGAAAAGCAGTTCCTGCCTTGGTGGCTGCCCTGAATCGGTGAGTGTGAGTAATATGGGAGAAATGCGACCAGAGGAAGAGGAATCCATGAAGAGATAGTGGAGCAGAAGACAACAGGGCCTTTGGAAAGAATATGGACTGGGAAAGAGAAATGAATGGGAGGAAAGCTGAACAGTTGCATGATGGGAGCAAGGCTGGCCCAGATATTTTGGTGCTTGAGGTGGAAAAACCCTTCCCCCTAAATTTTGTTGGGCATAATTCCCCAGGCTGTTCTGCATGAGTCTCACAGGAATGAGAGGGAGATCTGTGCAAGATTAGCAATACCATAATACCATTTATTTCAATGAGGCTTGTGCAGGAAAATTGCCAGTGTGCTGTGATTTGTCTCATGGCAGGACTGTGTCAGAATGTTGCATATGGTGATGGGGTGTGTGTGTGTACACTAACCCCCAGTCAGGCAGTAAACAGAATACAGTGGTATCTCTGGTTATGAACTTAATTTGTTCCGGAGGTCTGTTCTTAATCGGAAACCGTTCTTAACCTGAGGTACTACTTTAGCTAATGGGGCCTCCCACTGCCACCCCGCTGCTGGTGCACGATTTCTGTTCTCTTCCTGAGGTAAAGTTCTTAACCCGAGGTACTACTTCTGGGTTAGCAGAGTCTGTAACCCGAAGTGTTTGTAACCCAAGATACCACTGTACCAGCTAAGGAACCCCACTGGGTTCATAGCTCTGAGGCTCATGCTGGTAGTCAGGGGAACTACTGAACCCAAGGCCAGCCAGCAGGAGCTCATTGAACCTGATGCACAGCACCAGGGCACATAAAACCAGCACCAGGACTCTCACAGGTGCCTTCCTGTGGGCCCAAAAAACAGAGTGCCTCGCACAGTACCTCACCTGTCCACAGCCCAGGGAATGCATCAGGTGGGAAGCTATGGAACATGGGAGCGTGCTTGTCTTCAGAGGGGAGGATTGTCCCTTTAAGAGGCTCTTCTTTTCCATAAGGGGGCAGAGCATAGGAGAGATGGAGTAGACAGAAGAAGAGCTCGGTTCACTTCCAACCTTTGTTGGAACAAGTTGCTTCCTAGAAGCTCTCCTTAGTGTTGTCCTACTCCAAACTATAATGTGGTGAGAATAGTAAGTGCTCACCTTTTCACATGGCCAGGGCTTTCTCGGCTGCGGCTCCAATCTGGTGGAACGCTCTGTCAAGAGACTAGGGCCCTGCGGGACCTGACATCTTTCCGCAGGGCCTGCAAGACAGAGCTGTTCCACCAGGCCTTTTGTCAGGGCGCAGCCTGACTCCCTCCTCTGGCAATCTGCACAGAATTTTGCCTAACGGTTGCCATCAATTTGATTTTATTTTTATTTTTTTAAAATATTTATTAAAGTTTCAAGAAATACAAAAAAAGAAAAAGAAAAAGAAAAATATACAAAGTACAGAATATAGCAAAAAATAGAGCCATCAATTTGATTTTAATTAATTTTTATAATGAAATGTTTTTGGAATGTTGGATTATTTGATTGTTGTTAGCCGCCCTGAGCCCGTCTTCGGCTGGGGAGGGCGGGATATAAATAAAATTTATTATTATTATTATTATTATTAGTATTAGTATTGAAGGCAAGGCTATCAGCGGTTACAAGCCATGGTAGCTATGATCTTCCTCCATGGTTGGAGGCAGCAGTTTTTTCTGAATACCAGTTGCTGGAAACCACAGGTCCTGCTTCTGGACTTCCCATAGACATCTGGTTGGCCATTGTGGGAAAAGGATGCTAGACTAGATGGGCCTTTGACCTGATCCAGCTTGGCTCTTGTGTTCTCACCTTCCAGTAGCTCCTGGAGTATCAAGGGACTGAGGTCCAAGAGTTGACACATACCTTAGGTGGGGTAGAGGAGCAAGTCACACAGGCTAGTGGTTCTCCACAGCAGCACAGTGACCATACTGAGGGAGAACACTGGATCTGGGAGCTTTATTGTTGGCAGCAGCAGAGGATTGGTTCTCCTGAATCACCCTACTCCCAGGACCAAGAGGATTCTGGACTGTAATGATGGTGTCCTGGCCTGAACTGCCTGAAGCTCCCTCCTCTGACCTGGGTGGTACAGGAAGCGAGTGTCTGACTTGCAAAACTCCCACATTGCCTTATATTAGGGCTGGAGAACCTGTGGTTCTCCAGATGTTGTTGGAATTAACTCCCATCAGCCGCAGCCAACAAAGGCCAATGATCAGGGATGGTAGTTGTAGTTCAGTAACTGGAGGAACACAGGTTTTCCATTCCTACTTTACAGTGAGACTTTTTCTCTATTTATCCACTCACTGGCTGAAGTGCTTTTTATATATCCACGTATATCTTCAATGCAACTGAATTCTCTTTTCCTGTCAGGTATCATAGTTCTAGTCCCTATACCTACCTCACCAGCCCTCTGCTGGGCCGGAACAACTACCAAGAACGCTATGTATTCATATACAGGTGAGTGTCATGAGTGTGAGTGTGCATTTAGATGATGATGGTGATGAATTAACGTTTATATAGTGATTTTAGTACATATTATCGAGCTTTTAACTACATTATCTCAGATATCCTTTACAATCCTGTAAGATATGGAGAAAATAATACTGACCTATCACAAATGGGAGATTGGAGGCTGATAGAATAGAAGCTTGGGGTATGTCACACTTTTAAATTGTGTCTTACTCCCTATCTTCAGAGGATGAGGCTGTGGGTTCAGAGGAGACACCAGACTGCCCTGGAAGCTCTGGCACAAGAGGAGCCTGTTTTTGCCAGCACCTTTCTAGCAATTATTGCCTTGTTCTACCTTAACTTACCGTACCTTCCTTTGCTTTGCCAGAGCCTGGACTTTGCTTTATCTTGCCTTGCTTTGCTTGACTCTGTGCTGCCTTGGCCGAACCCTGGACTTTACCCTGCTCTGCTGGACCTTGAACTCTTGTCCTGCTTTTGCCAGAACTTTCATGCTGCTGTGGCCATCACTTGGAACAGAACCAGGTTATTTGAGGGAGGGCCTTCTCCTGTACAAACCACCCAGGTCACTGTGGTCTGTAGATGGGGCTTTCATGACTGTGCCACATTTTTAAAATGCAGAAATGATGAGACCCTTTTATTGCAAGAAAAAAGCAATTGTTGGTGCCCAATCTAGGATGTGCTATTAACCTTGGTGAGGGCTCTGCATCAATTTCCTGCCCCACATATTTTCCTTAATTGTAATCCCCACAGATGCAAGGAGTCAAGTTTCGCTCTTAGCAAATATCCACCACTTATTTCATCCTTATTCGCTAGACCACAGATAATGTGAAATAAATTATTCCTTTTGTTGCTCACACAGCACTGTCTCTGTAGGTACAATCTAGCCTTCAGCTTCACCCTGGGCGCTTCCAAACTGTTCTTGTGTAGGACTCAATCGCATATCGGCCACTTCAGGTTGCACAATTGCAGTTGATTGGAAAGTGTTGTACAGCAAACCCACATCCCTAAAAGATTTCACTCTTTGTGATCAGAAAACTGATACGGAAATGTACTGGAAAGTGTGCTTTAACACAATGTCATTGTCAGGGAACTGCCATCAGCTCAGAGGCGAGAGGTGGAAGGTTGTGTTACAGGGAGTCTCTGAAGATCTTGCAAAGTAGTTCTTCCTCTGGTGAGGAGGGAAGCCACACCTCCAGTGGGGAGGGGGGTGCAAGGATCAGAAGATGCTAGGGAGAGCCTCAACACCGAGCCTGAGCAAAGCGGAGGGGAGGGAAGTACTCCTTTGCCAGCGCCTGTTCTGCGCAGTAGTCTTAGGCACAGAGAGGGGAGGAGAAAGTTGGGGGTCACACGGTTGTTATGCTGGGGAAGGTATAAGAACCGCCCACTCCCAGATTCTGCTAACGACTAAGCAGACATGGACTTGCGACTCTCTGCACAAAATAGTTTGTACAGATAATAAAGCCTAAAAAAGACAGGTTGGAGTCTTGCCTGTTTGCTCTCGAGCAACCATATCAACACCTAACAGTAATCTAATCTCCCTGTAAACAAATCAGCCTCAATTAAAATGTCATTTGGAAGTAGCCCATGTGTTATCCCTGCTGCAAGCCTGTGATGGGAGCCTTGCCAGGGAGTAATAATAACTACTACTACTACTACTACTACTACTACTACTATGTACTAATATTTATATGAATACCTACTGAGACAATCCACAAAAAGCAATTTTATCATTATGAATTACTGTGGAAACAAGAAATATTGGGGGGTGGGAGGGTGCCAAATTTTGTCCTCGCTCAGAGCACCACATTAAAGTCCACCCCTGCATATTTTCACCTCTTCCTTGGGGCCAGAGTCTGCATTTTTTCTGTGTGCTCCTCTCCCCTAGGGAACAGAAGACTCGGATGCTAGACTTCTACTCCTACGAGGACAGACATCCAGACCGGCCTGATGTCTTTGCTCGGGAGCCCTTCATTGTCCGCGTCAGCATTCCAAACAAAAGTAAGGGGCCTAGGACATCTCAGGAGTTCTCTTTCTGCATGGGGGAGAGTGGGGAGCTTGAACTTCCAGGGGGTGATATCTGGGTTTGGTATACATTTTGTTTTCTGGAAAGTACAAGGATTGGATGCTACTCTGGAGGAAGGGTTTTGCATAAGTCTATAAAGCTAATTAGGTACAGAATCAGAAGTCTTCCTCTTCTTCTTCCTCTTTCTTTTTTCTTTATTTCCTCTCTTTTATTTTTTAATATTAAAAATGCTTGGTATTTGATGTTAACTTTGGTGTATTATTTTTTCTCTTTTTTCCAAGCTCTCATAAAAAAAATTATATTAAAATAATAAAAAAGAGGGCTGAGAGTTATTAGGAGACTCCTATTCCCCTTACAGAGCTACAGTTTCCGGAGTTCCCTGGAAAGAAGGATTGACTGTTAAACAATTGTGAGAATTGTAGCTCTGCGAGGATATTGGGGGGGGTGTCTCCTCTCAGCACCCTTAGCAGACTATAGTTCCCAGGATGATTGGGGGGGGGGTGTTGAAAGCCATGACTATTTAAAGTGGCATGATACTGCTTTAAACCTATAGTGCAGATGCAGTCTAAGAGACCACCTACTTTCCTCCTGCATTTTCTTAGGTCATCCAAGCAAACATCTGTTGACAATAGCATTCATACAGCATGACCAGTTTGGACATAATAGAAAACCATGGGGTTTTGTTATGTGAACAAGCTGCAACAAACCTTGTTTTTGTGTATTCCACATTCTCCTTTATCATATGCTAGAGTAGGAAATCAGAAGTATCCAGACAAACCATAGTTCCTGTGATGTATGAACTCAGGGAAATGTGATTTGCTCAAATTAAGTTTAGTGAGAACAAGCCAGGATCAAAATAGTGGTTTCAGATCTTGTTTTGTTTTCAAACTGTAGGGGCTATACTGAGTTGGAATTCCAAGTTGCCTAGATTACTCTGTACCTTGTGGTTACCTTTTTCTCCATTTCCATTCTTGAGAACTCAAGGAGCTGGTGTTGATCCCACAGCACACAATGCCCAAGGCAGCTGAAACTGAAATAGATGCTCTTTATGATGTTTTCCTGAGTGTGAAGGAACGCTGGGGCACAGAGGTAAGGAATGGGGACTTGCAAGGGAGCTGAGGTTTAAAAGAATGGCAGGGGATTTGCTGTCTCACCGTGCATCTACATGGGAAATTTTTCTGCTGCTTCACTGCTGCAGCTACTACTGACCATGTCCAGCCATTGTAATGTTTGCAATCTTGTTGACCATTGGTAGATATCATGGACTGGCTGGAAGCAGAGGAGTCATGGGAAGCACCAGCTGGGGAACTCCAAGGGGAAGAAGGCTCAGAGTCAGGGGAGTGGTTGTAGGATGGCGATGAGTGGTCAGAGGGAGCAGTCTGGGAGGAGGTGTCAGAAGCTTAAGAGGTCACAGGGTTTAGTGAGCAGGAAGAGGCTGTGGCAGAGAACAGTCCAAAATCAGAGGTATAAGTGGAAGTTGGGGAGCGGGGAGAGGCAGAGTTCAGGCAGGCTGCTGAAGAAGCCAAGGACTTTCCCCCTCAAACTACAACCAGCCCCCCCTTTCCCCTGGTCTCCCAGAAAACAAAGAGGGCAGAGCAAAGACAGACAAGGCAAAAAAGTCCCAGATTGCTTGGGAAGGGCGGGGGGGGGGGGAGAGATGAGAGACTTAGAGAGCAGTGGGAAGGCAGGGATCTTCAGTCCTCACAACTGCCCCATTGGGGCAAGACCTAGTTGGAAGAATTGCTGTGCTCATTAGGCCTGAGCTGTTTTGTTTCTTTGAATAAAGAGTTAACTTCACTGACACCTTGATAAGTTATTGCTGACTGGCAAACGGCTTCCACCTTGACAGTAGATTCTGCCATATTGGAAATATGTCTGGATGAAGCCTGTGATGCCACCACAACCAATATAGCTTGCTTCTCAGACAGAGCACAAGGCAAGTTCTCTGATGTTGAGACAAGTATATGAGATGGCACATATTGGAGAAGCTGGTCCTTTAGGTAACCATGCCCCAGGCGGTTAGGTTTCCTGTCCTGTTCCTTGACATAAAAAGTTCCTCTCCCCTAATTTGAAGGACAAACACCATCTCTGCTTGAGAACCTGGCAACTGCTTATTTTCCAACCAGCATCTCTTTTCTGCTCTCACTAATCCCGTTTCTCACTTAACGAATCTTGGCCAGTGGATTTTTTCTCCTTCTTATTCCTCCCCAGGATATGATTTTCTTGGGTGATTTCAATGCTGACTGTGGCTATGTGGCAAAGAAACGCTGGGGACAAATCCGCCTACGCCAAGACCCTGGCTTTCACTGGCTCATCGGTGACAATGCCGACACCACTGTTCGGGACACAACCCACTGTGCCTATGACAGGTGAGATCCTGGAACCAGCCTTACTGGTCAGAGAATGAATTGCATGATCCACTCTACTTTAACCCATGCCTCACTGTTCCTTACACCTAAACAGGATTGTGGTGCATGGAGAACGCTGCCTGGCTGCTGTGGTGCCTGGATCTGCTCAGCCGTTCAACTTTGCCAAAGAATTTGGGCTCTCAGAAGCAGAGGTACCTAGAAATTCCTGTTGGGAGGGGGAAATTGCTTGCTGATAAGCACATAGTACGGTATGTTTCCGCATGCACTGGGCCAGTGACATATTGGGACAGCCCCATCGTCATCATGGCAGCCATGAAGTCCTGAGCCAGTTGCTTTGGCATGAATGTTGAAGTCCCACAGAACCAGCAGCCTGGGAGTCCTCAGCACCGCCTCTGAGACCAGCTCTGTCAATTCAGGCAGGGAGACTACTGGGTGGCGAGGTGGGCGGTAAACCAGCAGAATCCCTAATCTGTCCTGATTGCCCAGTGCCAGGATCCCCCCAACTGGACAGAAAGCCTGGACAGAAAACTGGACAGAAAGCCTGGAGAGAGAAATGAAATCTCTATAGACCACAGCAACTCCCCTCCCTGACCCTCAAGTCTGCCCTGATGTTGCACCAAGTACCCAGGTTGGCATGGCTGGGTGAGACCAACTCCACCCTGCACACCCACCCAGGTCTCAGTGATACAGAGCGGGTTGGCCTCTGCCTCTGCCGTGTGCCCCTTACCTGCCCTGTCCCCCCCACACACCCAGAGCCACTGTGCTTGGGGTCACCTCTGCCTTCCCCAGCTCCTCTTTACCTAGAACACATTCTACATTCCTTATTTTAAAACAACAAACCCCCCAAATTTCAAAACACATGTTAGTAGCAGTTAAAAACAATTTAAAACATTTTAAACAATTAGGGCAATAATAACAGCAGTGCAAACCCCCAACAAATGCCCCTAACAATATCCGAACCCAAGAGTCTGTTCAGCCACCTCAGCTTTGCTGCTTGAGTCAGTCAGTGGAAAAGCCCTGCAAGGCAGGGAGTAGATCTTCCAGGACTGACAGCCAAGGTGGTTGATGCTTCTTGCTTACCTGGAATGAAGGGAGTGTGATTGCATGTAGAAACTCTCCTAAAGTACAAAAAGTTACATTATTCATTCTTGCATTTCCCCCTACCTTTTCCTCCAAGGAGTTCAAGGGGGCATATATAGTTCTCCCTCTCAATCCCCACAACATCCCTGTGAGGTCGGTTAGGCTAAGAGGCAGTGATTGACCCAAGGTCACCCAGTGAGCTTCATGGCCAAGTGGCGAGTTGAACCCTGGTCTCACAGGTCCTAGTCCGACCCTCTAACCACTGCACCATACTAGCTCTCAGTTGCTCCTCTCACTTCTGCTTCTGTCCCCACCCACCGACCCTCAAGCTGAAGAAGGTTCCCCAGTCCTGATATAGAGGGTTACAGGGTTGCCCATGCCTGCATTAAAGCACTGGAATCTGCTATGGAAAGGAACCCTTTTTTTGTACAGGGGATAGAAACCAGATCTCTTGTTGCCCAGCTCCTCATTTTCACTTTATCTGCTGTTTCAGGCTTTGGAAATCAGCGACCATTATCCTGTAGAGGTGGAACTGAACAGAGCCCATTGGAGATGCCAGCAAGCCAGTCCAGCTGGCCTTGTGTTGCTGGCCTTAGTCATGCTGGCTGGCTCAGGATATGGCATCTAAAGCTGTTCTGATACCAGGGGTCCAAATGCTGGTGGCTGCCTTGACTCTACAGTGACAGAAGTGTAGAACTGCCAAGAGGATTCCCTTTTTTTACATGAGAATGGATGGCTTGCCTGTGGTCTCCCATGGAGTGTGCTTTGACGTGGGACTTTCACAGTTCACACTTGGTCAGCTAGCATATTTTTGTTGCCCCTGCAGTCCAGTACAAGCAGATTTCAAACACTGAAGGAAGCAATATATTGGTGCAGTCGGAGCTCCCTCTGCAGCAGAAGGGAACGTGGATCTTTCAGCACAACTGGACCACTTATAGGAAGGTGAATTCTGTCTGGCAACTGCACCAAAGAAGAATTGCATGGATTTTCAGGCACCCTCATTCTCTTTCAGAGTCCAAGCTTCCCAGGACCAGATCTGGGTACTGTTTCAAGCTGCTTCAGAAATTTGCAAAAAGGGAATCAGCTGGCTGCTGATGAAAGTTTGTGTCACTGCTCAGTTACAATCAAAGAATTGGGATGGGCCTTGAAAAGGGCCAACGAATCATCTGACCTTTTGCCAGAAGGACCTATCCACACACAGTACAGACATGGGACTGTACCATTCTGGACTACAGGTGGGGTTCATTGAAACTGAATGCTGCTCTGTGTAAAAAACTGCCTCTCTGTGAAAAGCTGGCATATCAGAGAGAAGGAGGCCCCATCTGCACCATTTAAAGCAGGATCACAGCACCTTAATCAGCCATGGTTTCCCCCAAAGCATCCTACGGGGAGTAGTAAGTTAAGGGTGTTGAGAGTTGCTAGGAAGCCCCTGTTCCTCTCACAGAGCTACAATTCCCAGAGTTCCCTGGGCAGAGGGATTGACTGTTAAACTAGTCTGAAAATTGTAGCTCTGGAAGGAGAATTGAGGTTGCTCCTTGTAATTCTCAGCACCCTTAAGAAACTGGAGCTCCCAGGATTGTTTGGGGGAAGCCATGGTTGTTTCAAATGGCATGATACTACTTTAAATGGGTGGTGCAGCCAGAGCCAGAAGCTGCTATCATTCTCCCTGTTGTGTTAATTCCCAGGGTGCAGGGAGGGTTTTTTTTATAGGAGGTGGAGCCTACCTGCATTTTAAAGTAGCACAGTCCCAATAAAGCTTCACGGAGGACTTTTTCCACATGAGTAAATCTCAATGCCCAACCTAAAAAAAGTCTTCCAAGCAGAGGCGTAGGAAGGGGGGGCAGGGGGAGCAGGCCTTCCCGGGTGCCCTCACTGAGGGGGGTGACATTCGGTGCACCGCCCACCCATGACTCCCAAGCCTACCCCGAGCCTTTGGAGTAAGGGGGGGGCTGGGCCACATTCCCCCCTTCCCCCTTTGTTTTGACAGCTTGGGGGAGGCTTGGGAGTTGCGGGCAGGCAACATGCTGAATGTCTGCCATGGACAGCTTGCCCCACCCCCATGAGCAGCTTGCTCCGCCCCTGGCTGCAGGGTGCATGCGCCACTCCAGGCACCCTCTGCGCCATGCCCTCCTTGGGAGCACACCCACCCTGGGCAGAGTGGGAATATGCTGTGCCACTGCTTCCAAGCCAAAAAACATAAGCAGAACTTCACCACCTTTCTAATCCTCCTCCTACTGCTGAAGTTCTCTTTAGGAAGAACTATTAAGGAAGTGCAGCCGAGATCTACCTCTCAGTCGCTTAAATAATTTACCTCTTGTACTTCTTCCTCACCCACAATTGATAGGGTGATCTATCAGCAGGTCAGCGTGCTCAATGATCAGGCTTTTCCCTCCCTGCCTTTTTTAAAAATAAGAACAGGTCATATGTGCTATTCTTCCTGAAAAACAGGGCAGTCTAGGTGAAAGAGAAAATGGTAAAGGACATACAAAGAGGAACCGTGTTCTCAGAATGGAAAGTAGCACTGAAACTTCTTGCCATTTTTGACTCAGGGAACATTCTCATAAGCAACAATATGACAAAGCTCTCTCTCCCCCCCCCTCGTGTGTGTGTGTGTGTGTGTGTGTGTCTATGTGTGTGTGACAGAGAGAGCACATTGTGTAATCTCATCCTCTTACTCTATAGGAATCAGTAGATGCCTATTTTCTCCTGTATAAAGAGGTGCACAGTAACATAGGAAGATGCTTTAATGATGACTCAAACCACTTGTCTGTCAGTCTTCTCTGGTTGTGGCTCTGTGGGGCTTCAGGCAGGGGTCTGGCCCAGTCCTGCCTGGAGAGGCTGGGGACTGAACATGGGAATTTTGCATGTACAGTGGTACCTCAGGTTACATACACTTCAGGTTACATACGCTTCAGGTTACAGACTCCACTAACCCAGAAATAGTACCTCGGGTTAAGAACTTTGCTTCAGGATGAGAAGAGAAATCGTGCTCCGGCGGCGTGGCAGTAGCAGGAGGCCCCATTAGCTAAAGTGGTGCTTCAGGTTAAGAACAGTTTCAGGTTAAGAACGGACCTCCGGAACGAATTAAGTACGTAACCAGAGGTACCACTGTAAAGCATGTGTTCTGCCACTGAGCCAGAGCCCTCCTCTATCATTCTGATTTCTAAGTTGCATTAAAGGACAGCTTTGAAGCTGACAAGACCAAACACACAGTTTAGAAGGCTGTGCCATAAATCAGGTGCTATGGATTTTTCAGTTGCTTTGTTTTCGGCTGTGGGTCGGTTCCCTCTCTTTCTAGGAAGAGACGTATAAAGAGGGTTGGATATGGATTACAGTATATATGTTAGTAGAATTTTCATGCAGTAGAAACTCTAAACTCAATGATAAAAAGCAAATGCTTTTTGTGATGTTCTATAATGGTTTTCTGTAGCCTATCTTGGGTCATGATTGAACTAAACTTCAGAAGATAATTGGTTTAAATAAGGAACATTTTCCAGGGGGGTAGTCATGTTAGTCTGCTGCTGCAGCAGCAGCAACAAAAAGACTTGTGGCACTTTAAGATGTAATCCCTTTTATTATAGCAAAACCTTTCATGGGGTGTAATCTTCAGGTATGGGCAACAAATGTAAGGATGGAAGTGAACTGCAATGGAATACAAAAAGTACAGTCTGACAATTCAACTAGAGCTTGAATGTATGCAAAATGAGGAACATTTAATCCATGCCAAAATGATGCAGCTTGGTTTCAGTGGTCCTCAGCAAGGTTCAAAAAATACATCAACAAATGGACCTTCTCACCTTGACCATTTCCAATGAAGACCCTCCAAAAGATTTGTCCTGATAGGACAGTATAAAATTTAAAAATGTATATACACATAGCAGTGGGCCTCTGTATACCATGCACCTGTGCTTTAATTATACCAACAGAAAAATCTGAAATGATCAATAAAATAATGAATTAATAAAAGATAACTGCTAGATGTGATTTAATCAGAGAGAAATGCAAAAAGCAGGTATCAGGGGTTGGTCAGCAATAGATCACACAGAATAAGCGAAATCTTTCTTAGAAGAAACAAGATCTGCTCAGGAGTTCCAGGCCCAATGGGCACAGCAAATCTACTTGGTAGATCTTGCCTCTATGAGGCAGTTGTGGGACTGAAGGTCCCTGCCTTCCCCCAGCTGCCTGTCTCTTCCTCTCCCACAATTTGAGACTGTGCTGGCGTGCCTGCCTTTGCTTCTCCCCCGTCATCCCTCTTCTAGTCCTGGGAGGTCAGGGAAGAAGGTAGCTTGTCACACCAAGAGCAGGGGAACTCCTGGCTTCTTCACCAGCCTGACTCATCTCTGCCTCTCTGGCCTCCCCTCTTGCTTCTGCACGTCTCTCTGCCACAGACTCCCTGCTCACTAAACCCTGTTACATCTTCAGCTTCAGACACATCCTCTTCCCAGGCTTCTCCCTCTGACTACTCATCATCATCTCACCACCAAGCCCTAGGCTCTGAGCCTTAGTTCCTTGGGGGTTTCCTAGCTGGTACCTTCCACCATTCCTCCGTGTCCAGCCAACCCATGACACAGAGAGACGGGAGAGAGAGATGTGTATATGGACAAAGGGATCATTTATGGACAATCCCTGAGGCTGCATATACTGTTCAGCTTATTCTGAATGGTTGCTGGTTCTGGAAGGACAGTGGCAGCAAGTGAGGAGTAGGGAGGAGAAAGTGGGAACCTGACTTCTGGGGTGCCCTTCTCTCTCAGCAAGTAATCATGCTGGTGTGGCCCAGCACTTTCTCTGCTATGTTGTCATATGTCAAACGCAACAGTCAGTACAAAGGCCTTTTCCCTCCCCTGCCTGGATGCTGATGCAGCAATACAGTCCTTTGGGCTATCATCACCCTGCAGCATCAGCTCAATACATACATCAAGGAACACCAGGGCTATGGGACAGAGATTCACCCTTCTGCTCATCTTTCTGGGCGTGCAGGTTGGGGCAGGAGCCTTCAAAATCTGTGCTTTCAACATACGCAGTTTTGGGAGAGCCAAGGCAGCAAACCGGAGGGTCATGGGAGCTCTTGTCCAGGTGAGTTTGTGATTGATTTGGACCAAGGGCAATGGTGATAACAGTGCTTCATTAGTTTAATGAGCAATTCTTGCTCTCAGCCCTGCTCAGAAACCATAAACTGTATCCCTAACCATAGAGATCTGGGGGCAGCTGCGGTTATGGCAGAGGTAAAAGCACTGTGGATGACAGGCTGCAAATGTATTCCTGCTACAGTGATAAGCAAATAGAATCATAGAATTAATAGGGACCTGAAGGGTAGTCTAGTCCAACTCTCTGCAATGCAGGAATCTCAACTAAAGCATCCATGGCAGATGGCCATGAGCAAAGAGCAGGAAGAAAAATGTGCCAGCTACTCCACAAGCTGAGAGATTTAAGACCATGTAACAAAAATGAATTCTGAGCAGGAGGTCTTTCAGTTGAGGCAGTCTGACAAGCAGCTAAGTTCAAAGGCCTGCTCTTGCATGTATTAAAGTTGGGTTTAATTGCAAACATAGGAATTTTAAGAGCATATATCTCATAACTAAGGGCCGCGGGTGGCGCTGTGGGTAAAACCTCAGTGCCTAGGACTTGCCGATCGTATGGTCGGCGGTTCGAATCCCCGCGGCAGGGTGAGCTCCCGTCGTTCGGTCCCAGCTCCTGCCCACCTAGCAGTTCGAAAGCACTCTTAAGTGCAAGTAGATAAATAGGTACCGCTTTATAGCGGGAAGGTAAACGGCGTTTCTGTGCGCTGCGCTGGTGCTGGCTCGCCAGTTGCAGCTTCGTCACGCTGGCCACGTGACCCGGAAGTGTCTTCGGACGGCGCTGGCTCACGGCCTCTAGAGCGAGATGAGCACGCAACCCTAGAGTCGGACATGACTGGCCCGTACGGGCAGGGGTACCTTTACCTTTATATCTCATAACTATAGCAGTGCTAAGGGAAGAGGTCAAGTTCAGTGATAGAGCATCTGCTTTGCATGCAAAAGGTCCCGTGTTTAAATCTTGGCATTGCTAAGACTGTTGTCTGAAAGCTGGAAAGCTGCTGCCAGTCAATGTAGATACTAAGCAAGATGGTTCAGTGTCTGGCTTGGTAGAAGGCATCTGTCTAATACAAGTCACACAACCCTTGTTTTTAAGCAAAGGGATGTGTGCTTTTGACAAACATTGGCCCACTTGATTTTTTTTATAATGTCAGTGCAATGTATAGAAACCACACATTGGTCAGCTTCACACTGATTGGAGTGCTTAAGCAATTCCTAATTCATCTCTAGGAAAGACCTGAAAACCTTTGCATGGAATCTTAAGAGACAGAATTGTAGAGTTGGAAGGGATCCTGAGGGTCATCTAGTCCAACCCCCTGCAATGCAGAAATCTCAGCTAAAGCCCTCTGCTTAAAAACCTCCAAGGAAAGAGAATTCACCACCTTCTGATGGAATCCATTCCACTGACAAACAGCTCTTAACGTCAGAAAGTTATTTTTGATGTTTAGTCAGAATCTCCTTTCTTATAACTTGAAGCCATTGCTTTGGGTTCTATCCTCCACAGCAGAAGAAAACAAGTTTGCTCCATCTTCTATGTGACATCCCTTTCACATTCCTTTGGAGTTGGCTATCATAGTCTCCTCTTTTGCAGTCTAAACATACCCAACTCCCACAACCCTTCCACTTAAGTCTTGGTTTCCAGGGCCTTGTCCATCCCCACCATGTCAACGTCCCTGGTCACCGCATGCTAAGGCAGTGATATGAACAAATGCTGCATTTGTTTACCTTTGATCATTCTTTCCAATCTGTTTACTTAAGAGTTTGGCGAGATCTTGTGAGATCTGGCAGATGTTGATGCTGCTTCTCCACCAGGGCAGAGGTGGAAGGGCTGCTGCTCCACTCTGCTCACGAGTGGAGGGGGCCTGGTGCCTACATTCCTTTCTGTTACTAATTAATTCATCCCACACGTCAATGGATTTCCCCATCACTTCCTGCACCACAAACAGTCTGGTTACTGTTGTTTTTAAAAAGCGGGCAACAAAGCACTCTAATCCACTATGAAGTTCTGCAGAACAGTGGCAATGCGGAAGCGACCAGGACCAAGGGAAAGGGGGAAATATGTGTGACAGTGACAATGCCCAGAGCACCTTATTGCCCTGACCACCCACTCTTCTCCCTCTGCCAGATCCTCTCTCGCTGTGATATTTCTGCCATCCAAGAGGTGCGAGACTCCAGGGGTGCAGCTATTCAGACGTTGCTGCGGGAGCTGAACAGGTAGTACCAGCAGAGGCTGCTAATCATAGACCTAGTCAAAATAGGTGTGTGGGGAGATCGCACAGTTAGTTTATTTTTATTCACAGGGAGATTTCTTTTTTTATTGTGGGGGAGCATTCTAACAAGGCTTCCCCGCCCCCCATTGCTCCATTCTTCATCTGAGGATCCTGTACCACCCCATTCTGTTATTAGGCAAAGTGGCATCTTGAACTCTTTATCCCTGGCAGGTATGATCCCTCTCATCACTACAGCCGCCTGGAGAGCAAGAGGCTGGGGCGAGGCAGCTACAAGGAGCAGAATATCTTTGTGTATCGGTAATGTCTGGGGGAGCTGGGAACATGACTAAATCAGAGCCCCAGGAACCAAAATCCAACTCTGGCCTATATATGCATGTATATAACTCCCCCTCTCCCAGGATAGTATTTTACGGGGTGGCCATTTTGTTACCCAAGGTGAAGGACAAAATGATACCTGCCTTTCTCCATTTCAAGCACCAAAGCTGAGCAGTGTGAGAATTTATTACTTATTTCAGTAATAAACACCCAAGTCACTAGGCAGTAAGGCTAAAAAGATACAGTGAATATGAAATCAGTTAAAACTAACCAAAAAATCTGAAAACATAGCTAAAATGCCTGCTGATTTTTAAAGAAAGAAGAAAACATTTTCACTAGATGTCAAAACTTCTCAGCTGTGGGTTCCACAGAAATGGATCCACAGTACTGAACATACAATATGTGCTAGAAGCTGACCAGAATGGCTGGGTGAGGTATAACAACAACAACAACTTCCTTGCACTGCTGTTCCCCTCCTGCCTACCCACCTAGCTACGGCATCTACCAGCTGAGGCAGCCACCTCACTGCCTAACGGTAGGGCCAATTCTGGTATTTTAATTGCCAATCAATTATAACACATTTTAACAATGTGCATTTCCATATTTGTTACCCCTATAATCCCACCCTTCCTCCAAAACTATTTTTTAGCCTCAGAAAAATGTATTTGGGCAAACTGGGGTATGAGACAATAATTTTCCAGCGAACTTTGTTTTGGCTGAGCAGCAATTTCAGTCTGGATTTGCCACATATAAAGCTGGACTTAAGTGTCCATCCACTACTCCACACCTGCTCATTAGTGTTGGGTCTCGCAGCTCTGGTTTGTAGTTGGGGAAACAAGGCCTGGATCTCCTGAGGATATAAACCTGTGTTTGGGCTGAGACTTTGGCCTGCTGACAGAGGCTTACCTGATTTAATCATAATAATAACCCCTTCACAAAGACAGATTGCAAATCGGGGTGAAAGGGAGCAACTGGGTGCTGACATCTAGCTTGCTTTATGTGTGTGTGTGTGTGTGTGTGTGTGTGTGTGTGTGTATATATATATATATATATATACACACACACATATATATTAAAAAAGGATAGAGGAACATTCAGTTGTGAGAGCTTCCACTTGCAGGCTCTGTATTGGAACAAAACCAGACACAGGTTTACTTGGATAAGAACTCATTCAAAGGCACACAGACCCAAATCTCCCAGATCCAAGTTCACCCTCATATTCAACAGTCGAGAGAGAGAGATTATGCCTACTTTAACCTTTTGAGGAATGAAGGCTCCTTGGATGCATCTTCCCTCTGATGCCTACTTTTTTTACCTTGACAGAATGGATGTTGTGTCAGTTACTGATTGGTGCCAGTTTGGGGATGAGGATGCCAGAAATTACAAGGCATTTGCCCGGGGGCCCTTTGCCGCTCGCTTTCACTCTCCATACACAGGTAACACCCAGTTTCTCCACACAGAGGTCTCAATTGCTCTGGATACTTGTCCACAGATTCTTGGTGATCCAGGAGCTGTTATCTCCAAGGCAGTTATGGAAGATTACCTCGGTTTTAGGACTGAAAGCCTGGTATTTCTTATGGTCCGTTCTTAACCTGAAACTGTTCTTAACCTGAAGCACCACTTTAGCTAATAGGGTTTCCTGCTGCCGCCGCCGTGCAATTTCTGTTCTCATCCTGAAGCAAAGTTATTAACCCCAGGTACTTTTTCTGAGTTAGCGAAGTCTGTAACCTGAAGCGTATGTAACCTGAAGCGTATGTAACCCGAGGTACCACTGTATAGCCCTAGTTGGATGGTTCAGTGGTGCTTAGGGTAGATGAGGAAACAGAAGAAATTGAATGTATTGAGAAGCTGAGGTAAAGGAGCTAGCTCTTGTTAAGTGTGCATGTGTGTAATAACAGCCACTAAGAGGAAAGAGTAGGGAGATCAGTAGTGAAACCTCTCCCATCATCTGAACTGCTGTCTTCCACCCCACAGCTATCCTAGATTTTGTGCTACTTTTACACCACACCAGTCCTCGGGAAGCTGCCCAAGAGCTTGAGCTGCTGTTTGGAGTGTGCACAGAACTGATGCAACGGTGGAAAACTGAGGTATATTATGGGGGCAGATGTTGTAAACTCAGCAAGTCACTAAGAACATAAAAGTCCTGCTGGATCAGATGACTAATCTAGTCCAGCACCCTGTTCTCACAGTGGCTGACCAGATGTGTAATAGGACATTCTCCTTCTCCCGATTCCCAGCAACTAGCCTTCAGTCTCATGCCACCTCCTCTAGTGGAGATGCTACTCACATACAACCCTTTCCTTGTGATCTGAATAGAATGTGATGCTGCTGGGAGATCTGAATGCTGCTGGTGCCTACATCCCAGCAAGTGCTTGGGCTGGGATCCGCCTGCGCAATCACCTTGCTTTCCACTGGCTCATTGGTGACGGAGAGGACACCACAGTCAGCCACCGGACCTGCTGTGCCTATGACAGGTACCAGAGGACACTTTTCAGCTCCTCACCCATTCTCAACATGCTTCCTCTTACTCCCGAAAACAATCCAATATTTGCCAGCCTTTCAAGCAAGCATGCCAGACAGAAAGTAAGCCCTGAGGAGATTGTGTCACTTACAGTGTATACCATATGCCCTTTTTTGGTGTGGTTTTGCTTCTGGTATGTTGAGCTGGAGAGCAGACAACACTAGAGGCAGAGACTACTCCTGATCTGTGCCATAGCCAGGCCAAGAGCTAACCTGGCACACTAGACTCCTGCTTTGTGTCACGTTAAGTTGGCTATGCTCTTTTTGTTGGGGGCAGAGACCCATTACACTCCCACTTTTGTACTCTGTCCTCCCATGCTAGGATTATAGTCCATGGAGAAGAGCTGCTTGGCGCCATTGTACCCAGATCTGCCAAGCCTTTCAACTTCACACAAGCACTTGGACTATCGGAGGAAGAGGTGGGTGTAATTGGGCTCCTTTCTTAACTGGCTGCTAGTTTGAATATGATGTAGAGACCTGAATAATCCACACCATTTCATTCCTACAGGCCCTAGCAATCAGCGACCACTATCCGGTAGAGGTGAATCTTCGGCTTGCTCCGAAAGCCCAGCGAGAGCTCTAAACCGTCAACCATCCTTTTGGCTATAGAAGCAAGGGCAATGGCAGGGCAAAAAGAGACCAACTTCTCTGACTATTCCATTCAGCAAGACCCGTCTAGGGCAGCAGTGGAACTGCTATACAGTAAAAGCAGTCCAATGCACATACACTTCCCCCGCTCTGCACCTTGCCTCCAGCATGAAAGCCAAGATGACAGAAGCGCCCCATCTACGTTGTAGCTAGGGCTTGCAAGCCTACATGCAGGCCTATCCAGGTGTGCCACAAAATTCACCACCCAAGCTTAGGGCTGGGTGAATGGTAAATATCCTACATGTGTCGTAGGCATTAGGTGCAGCATTCAGCTTCCTTAGAAACTATAGAGTTTTTAAAGAAGTATCTTTCTTTCTTTCAGCTGTCATCTATATCCCATCCTTTAACCCCAGAAACTCCCAACACTGTTTATCCTAGATAATCCAATTTTTGTTTCGGTTGAACCAACCAACCCTGACGAAGCAGGATACTGCCTCAGTAAGCCATACATCTATAATGCACACACAACACAACTGTGGTTGTGCAGTGCAGGGCAATATTAGTAATAGAGGATAAGCTGTCTGAAATGGCCCCCTTCCCAATCTGCTCTGAATTACAAGGCAACCTTTTCCTGCTTACTTTGCCCTGGAAGTCTTACAGGTTTTTTTGCCCCATCCTTAGGAATGCTTATGGGAGACCAGCCTGAGGGATTAGCTACTGTGAGAATTGTCTTGTGTGACACTGACAAAGGTTTACAGATATTCAAATTCATTACAGTGGTACCTTGGGTTAAGTACTTAATTTGTTACGGAGGTCCATACTTAACCTGAAACTGTTCTTAACCTGAAGCACCACTTTAGCTAATGGGGCCTCCTGCTGCCGCCTTAGCACAATTTCTGTTCTCATTCTGAAGCACTACAGTGGTGCCCCGCAAGACGAATGCCTCGCAAGACGGAAAACCCGCTAGACAAAAGGGTTTTCCGTTTTGGAGGTGCTTCGCAAAACGAATTTCCTATGTGCTTGCTTCGCAAGACGAAAATGTCTTGCGAGTTCCTGCAGGGTTTTTTTCCTCCCCCCCCCTTTTTCCCAAGCTGCTAAACCGCTTATCAGCTGATGGCTAAGCCGCTTATCAGCTGATCTTTAAGCCGCTTATCAGCTGATGGCTAAGCCGCTTATCAGCTGATCTTTAAGCCGCTTAACAGCTGATGCTAAGCCGCTTATCAGCTGATCTTTAAGCCGCTTAACAGCTGATGCTAAGCCGCTTATCAGCTGATCTTTAAGCCGCTTAACAGCTGATGCTAAGCCGCTTATCAGCTGATCTTTAAGCCGCTTAACAGCTGATGCTAAGCCGCTTATCAGCTGATCTTTAAGCCGCTAACAGCTGATGCTAAGCCGCTTATCAGCTAATACTGTAGCGCTAAGCGCTAAACCTCTAATGGGCTTGCTTCGCAAGACGAAAAAATCCGCAAGACGAAGAGACTCGCGGAACGGATTCTTTTCGTCTTGCGAGGCACCACTGTATTTCTGGGTTAGCAGAGTCTGTAACCTGAAGCATATGTAACCCAAGGTACCACTGTACTATGTTCACTTGTTTCCAGAAGAGGGTGAACATATGTTTGATGTTTTATCAAACCCACAGTAACATTAATGTAACAGTAAACACAGCAGCTCAATAGACATTTTTTATTTCCATTCATCTTCCTTCAAGAATTTAGGAAAGCAGCTTGTGGATAACCACCAAGCACTTATGCTGCATGCAATGCACGCCACTTGTCCAGAGGGCCTCTGTTGGGGATGTATTTCACTCCACAGCCATCAGGGATAAGGCGCTTCTCAGCCACCATGTCCTCAAACTCATCAGCATTGAATTTGGTGAAGCCCCATTTCTTGGAAATGTGGATCTAGGTGAGAGAGAAGACATCAGAAGCTTGCCTCAGACTTCCCAGCTATTATGCATTTACTACTGAGTATCAGCCTGTCTTTGTTAGAGAGCTGAGAAGCAACACTACATGTCAACTGGCCTGTCCCTCCATACCAACTTAGTCAGTCACTGTAGATGAAAGTCATATGACAAAGTTCATTCTGGGCAAAAGGTTGCAAGAGCACCAAACTAAAGCTTATGATCTCACTAGCTATACTGAGAGATTTATCTTGTTTTGCACCCTATCTTTAGCGGTGCAACACCTGTATACTTCTGCACAGACAGTATTCTTCCCTCACCAATAAACGCATTACCTTCTGGCGACCAGGGAACTTGAACTTGGCTCTGCGCAGTGCTTCAATGACATGTTCCTTGTTCTGCACCTTGGTACGGATGGACATGATGACCTGGCCAATATGCACACGGGCCACAGTGCCCTGAGGCTTACCAAAGGCTCCACGCATTCCTGTCTGGAGTCTAATAAGAAACCAAAACCAAATCTTAGGGTGTTATCCTCAAGGACTATACCACGCTGCTACACCCACCACCAGTTAAGCCCTCTTGGCAAATGTAGAAGCCAAGAGCTTCAGCCAGTCATGCACCTCACCAGGACTCAAGTGTTCCCAGGGTCCCTTAAGGTGCACTGTACAAGGAACAGAGCACGTACACAACCAAGGGAGTTACTGTGCGCAGTCAGTGCACACCACCCCCCGATAGCAGCAGGGGCTGGTCGGCTTAATTGACTGCAAGGTCAATTTTAACACCAGAACTGGGTCTCTACCCATTCCTCACCTATCAGCTCCAGCACATGACAACATCTTGTTGATGCGGATGACATGGAAGGGGTGCAGGCGCACACGGATGTGAAATCCATCTTTACCACAACTTTTCACCATGTATTTGTTGGCACAGATACGGGCGGCCTCTAGAGCTGCAGAAAGAGAGACAGGGTGAATGGGACAGACCGTTGAAGCACAGCAAAATGAGTAGTTTGAGTGGTCTTTTGGTGCTCTGTACCTTCTGATGAAAGCTGCTCATATTCATCTGACACCATGTGCCCACAGAGTGGGAACTCATCAACCTTGGCCTTCTTCCTGCCCAGGTCAAAAATCCTGATCTTGGGATCTGAAGAATAGAAAGTAATATTATCAGCCAGTTCACTAAAACTCAGATTTCCTAACAGGCCAAATTAGGTGCAATCCACTCTGACCAGGCAATTAAGTCTCATCAGGCTATCCTCTGTTGGATTAAATTCTACATTCCTATCTGAATGCATGAAGTTCAATTTAACAGTTCATCAGGCAAAAATAAATATATTAACTTACCAGGAACACCTCTACAGAAACGGGATTTGGGGTAAGGCTTGTTCTTGCAGTATCGATAACTAGAAGAAAAAGACAGATAAGGTAGTCAGAAACAATTTTTTGAAATTAAAGTCACAACTGCTGAATATGTTAAACCAGAAATGGGGAACCTATAGCCTTGCATAGGTTGTTGAACTACAGCTCCCGTCAACCCTTGCCTTTGGTCATTCACATCTGATTGGGGGTTGGTGGGTTAGAAACTGGTCCAAGATGCAGTCCCAGATATTAGCCTTTTAAACCAATTTACTAGCCTAATGGAGTTTAGCAGTGGAAGGATGAAGAGCTCCAACCTTCCTTCAGCAGCTCATTGCATGTCTATGCTGGGCAAACATAAGGAACAGAATCCTTCTTCCATGTTGCTAGTCTGCTCACTTGCCACATTCAATTTCTTGCTGCTCTATGGCTACCAAGCAAGTGCTAAATTAAAAATATGTCTCATACAATTAATAAAGAGCATGTAGACACTTATCTGTATTTATTGGCTTTTATTTTCATACTAGTACTCTTTCTTAACAGTAAGGGAAGTTCTGTGAACCCAATAACTTCTACTTTCCCTATACATTTGGCTGACAGATCTGGCTCCCATCCCAAGATCAATAGTAATTTCTGCAGCAATGTTTACCTAAAAGTTACACCATGGTTTGGACAATCGTTTTCGGCTCAACAAACCATGGCTTTTGAAGCTTGGAATGGGCACTTGTGAGAAGTATGTCTCCTATTCCTCATCAGTTTCTATGCAAAGATCTTGGCTTATATTAAGACACAACCAGGAAATCTGGATTTATGCTGGCCTGCTGGGGGTGGTGTGTGATAGAATGGCTAGTGCCTGGCTTCATAAAAGTTTGTGAGGCTTTGAATGAAAGTCTGAACCAGGCCATTATGTGGTCTCAGGCAAAGCCACTTTCAGTCTCAACTCTCTAAGCTTAGTATCTAATGCTTAGTGTTGTAAGAATAAAATAAAGAATATTTATGTGAAGCACTCTGAAGACTCTCACACATATTAGTATCATACTGTACTCAACTACATCCTACTCAAGAGTGCATCCACTGAAATTAGTGAACCTGTTAGTCATACCTGCTTGTTTCAGTGGGCTTACTCTGAGTACAACTAGCAGTGACTACCATCCAAACCACTAACATTATGGATAATAGGGACAAAGAACACGGGGAGGCTTCAGCCTTCATGTCCCGCTTAAGGGTTTTTGATACATGCATGCAGCTGGCCACTGCTAGGAGGCAGGATGCAAAATGAGGCAGGCAGCCCTTGCTCAAATGTGCCAGAAATCTCATCTTTTTATGCTAAACTCACGGGTGTGTGTGTGTGTGTACGGGGTGCGTGCTTGGGGTCTAATAGCCATCCCACGAAAGCAACCTTGCTGCTAAGAACCACCACAGGCGGCAACGCAGAAGGGTCTATGGACCACAAGCAAGCCGTGAAAGCCCAGAGCCCCCAGCGCGGGGCCCGTTTCGGTCGCCCACCCTCGTCCACCCCGATCGCGGCCCCCGCCAGAAGAGGAAAGCGGGAGATGCGGCTGCCAGGAGAGACCCCTTTCGGCCTCTCCACTCCAGTTCCTGGCAGAGCCGCCTCGCCGCGTCCTCCCCCTGACGGAGCCGGCCACGCGGCCTCCTCCCGGCCTTGCCCGCCCGTCCTCCGGGCGGCCCAACTCACCAGCGCGCGGGTCGGCGGCCCATGGCTGCAGGTCTGAGAGGCAAAGAGAGAGAGAGAGAGTCAGTCCGGGGCCGCAAAGGGAAGCGGGCCGAGCGCGGGGCCTGCTCCTCGCTCTCAGGCCCAAGCCGCGCCGCAGCCGCCTCACCCGCGCACTCACCTCGCCGAGCGGAAAGAGAGCGGGGAGCGCGCCTGCGCGCTGCTTATCAACGCTGCCGCTCTAGGACGGCCGCGGACACAGAGGTTGGGCCCTGTCTGGACCGGAAGCAGCGGAAGCTTAACGTATCCGGAAGGTCGCCGCGACACATTAGCTTCCGGGTTGATTTTAGGGGAAACGTTCTTCTGACTCCATTTGCGTGGACGTTTAAACCTTTAACTGAGGGATAGAAGGGCGAAGGAGGTGCCCGTGCAATTGAACATACAGTACATTTGCTGCCGAAATTTTTTAGATGGGAGATCTTAAAAACAACAACCACCCTCATGTCAGTGCTGATCGTTATAATACCCTCAGTATTTTGAACTCTATAACGTGTGGAATTGCCCATGGCTTTTGAGTTACGTTTTCAAGGTCTTTATTCATGGGAAGGCGCTGCAAAGCCTCTGTCGACCTCCGCTCTTACTTGGCACTTCGAAATACAGTAACATAGTTGTTCTTTTTATACGTCTATATATCTTTATCTACTGTATACTATTTATGTTATCATTGTACACATAAATAATAAAACATGTACTGTACATGAGTGACCAAAAAATGGGTCACCGGGGGTGTAAAATGCTAAACATATTATTTTACAGTACCATAATAATGAGGTAAACCAGTTCAATGAATTCTTCAAAAATCAACTTGGGAAACAGAGTAATAGTTGTTTTATTAACGTTGCTGTAATAAGCAATTTTGTCGAAAGTTTACAGAAAAACAAAACAAAGACTTAATTCACATTGAAGTCCAGTATGTATCATTTAACTTGCTGGCTTTCCGTATAGTCTTCAACCCCGAAACGAAGAGCAATTTTATTAAGACGTCCTTGCTTACACAGTTCTACTCTTACTAAGGATGCATTGCAGCTCTCGTTGCATTCAGTTGAAATCATAAATAAGCAAAAGCAACACTAAACGAAGAGCAGAATAATTAAACGAATTTCTATTCGTTTGGCGCCTACTGCGAGCCCTGCTTCCTTTGGACATTACGACCTGCTGGGTTAATAACTAATAAAATGGCAGCTGTGAGTTATTTACGGTTGCAAAGTACGAATGAGAATGTTAGGAATCCCGGAAAATATCCACCGGGAATTATAAGGATCTCAAGCTTTGTCGGAAGAGACAGGCTAAAGCAACTTTACTGCGCATGCGCTCCTCCCGCCGCCGCTTGTGCAGGAAGACGCGGTTTCTTACGGGATTTCGTCACAGGTCTCGCGGTATCTGGATAGGACTCCTCTTAATTCGCCCCCCTCAGAAGATTCAAGGATGGCGGCTTCGGCAGTTTTGTACACTGGCAGGCAGCTGTGGAGGCCCGCCTTGTTGGCGTCCCGCTCGGTAAGTCGACGGTTTCGACTGCGGTTGTGAACATTGACCTTGTCCGGAGGTGAAGAGAAACCGGCGCCGCTACCTTAGTTTCCTCTCAGGGGAGTGGGTGGGCGGGCTGGGGCAACCGTTGCCATGTTTCCGATTGGTTAAGAAGGCAGCCGGTGGGTGGGACAAAAGGAGAATGATGCTTTCGCATTGGCTGGCCTCTTATGGAAAGGTTTTTTATTTGGCGCTTCCTTTGGGACTCGTTGCGTAGCAGATAATTTTGATTGGGCTATAGATATGAGACTAGGAGAGAAGAATTAAAGGGCTAAAAGCACAACCAAGGAAATTAAAGGAAAGGAAACAGCCCCGTTTGCACGAGATGATGATGATGATGATGATTAGTAACCTCTATAGTAATGAGTCTGGAATAACTGCCACCCATTGCTTTCATACAGACTTATTTATTAATTGCATTTATCTCCCACCTTTCATCCAGGGAGCTCAAGGTGGTTCACACTTTTCCTGTTGCTCCCCATTTATCCTCACAACAGCAACCCTGTGAGAGGTTTGCCCACAGTCACCCAGTGAGCTTCATGGCTGAATGTGGATTTGAACCCTTCATTAGCAATAAATATTTGATCATATTTGATGGGACAGTTGAGCAAGAACGCTTTGACAGATCAAATATCCATCTTTAGCTTCTGGCAAAGGGGAGTAAATGAAAGATCTCACTCAAACCTGGAATTTCACAAGAGTCAGGCAGGACACCTAGTGTTTCATTCCTGTCTTGTAAGAATCCTTTATTTCTGGATTCCCCAAATCACCTTCCTTAGCCTATCCTGTTTTTCTCTCTCCCTCACAGGTGCAGGCTCTAACAGATGGCAGTCGCAGGAATGTGGCCTCGGTTTGTATTGCTTGTGCTTGCTATCCTTTGTCACAGAGAGATGTTAGGGGAGGCACTCTTGTGTTCTTTTGTTTCCCCCACAAATTCACTGACAGCTGTCTATGGACAGAAGGGGGATGTAAATGGTCCTAATGTGACGTCTGTTTCTAATCTCTTTACTGATTGGGCACCCGAGGAGTTGGGATCAAATCTGGTATGCAAACAAAATGTTGCAATCTAGGACAGTTTCATCTCTTGGAGGAAGATGTTCTAATGGGCTCTGCCATATTGACCTGCCTTTTCCATGTCTTCTCTCTGTTCAGTTGGAGTAATAATACTGACTTATTAACTGTGTAGGGAAATTACAAGGTACTAACAGCCTTGTACCTTTTAAAATCAATGGTTAAAATCAGTACAGTTTTCAAAGGTTCAGTCTATTATCATGATTCAAAATGGCATCCAATTTTATCACAACATAGATGGAAACCTGCTCCTTGATTCACAAACTGTTGTGCAAAATTTGGTTATGATCTCTTAAAGAGGTATCCAAATGCATAGCAAGCAACTAACTTTCCAAATACATGGAAAAATTAAAAAGATCAGTGGATAACATTTCAGAGGCACCAGATTTACTTTCTGGACCCTTGGAAGTTTGGTCTTGTAGACCTTAAGACCCACTGGTGAGAGCCAGTGTGGTGTAGTGGTTAAGAGCGGTAGTCTCCTAATCTGGGGAACCGGGTTCGCGTCTCCGCTCCTCCACATGCAGCTGCTGGGTGACCTTGGGCCAGTCACACTTCTTTGAAGTCTCTCAGCCCCACTCACCTCACAGAGTGTTTGTTGTGGGGGAGGAAGGGAAAGGAGAATGTTAGCCGCTTTGAGACTCCTTAAAGGGAGTGAAAGGCGGGATATCAAATCCAAACTCTTCTTCTTCTTCTTCTTAATACATTCTGGCTTCCCTGTTCACTACAGCTGGTGTCCGTGAGGGTTAGAATCCTGGTAATATTTGTTTAAAAATGAAAATTGGGAGTCCCAGAAATCTTTGACTATTGCAGTACACAGAGGAAGTTACGCTCTGTAAATCACAGTACTGTAATGGCTCTAAGGACATAAGAGATTGTAATTCACTCTGCTGGTTAAAATGCTCGATGAAGGATCTTGGGAAATGTATGGTTAACAATATATTTTTCTTTACACTGCTGCCTGTGAAACTCTTGTTCCTTTTTTTCTTTCCCATCTTTCCAATATCTGTTCCTGATACATTGCCTACAGCAACAGACTATTGTAAGTAGTTTTCCTACCATTTCAATTTTAAACTTGGAGTTACAGCCAATGGGTTTAAGTCTCCTATTCCAATTATCAAGTATTCATCAGGCTGCAAATGTCCCAAGCTGGATGGTAACTGGCAAAGGGTGGCTGCTAAGACTGACACTACTGAGCTAGAATATATGGACCATTAGTCCTAAGTTGTTCTTTAGCCTCCTCTCCCAAGTTGGAAATAGTGGGCTTAAACCTTTTTTCAATTTGGTTTTGGAAACACTGTCTCCTGAATGGGGTTTGATAAGGGTTGGGAATACTGGTGTCTATATTTACCACTGGAAACCAAAGGTTAGAGTGGCTAAAATTCAAGGCAATTGAGAATATCATGACAATCCTTAGTGCTGGTTGACTGTAGTGTAGCAAGCTAAAAGAATGAGGTGAGAATGGGGTGGTCTGCTGGTTAGAATAGAGCAGCCGGTGTTACCTGGCTGGGATCTAGGACTCTCAGGGTTTCATTCTTCACTTTGAACAAAGAATCTATACCCTTGTTGTTTTTAAGCTCTCCTGATCATCAGAAGCTTGTCAGGGGTTCCTCATTGGGAAGGAAGATCCATAAGGGTGAACCAGCTTGTTTGCCTTCCATGCTTTGTGTAGGCATAGGGAAGTGCTGAGCATGTTCTAGGATGCTCCCCCTAGTTAGCAAGGGGTGACAGTGAAGCCCAGTAGGCCTGACCAAGCACTCCATGCAAACTGAGTGGGTGACTTAGAAAATGCCCCAGAACCCTCTGCAGTGTGGGTGGGGGCATTTCATGGCAGACTCTGCATGTCAGTGTGGAAAGGGTTCTTTGGAGGCTTGTCTGAAAGGCATTGGCCTAGATGAGCATGGCAGGGATGTGTAGTGACTGAGAACAAAGGCCTCCTAAGATTCCTGGGCAGGGGTGTGGCCTAGCCAAAAGGATTACGATTTGCAAGATTTTGTTCTAAACTGCCTAAACCTGCACCTCTTTCTCCACAGCCTCCACCAGCCAAATATGGGGGACGCCATACTGTGACAATGATTCCTGGAGATGGGATTGGGCCGGAGCTTATGCTTCATGTCAAGGAGGTGTTCAGGTACAAATTTCCTCTCTGTGTGCCTCTCCAGAGCTGTGCATAAGACCCAGAAGGCCTGCTTGTGTGCACTGACCTGTCCTGCTAACTAATAGACACTTTTTGCCTCTCAAAGCCATGGCTGGAATTCACCTTGACTGCCCCACCCTTCTCTTCTCTCTACCCCAGGCATGCCACTGTGCCTGTGGACTTTGAGGAAGTTCTGGTCAGCTCAGAGGGATCTGAAGAGGACATGCAGAATGCTCTCATGGCCATCCGGCGCAACCGTGTAGCCCTCAAAGGTGATCCTTTGCTTTTCACAGCATGCAGAATTGTGCCAAGTTCTGCATAAAGTGAAGTCGAAAGGAGGAGAAAGGGGTGTCCTGTGTATCTTTTCAGGGGTCGGTTGGAAAGGGCAGATTTGTTTTACTGGGCTGCATGGGCTTAGTAAAGGCCAGTATCCATTTATTTTCCAAAGCCACATTTTGGATTCATCTGGTCCCCTTTCCTTCTTCCCTTCTTCCCTCTTCAGTCCAAAACGAGCTTATTCTAGGTTTTGCCTTAACAGTATTTGAAGATGCTTATTTTTTTATTACATTTATATACCATCTCTGTCTTCCAAGGAGCTCAAGATGGTGTGCATGGTTCTCCTCCTCCCCATTTCATCCTCACAACAACCCTGTGAGGTAGGTTAGGCTAAGAGCTGGTGACTGGCCCAAGGTTACCCAGTGAGCTTCATTGCTGAGTGAGGAGTTGAACCCTGATCTCTTAGGTCATAGTCCAATACTCTGCTGCATTTAAACCTATATCTAATATTTCATCCTTGTGATAGCTCTGGAAAACTGGTGCTGCTTATTCCCATTTTGTTTTGTTTTTTTTTAAATAATTTTTTATTAAGATTTTAAATAAAGAAAAAAGAAAAACAACACAGACAAAAAAAAACAATACAAAATTTAACAATAAAAAGACAAAGCATAACAATTAAAAACAAACTCTCTTTTCCGTTCCCAATTTTATATTACTTATTTTCTAGACTTCCTCATACCTCCCTCTTTTGTATTCCTGTGCTTATTCCCATTTTGTGGATGGAGGAACTGAAACTAACAGCCTCTCAGTACATGTTTGACTGCTGTGGAATCTGAATCCAGATTTCCCAGGCTTGATATTTTATCCACGTTTGTTTCTAACCCATCAGGAAAGAGGACAATTTATATAGCTGCAATTTTCAGATTGCCCCATATTAGTGTGTTATGTTTACTAAGGCCAGGGAGTGAATCCTCTTATTAACTGTTCTCTTTTCCTGGCTTTATAGGAAATATCGAGACGAACCATAACTTACCACCTTCTCACAAGTCCCGGAACAACATAATGCGGTGAGTTGAGAGAGAGGCTTAGCCCAGTTGCCAAGCAGAGCCCTAAGAGTTGGGAGTGTGGTTTAGTCCATATACAACCATTCATTTCCATTTTCTACCCCTGTCTAGAGGCTTAAAAAAAAATAGTGGAAGTGGAAGGAAGTATGTAAATAAGGCCAGTAGTTTTAATTTCTGTATTGCTTACCATAGTGATGCCACAAGTCACAGAACTGATGTGTTACTCTAGTATGCTACCCACACTTTATATGCCGCTCTGCCCTCTGTTCCTTGGTGTGGTTTTGCTTCTGGTCTGCTGAGCAGGGAAGCACATTGGAAAAGCAAGCGGCAGCATTCTTGCTGGTTGGGTGTGACCCTGCATCACAGCCAGATCCATCAGCCCTCCTGCTCCCATCCAGGTGTGCCACAGAATCTCATTTCCAATGATGTGGGTTGGTCATCATCCATAGCATATGAGGTTCATCTCTCCTAGCAACACGATACTCTTGTTAAGGCAATTGGCGAAACTAGGGAGAAGGTGGATCTGGGGCAAAAGGAACAATTGTGCTTTCTGAAGTACACAGAATCACAACAGTTGTTATTCTGAGTAGAATCTGTGCCGTGTGACCTTTTCCTTTCCCTCTCTGATTCCACAGCACAAATCTGGATCTGTTTGCTAATGTGATTCACTGCAAGAGCCTTCGAGGAGTGGCAACCAGGCACCATGACATTGACATACTCATAGTCCGAGAGAACACGGAGGGAGAATACAGCAGCCTGGAGCACGAGGTGCTAATTAGCAGAGGCAACCACTTTTGCCCTCTTTATTTCTCCCCAAATCCCACTCCCTCCTCAACCCTATTTGCATTGGGGCAGTGCTGTTTCCTCTCCAGGTGGGCTTTTTCCCTTTCCTTTCCTTTCCTTCCCTTTCCTTCTAGAGAATACTCTCTGCTTGTGGCACATCATGATCAGGATTGAGTGGTGATGGGATAGTCCTGCTATATGTCAAGTGACCTTTTAGTGAGGTGTCAAAGACTGTATGATGGTGGCCAGCAACTGACAGTCCAGGGGTTCAGTCTGGCTCTCATCCTTCCATTCCAGGGATTCCTTCCTGTGATTACGTACTTCCAAATGGTTCCTCCTGAGAAAAACCAAGATGTTGGCAAGTGGCTTTTTTCAGTCACAGGGACTGGCTCTGCAAAAGCTCCTCCATACTAGCATATTCACTCACTCACTCACAGACATTTGCTTTGGCTCGTATGGGTGTGAAAAAACAGGCGAAGCCTGCAGCTCTTGCTCAGTTAAATAGATGGCCTCTAACCAGGGTTCTATGATACATCATAGGGGAAAACCACAAGCAGAAAGTTGGTTTCCTAAAACTGGCAATCCCTCCAAGGATTGCAGTAATCTTTCCAAGTAGGACATCATTTCCCACCCAGTCCCAACTGAGCTAGAGGTAGAAACTAGGAGCTTTGATTTTGCCTGTTCTGCCCCTTCCCCCTCCAGAGCGTCTCTGGTGTAGTGGAGAGCCTGAAGATCATCACAAAGACCAAGTCGCTGCGCATCGCAGAATACGCCTTCAAGCTGGCGCATGAAGCTGGGCGCAAGAAGGTGACCGCCGTCCACAAGGCAAACATCATGTACGTTAGGGGACATGTAGGCCTTTCTTCAGCGTACATGTATGGGAGCAGGAATGGGTGTAGCTGGGGGGGGGGTTCTGGCTCAGTGGTGTAAAGTGTGCCACAACTTGTGCCCAGTAGGAGATGCCTTAATTCTTATTTATGCACCCTGCAAATCAGGCCATTGTGCTGTGAAATTGTATTCCTAGGCTGCCAAGTCAGGGATCAGGTTTCTGTTCTGTGTGGAAGAGGTAGGCTGTACAGGCCTGACTGTACGCTAGCATCAGAGACCTTTCTGCTCTTGTTCAGGAATACCACAACCATTTGCTGCCTCTACAGTTTGTGGTGTCTTTGCTGCAGCTCTGGCTGATATTTCCCCTCTTTTTCTCCCATATTAGGAAGCTGGGTGATGGCCTTTTCCTGCAGTGTTGCAAAGAGGTGGCAGCTGGCTTCCCAAACATCACATTTGAGAGCATGATTGTCGACAACACTACTATGCAGGTACTTGGATGTTCTAGTTTTATGTCTAGCTGCCATTTCAAACACAGGACACCTGAGTCTTCTTTGTAGACAGCTCAAATCTTTGTGTTCTTCATTCTCTTTGGCAGTGCTGTTCAGGGATTCCCACCGTAAGTCCCTTTCAGATTGCCACCTTAGTCCATTTACATGGATTAAACATGCACAGGAGTCAGTCCCAGCATTTTGTGCCCACAAGCATAACTGGGTTTTTTTTGAAAAATAAATAGAATCACGAGAACTGGAAATGTCAAGTTTTGTAATAGTCAAAGCAATTGTTATAAAGGAAACGGAAGACATTTCTCAGGATTTACTTTGGAGGGAAAACAAGTTGGCTAATAATGTAACTTTCTGTTTAGAATATGTGACTTTTGCAGATCATTCAGAGAAATTGTTTAAATTAGGAGTGCTTTTATGAAAGCTTCCAGGAAGATCTGAAACTACATCACTGTTGGGATGGGTGGGGAGAGGAGGGGACATGAATCACTACTCTCACCTTTACGCTCACTGCTGTCTCTGATTTTCCTAGCTGGTGTCCCGTCCACAGCAGTTTGATGTCATGGTTATGCCTAACCTCTACGGCAACATTGTCAACAACGTCTGTGCTGGACTGGTTGGGGGCCCGGGCCTGGTGCCAGGTGCCAATTACGGGCGTGATTATGCAGTTTTTGAAACGGTGAGTTTTTGAGAGGGTGGTAGATGTCAGGCTCCGGTAAAGTGGGGTTGAGATGAAGAAACACCGAGGGCAGGAATGCTACTTGACTGAGTGAGAAAGGGCTCCTAAGGCAGAGGCTCTGGCTTCCAGATGGGCCTGAGCACCAGGATCTCTCCAGTAAGCATTGCCTGGAAGAAAACTGAGGGAGATGGAAGAGAGCTGAACACACCAGCAAAAAAACAGGCCACTTGTATCTTTGCCTCTCCATTATTCTATGTTGGTTTCTTTCATTTTGGAAACCCTCTTGCTCCCTCAGACAATATAGCCTGCTCTCTCAATGCCTTATCTCTCTTTTCTCTCTCTTCAGGCCACACGCAATACTGGCAAGAGCATTGCTGGCAAGAACATTGCCAACCCCACAGCCATGCTGCTTGCCAGCTGCATGATGCTGGACCACCTCAAGTACGTGCGCATACCCCTTTCCCTTTCTCAGCTGCTGCCGCCACTGCCTAATCAAACTGCTGCAATTGTTTCCCCATTTCCCAACTATGAGAGCCAATGTGGCATAGTGGGTTAGCCTCTAAGATGGGGGTGTGGAACCTTTGGCCCTCCAGATGCTGCCATCATCATCCCTGACAGTGCTTGCAATGGCTGATGGGAGTTGTAGTTCAGCAACATCTGTGGGGAACAAAGATTCCCTTCACCTGCTCTAGGCATTCCCAAGTTCAAATATCTACTCAGCCACTAAATTATTGGGTGACACTAGGTGGAGAGATGTATCTAAAATGTGGGAGCTACTGCACACTTACCTGATCGTCTTGGGGAAAGCGTGAGACAAAAATGAAATGTTTGTCTCAGTGGCAGATTCTTCCATCATAATAGGGGAGGGTGGGGGAAGAGAGACTGCATTTGTGCTGCTGTTTCTCACCACTTCACTCTGTTGTTCATTGCAGACTGCACAACCATGCATCAATTATCCGCAAGGCAGTTCTGGCCTCTATGGACGAAGCAGAAGTGAGTTGTTTATTCCCTTCCCAGGCCAATGGCCTATCAAGAGAATTGGGGATATGGGCTGTTAGCTACTGGGTGTTCTTCTTGGGTCTGTACATACCAGCAGAGGACTTAAAAACCATTGTCAAATATCTCAGATTGATTTCTTGTTTGTTTCGGAGGGCACCCAAAATGTGACTTGCCAATCCATGTCAGGCTTTTAGGGTGCGGGTCTAAATGATTCCTAGAGCAAGTGTGAAGGATGCAGCCATTGGGCCCATGAGTCTCTAAAGATCCCTAAGGCATGACAAGGATGGCTGAGCAGGTACTAGTCCATGTGCCCTACTGGGGGTGCAGTTGGATCAGAGAACATGGCCATGACTTGTACAGCAACGCAGGGACTTGTAGTGAGAAGTAAATGAAGAAGTTTGTGTCAGTTGGTACAGTGGGGGAGCAGAAGTATCAAGTTGGTGGCATTGTGGAAAGAAGGTTGGGCGGAATAGTCTATCCCTTCAATTGGTCAAGAGCCACAGGTTTCCAAGAGTGCACCATCATATGTGCACAACCACAGCATGTATGTATGCGTCTGCATGTGGGTCTCCCTTGGTAACTGTCCTTACACTTTGAGTAGGTAGCCCATCTTCACTACAAACGTCTGTTGGGTATTTGGCATTTTCATTTGTGGATGCCATGGGAACTAGTTTTTACCTTGGTGATATCTCTAGCTCTCCCATCCCTTTGGGAAGTGCAGTTTCCAGTGTTTTGCTGGGACAAAGGGATAATTGCAGTGCAGATACACCAAATGTTCGAGTGCAACAGTGTTTACAGATAAATTAAACAGTAAAAAAATGAAGGTCCCAAAATGCATGTTTGGGCTGAAGGGGTTTTTTGGCTCCCAAAAGTTTGAAGACAGACTGCTAGTTAACTAAACTGAAGACTGTGAAGGGGCGGTTGTGAGTGAAGGTGGCTTAATACAGCTTTTTTCTTTATTTTTCCTCTCCAGACTCACACACCAGATATTGGGGGCCAGGGTACAACCTCAGCAGCTGTTCAGTCCATCCTGCAACAGATCAAAAAATCTAACCCAAACCTGGCAATGGTGAGTTGGGTAGGAAGGTGACAGGTTTGCAGCTCTCAAGGGGGGGGGGGGGGGGAGGGTTGAAGTGGAAGGTGAGGAAGGGAAGTTATAAGATTTTGATGAAGTGCAGACCAATGTCGTCATACCAATGTTTTTGTATGATTGTACTTGCTTGTCCTTACTGAGCAGCTTCTGCCTTTAGGGATTGGATGTAAGGCAGGAGAAGGAAGGGCAGGGGCTTAGGGGGCACTGGTAACAGCAGAATTTAGGGGCTGCGTGGACACAAAGGATCCTCCTGCAACTGAAGCCGAGCAGTTTTAAACTTCACTTGTCCTTGCCTTAGGCTTTGCCTCTTTACAAAATGGGAATTTTAGTGATTAACCAGTGTGAGGTTGGGCAGAATGAAATATAAGTAGTTCTAAGTCTGTGTAGCCAAGAGCTTGTGTAGCCATTCAATTCTTTTTACCTTTGCCTGTTATTGTTTTTTAGTGACATTCTGAAGCCAAGGAACCAGGCTCAATAGCTGTTTGAGCTGCAACTGAAACAAATACCCCTCATGTCTGCCTGAAGGAGGCTGGAGCAACTGCTGCCTGTGACTAGAACAGACTGTTCCATTGTGAACTAGCCAAGCACAAACTCCCATCTTCTGTATATAGTGTGTAAGATGGCAATTCATACCCACCTCATGAAAGGGAAATAAATGGAAATGTGAGGCCTATCATGTCTCTGTGTCTCCTGCTTTTAGGCTGACTAGTAGATAAGCACAGCTAAGTGGATTAATGGTGTGGTGAGAGAGAGCAGCAGGGGAGAGGGAAGTTTTGGGCTATGGAGCATGGTTTTTATCGTAGGGAAGGATCCTGGTGACTTACACTGAAGGAACTTACAATCAAGGACTGGCTAAGGGAGCAGCCAAATACAAGGGCCAGACTCCCCTAGCTAGGGAAGAGAGCTGGCTGCTTCCTGCAGTATAACCTACCACCATGGCACCTGCAGACTGGAATCTAAGATTGTGTCGGTTTTTAAAGAAGCAGGTTTTCCTGTGGCTACAGCTGCACATCCCTTTGTTCCAACACAGTACAGAAAGACGCACTTAATTTTCAATGGATTTTGTGAATGCCAAAGAGAATGGTGATATAAAAGCTAAATTCTGCAAGCAGCATATGACTTCTGCTGCTGCTAGCAGTGGGGAGCACTAAAGAGCTGCAGCCCACTAATGCTTTGCCCCCAGCCAAGCACTGCCTAGACTTAACATCCTATCTTTACAGTCAGGGACTAGAAACATGCACTCCAGGGCAGGAGGAGAGGTCTATACAGAAAGCAGCCTCCTGGTAAATGGTTAGGTTCATGCAGACCTTGTTGAGCTGTCTTAGGTGTGGTAAATTTCAGACCCACAGGCTGGATGTGGCACTCTAGTCCTCCAGAACTCTCCACCAGGCTGCATCCCGTACCGGACCTGCTCTGTGTCCTTGAGTGCTTTTGCCCAGCTGGAATGTGTCCTTGGAACTGCAATAATGGCTCGTGTGTCTGGCTGTAGAGGTGTGTATGTAGAAACCTCTGACTTCACAAAGGTGCAGTAGGTGACAGTCCACCTAAGGTAAGAGTCACATCGGTTGCTCTGTCAACTTTGCCTCTGACTCCTTGCGCTGCTTCCAGCCCAGCCCTTGGAAGTGTGTGTGGCCCTGGGCTGGGAGAGGCTCCCCATCCCTGGTGTATTGGGGACCTTCTAAGTTTGCTTTTTCTTTTACAATGAGGGGCTGATATTTCTCAAGGTGAGTTTTGTTCTGAACTTCCATTCTACTCTGTGGCAGTGTGAACTTTTACCACCACCACCCTCCCTCCATACCACTGCACACCCAAGATATCAATCCCAGAAGGGAAGTAGAAGAACAACTTCGCTTAGAGGGAGTAACTCTAACCCCTTTCCCCTCACAGGAGTTGAGAACCTGATCCTCAAGACGTTCTCCTCCAGTGCGGTCTTCCTAAACCCAACTTTGCCCTTAGAAAGGAGGAGGAGGCAGAGGCTATTGCAAACGTTTTAATGAAAAGTCTTGAACTCAAATCCCTGGAACAGTAGAAGGGCCTTCAAAACACACACACACAAACACACGCACACTCCCCAACATGGGCAACACCCTAAAGCAAGGGCAGGGTTTCTTGTTCCAGAGACTGCAGTGCAAGGCAACAGTATTGCTTCCCTCTCCCTATGCCCAGTTCTCTTGCACCACAACTTTGGTTTAAAGACACCAGTCTTGGGCAGTACTGCGACCAGTTGTCTGCCAGACCTAGGAGGCTTCCCCAACACCACCTCCCCCTTTATAGTATGAGGCTGCAGAATGCAAGAGCCAACCACAACTTCTGGGTTCCAGTGCTATAGCCATGGGACAGGCATCAGAACTTGGGACTTTGGGTTTAAGCCTAGCTCCACACATCTTTTTCCTCCTCCTGTTCTGTGTCTTTCCTCTGCTTGTGGTTCCTCCTTTTCTGAACCCAAAATGTTTTGGGGAAAATGCTACAGGGGCACTCCCACACCATTCAATCTTTCATCACGAACAGTAGATAAGCTTCTTCCTAAAGGCACAAAAGTAGCTTGGAACAGTGTCAAGCTTTTTGGAGCGGCTACACTCTGCCTTATAATAATGAAAACTGACCACAGGTAGCAAAAGTGTCCGGAAACGTTGGGGGGGGGGGAGCGGGAGCTGTTGTAGCAGTTTGAGAGAGCAACAATGCCAGCCATTCCAAAATATGCATTGTGGGGAGTAGTTGGTGGGTAAAGACACACACACACACACACACACACACACACACACACACAACCTAGCTTGCTTTCTCCCACCAGCTAGGGTAGTGGGTGAAATTGTATGATTCCCATTCACCTCAAACTGGAGTGAAAAAGGAAACTGAGGCAAAATAGGACTAAAAGACAATTAGAAATGGGGGAGAAGAGACTTCACAACATACAAAAAAATCCCAGCTATTGAAAGCTGCCCTTAGAGACTTTCCCTTTGCAAAAATCTTTCCTTAGCAATGACAAGGGTTAGAAACTTGTTTGTTTAAAAAACTTCTGAGATTCTTAGAATACCAAATTTATGAGCAACTCCTGGCTAAAGTAAAGCATGTTAAGGGCCATGACCCATGCCTAGGCAGCAGGGGAAAGGACGCACAAAGGACTCTTGGGGTAGAGGAGGGGCCCATTTATTCAACTCTTAACCACAAAGTTGCTGGCAGAAACCTGCCTGCAAATGCCTGTGAAGTGCAGAGACATCAGGTGCTGACAGCCAAGCCAGAAAAACAAATTCTTTCACCTCCACTGCCTATACGTTTCTACTGCTTCCTGCATCAGCTACCTTCTCTCATTCCCTCCAAACAGTGCCACGGCTGGACCTCCAGGCCACGGTCATGTCACTTTGCACACCTTCATTGTCACTTTTCCTGCAATTCATTGGCATGGAAATTTGGACAGGGTAGGGGCACCAGCCAGGAGCTGCAGCGTCTCTCTGCCACCACACAAAGAGCTGCCCTTCCCAGCTTTCTTGCTAGAACATCCATGCACTTCTTCCTTTTCATCATTCACACTCTGCTCACATACTGAGCCTCTCTCAAACCCACACATGCTGGGAGCTTCACAGCCACTCTCTTTGCCCACCAGTTAGAAACGATGGGGAGCAGAGGGCAGGGGGAGAAACTGGCAAGGAAGAACCACAATGAATTCTTAAAAGTCAAACCGCATCAGTCAAGGGTACATGGAGATGGTGGCCATGGAGATCTCCCAAGAAGGCAACTTCTAGGAAAAGAGTCAGCAAGGGATTGTGGGAATCTTCTGGCTGTGCTTCAGAAATGACCACAGAGTGAACCTGGCTCCTGGGTTCCAGTCCTGCTTTACAGTTCCCCCTTCTCCACTGTGATCAGCCAGAGAGAAGAGCCTCTTGCCTCCAGTTCTGCAATGCAGTCCACTTAGGGGAGGAGCTGGGGGAGACAGCCTTCCCCCCTGCCTGTCAACTCCAGTGATGGGACCAGGTCCGTGCCAAGGAAATCTTGTGCAGGCGAGAAGACTGCTTCCTTCAAGCAACCAGTCTGTCTGGACTTCTGCCTGGCCTTAAGAGTTGAGCCACGGATGCTCCAGGCACTGGGAGGCTGTAGTGCGTTCCTCTGGGATGTATTCCATCATGGGCAAGAGGAAGTCCGTGAACTGGGCTGCTTGCTCGAGGGGCCACTCATATTTCTCCACCAGGACCTCGTACAGGCCCCAGTGCTTGAGATTCTTAATGTGGCGTAGTTCCCCTGGGGAAGGAAGGAGGACAAAAAGGGCAAGGTTAGTGGAGAGACCCCATCTTGGGCTGTGTGTACTTTGCACTGGAGGAAAGTAAAATGAAATGAAAATTCTGCACCAAGGAAAACCAAACTCGTGCCTGGTTTATCTCTTATTTTGTGAAATTAATTCTGGGCCTGGCTAGTCATGGAGATAGGCAAAGAGTTATTGAACAGTGGGCATCATATTCAACAGGCATTGCTCACACACTCTAAAGCTGTGTTGTCACAGTACAAGGGCTAGAAACTTTCACCTCAGGAAGTGGAACATGATGCCCAAAGCCACATTCAGCTTCTATGCTCCTGAGATTGCAGCGTACATTCCCAGTCCAGGCCAGCCAACTGTTCCAAAGTTAGACAGACTACATGGGAAACATACACCAGTTCTGAAAAGAACATGCAATGTGGCCCTGGGATCATCCTGCATAAGCCCCAATCATCACATTTTACCTCTTAATATATTGTCATAGAGGTGCTTGGTGTGGGAAAGATTGCCCAGAGTGGTGGTAGTTATGCTATTAATCCCACCCTGCTGCTGTATAACTGACAGCACACCCACACTGCAACTCTTGGGGAGAGGCCCAGCCTCCCAGAAGTGAAAGCATGAATATGATCAAAACGGGCATTTAATATGCAGTAAACAGAGTGTGCAGTAAACTTCTAGATCCTGTACCCTTTGTGGGTCTTCATGCTGTTTCTCTCTGTGGAGCAGGAAAAGTATGTAATTAGTAGAAGCTGGCTAAACTGTAGGAGCTTCCTCCAATGTAGTGCCCATTCATTTTCCCACAGCAGCTAAAAAAGGGTGCCCCAAAGCAGGGCATGAAGGTAGCAGCCCTCTTGACTCAGCGTCTTGTACTCTGAGGCTCCATTTAGCTACCATTGATAGACCTCTCCTCCATCTAATGGTCCTCAACATCATCAGTGGCCAGATTCATTGAATGAGAAGCAATTGGGCAAAGAGAGAAAAAGAACAGACAGGTGGACACAGCAAAAAAGGCATGCAGAAACAACAACAGTCCCAAATCGCTACCCAGATACTCTTAGTACTGATGACAAAGGTTGAGGGACCACAGAGTTCTGCAATGCAGCAAACACTCTTGTACCCTAACGAAGAAGGACAAAAGACTAGCTGTCCGTGGCTGTTTGTAGGTGCCCACCTGAAACCTGTGAACCTTGTCTAGCTAAAGAAGACGAGGTGAAGTGGCTGCCAGAGGTGGCAGGTGTGGGTGACAGACAGACTGAAAGTGCAGAGTACATCCCACTGAGAAGTTGGGCAAGTCCAAATGAACAAAAGTTGTTCCACATTACTTGGAACGGAGAACGTGGGCTACACTTAAATGACCAGCCACTTGCGGAAGAGGCTGCTTGTGCATGCAGTTAGCCTGATTCTGGACACCCCAGACAACAAATGCTGTGACCTTCATGACATTTACCACTGGCAGGGTAGGCAGAACCTATTAATGACCCCCCAGAAATGGTGACATGTTCCCAGCCTTAGGTTTCACCACAAACCTGTTTTTTTTCTGGCCAAAATCTCAGCTGCCTGAACAACTTCTTTCCTTCAGTGGTCATGATCACACAGTTCCTTCAGCTTCTTGTTGTCAACTTCTCTTACACACATGCTCTCCCCACCCCTCACAATTCCTCCTGACAGCCTTTGAGCATGATACGGATGTGTTGTGGAAGCATCCACTTGGAACAACATCCTCGCAACCCAGAGAGGCTACATTCCCTAACTTACCTCTCCTGTTGAAGTACTCGCGCGAATAGCGCCCGGAAAGAGCAAAGTGCGGAGGGATATCGCCTAGTAACTCAACAATGTGGGCAATATGATCTGAAAAGCAAAAGAGGAGGGAACATCAGGGTCTGCGTGTCCCAGTCTCTCCCCCCTCCAGAGTTCCAGCAGGCCTCTTGTGAAATTCTGGCATCAACAATGCCTCCAGATTAGAGCACAGAGGGAGATTTAAGCCCAGCTGGCTAGGCAGGCCTCATACACAGCATCCTCATTTGGCTCAACCAGTGAGAGCTCTTTACCTTCATCCCTGGTATAGTCCTCGCCCGAGTGTGGTTCAAAGAGGTAATCGCCAGTAGCCAGCTCAAATGCCTGTCAAAGAAAGAGAATCATCAGGTTATGCAGTTAAGGCAGGGGTGGCCCATCCTATTTCACCACATGAATGGGCTGCCTTCTGCCAGACCCACACGCAGTGTTCCACAAGCCCTTGCTACTTGAGTTCTCTACCGCAGAGGGGGGAAGACGAGTGGCAATGCTGTGCACTGGAACACCTCCCTCTCGTCGAAACCTGGTGACGGTGGTGTTCTGGTGGCGACGGAAGCAGTGGGGCAGGCGGAGTGCTGCCTCCTGCACCTTTGCCACCTAAGGCAGATGCTTCATGAGTGGGCTGGCTCTCAGTTAAGAAATCTCTCCTCTTCCCCATGGCCCGTTGTGACTTTTCAGATCAGCTAAACATCAGGACCCAGGTGGTTCTGCATGCCAGTGCCAACCTCTGGCCAAAGGTGGGAACTACCGTATTTTTCGCCCCATAGGACGCACTGCCCTATAGGACGCACCTAGTTTTTTTGGGGGGGGGGGAAATAAAGGAAAAAAATTATTTCCCCCCCAGGCACGGGGCTGGCGTGGGGGAAGCCTGAGCTTCCCCCAACCCCAGCCCCCAGAACAGCCTGCTATCCGCAAGCCTAGGGAGCCGCGCCGGTCTCCCCAGGCTTGTGGACAGCTGTGTGAAGCCCGCACGCTCTTCAGCGCACCCGAGGCTTCGGAATGCAGGCAGCTCTGCGCAACCCTCCGGAGCCTCTCGCTCTCCAGGCTTCAGCGAAAGCCTGTATTCGCCCCAAAGGACGCACACACATTTCCCCTTCATTTTTGGAGGGGAAAAAGTGCGTCCTATAGGGCGAAAAATACGGTACATGGAAGCCAGTCAGGCCAGCAAGGAAGGCTAAGCCCAAGGCCTGAAATGCTCATGTGGTATTGCCTGACCCTCTCGAGGAGGTTTTTGAGCTGGCATACTCACTGGTCTAAGAAGCAAAGGGAATCATCTGCTGCGCATGCGCATGAGAACACGCACACACACACACCCTGCCATGAAAACTTGGCAGAACCAATGACTGACATCTGAATATTTGTTCTATCATGTATCAAACTCAGGCAGGCAGAACAGAGAAGGAGCCATTCCTAGAGTGTGAGGGTCTTGCAGGGCTGGCTTATTCGTCACACAGTCATGTAGAATCCGCGTTATCAGCTTTTACCGCGTGCTGATATTAAGATGTTGGTGCAAAGAAATTGTGGATTATACATATTACATATGTGTATATGTCTGTGTATCCCAAGCAGCTTAAACTTTTTCTTTTCCGGCAATTGCACCAGCTTTGGAGGAAACTTCATTGAAAGCAATCGCGCAGGAATGACTTAATTGCATGACAAAAACATCACAAGGAGCCATTTTAAAGAAGCCTCAGGGTGGACGATCTGTGAGACGGGCAAGCCAGACTTTTCCCCAAGCCACGTCCCCCTGCTCACACTCAGTGTGCTATACGACATCAGGTTGGGGGGTAAAGGTAAAGGTAAAGATGCAGCTGCAAAGGGACGGTCAGGAGGCTTAAGGTGCACTTCTGATTGTTCCAGCGGGGCTTGTATTCAGCGCCTCTTAAACTTAATGCCAAATGGGTTCCCTCTCAGGAGCCCCAGAGCTGCTGGGTGGAGCCGGGTCCCTGCCAAAAGCCACGCCTCCTTTGCCCAGGCAGACTGATTTCAAAAGAAGCATAAAATGGCAAAGCACAGGAAGGGCAAAGGTCAGAAGCATAAAGTTTCTAAAGAGTGTGTTTGGTTCAAGTACTTGTTTTGTGTTAGGATTTTAAATGTGCGGCTATTAGACTGTAAGTAGAGTTGGCAACAAAGGAAGTATATTTATATCTCATTAACCACCTAACATTCAGCTCATTCTGGCACACAGCCACACAAGCAAAGCCTGCAAAGGAAGCGGGAGGTATCTTGACAAATAGCAGTCACTACACTGACAAAAGGGAAGGCCTGATTTTTAGTAGGGTAGGAGAGCTAAAAATAATGCCAAAATATTTCACATCTGGCAACCAATACGCCCCTTTCGTTTCAGATAGTACACGGGTAGATGAGTCTAAAAAGCCTGGGACATAATTTTCATGGCCCTCTCGCGGCTATGGTGGCTCATTTACCAGAAGTAATGTATTTAGCGTTAACTCTGGAAGTGTATACTCAATTCTGACAAAACAAAGCCTTGCATAGCCAAACCAGGAGGCTTAGTTTGGTCCGAACCCAGAAAGCCTCAGGGAAGGACCTTGCTGCTTTTCAGCAGAAGAGCTTGAGTGGAGCCTTGCTGGATCCCACCAAAGACTCATCGAGTTCGGCATCCTGTCTCCCGCAGCAGCCCTTCAGATACCTCCGAGGAACCCGTAAGAAGGGCATGAGTGCAACAGCTCCCTCCTGCTTTAGCTCCCTGGCCACAAGTATTAATTTGAGGCATTATGCCTCTGAAGCTGGAAGTTCCATATGAACATTGTGACTGACAGTCAAGTGCCTTTGCGATTCAGTGCACGGTCAGCAAGACCCCACATTGCCCATCTCCAGGTTTGGACTCGCCAGAATAAAAGAATATGCTTAACCAATGGCGAGATGGTGACCACATTTGTGGACATGTTTTTTAGTTGAAAACCCCAAACGACATCGAGCTCCACCACCACCAGAATATGGCACAAGAAGCGGAAGGAGCCCCGTGAACCTACCATGCATGCTGTGCTCCAGATATCAGCAGGAGTGCTGTAGATGGCACCAATTAGCACCTCCAGTGCCCGGTATTGGCGAGTCTGAATGTCCTCCGTGAAATGTTTGTGCTGAGGAAATTGAGAGTGTGAGGAACATCCCTGTGACATACCTATGTACGTACGGACATGCTCTCTTGCGCATATGTGCACATGTAGAACCCACATCCCATGCTCTCTTCAACAGCCGCCCTGTGGGCCAATCCAGTGTGTGTCTCCCACTGTGACTACCATTTCCTAAGCCAGAGCATATATGCACTGCTCACCAAAAGCAGAGCCCTAGTTAACCCCACATGTACCTTCCAAAAGGCAGACCACTGCCACCATCGCCACTCCTTACTAAATCCCATGTATTTTTTCCTCCTTGGCAGCTTTCCCCAAGATACAAATCAATTTACTCCCTATATGGAGCCCTCATTTAATTTTTTAAAGAACCTTAAAAGCTGGACATGTTGAAATTATAAACACATCAATATGTTTGCTTCCTTCCACTGAAGCTTGAGATGCTCAGAATCTTTTCAATTGAAGAAATGTGTGTGTGTGTGCTCTTCTCTTTTAAATTTCCACAGCACAAATAATTAAAAATTGAAGCAAAAACTGTGTAGAGTGTAAATGCAGAAATACACATTATGTGGGAAATACAGGGTGCCCATAGCTTCAAGTCCCCGAACAGCCCACATGCTCCCAGTCTCTTCTGTGCAGCCACCACATTCCACTCCCCATGCGACAGACAGCCCCACCAGAGCTGCTCCCTTCAGGAGGTGTGAGCAACATGCGCTCCAATAACTCACCACCCAGCAGGCATTTCCCAGATCTGCTATCTTCACTCTGATTTTGTCTGCATTTTGAGGTTCCAAGGGGTTCACCAGGAATTCAGAGGTACCAAAAGCTGCAGAGGCAGACCAGGGCAGGGAATCAGGTGAAAAACAAACAAAACAGTCCTTCAAAGGCCACTTTTATGGGACATCCACAGATGCTGAAGGGGTAGTAAGCAATGGTTTAGCCTAACAGTTGTGCTATTCAAATTTAACCACTCAACTGGCCAGCTAAACCAGGTGAGGGTAGTCAATGGGTCTCCAACCCCTGGTGAGTTAGGAACTTCCCCGGCATGCAAAGACAGGCTCCAGCAGATTGAGTGGACGAGACCAAGAGTGGGTACAGCAGTCAATAAGGCAGTTTCTGCATGTGCTGAAGAGGGACGTGAGGGGAAGATGGGGCTCGTCAACATAAGAAGGTAGCCTATCTAGAAGGAAACTCTGATCCTAAACTTTCACTGGCTTGCAGGATATTTTCAGGAGAAGAAAAAGCTAAGGAGTAAACCCTACACAAATCTGGAATGGAGCCAGAATGACCTGAGCTCAGAAGGAGGATACGCAACAGTGACTAATACAGACACACAGGTGATTCTCCTTAAAATTAATTATTTGGAGTGATAAGACTGAAGGATGCCTCAAATTTTAATTAAGAATAATGGTTTGCCTCTGCTATCACAACTTGAGAGAAAGCTGGCCAAAGGGAGAGTCAGCTTTTGGGCGTTTGGGCCTACATGGCTCCTTTGTCATCTTGCCCCTGTAAACCCATGAGAGATACTCACTGCTGGGGGAGAGAAGCCCTCCACGCTCCCGCTGGTTAGAGACACCTGACATGGCTGAGCCAGAGAAGAGGGACCCTGAGAAGCCGGAGGTTGCTGAGTCAGGGCTGAAATGGCGGCTGGCTGTGCCAGGTGGAGAGTGCCCGTTGCAGCTGTCATAGGCATTGTGTGTGTAGAAACCAGAAGACGATGTCAGACTCTGGGGGCTGCAAGCGAGAGAGCCCCCTGAGGGCTCTGTCCCCCCAGCTGTGGAGACCATGATGGGGGCTCCGTCAGGCAGGTCTACAGAAGAAGAAAGAGGAGGGTCAGGGTTTCCTGGTATCATAAAAAGTGTGCTGTGAACAGCACTGATTGAAAAGGAGAAAGAGAGTTGCATTATATGTTTCTGAAGGGAGAGGCATAGGTGAAAGGGCACCAAAAAGGTAAGAATCAGGAGGTGACTACATCCCATTTCAAGAGTCAGGATGTAAAATGTTCAAAAATAAACCTATTTACTGCAAGGCAACTGGATCCACTTTGCTGCTTCTTGCTAGCATTGGGGAGAAACAAACCATTACCCCTGGGCTTAACATTACATTTCAGCCAGCGACCGAGTTGCCATTTGTTTTGCTCCAAACAAACCACAATGATAAACCAATATTCGTTCTTAGCTTACTAGTCATGGGTTGCTTAGAGTAAGATCCCTGGTTCAGACAGAACGCTAAGCCAGGGGCCTTCATTTCCTCCGTGCACTAGGAGGGAGGAGAACAACAGCCTAGAAAGGTACATTCACAATAAAACGTTAACTATGGTTTATTCTGATGGCACGTGAAATGGACCCATGTAAATGCCAGGAACAAACAATAGGCAATGTAAATGCTAGCGTACAAGTGTAGGGGAGGCAGTGAAGGGGCACAAGCTCAAATATTTTAAGCTGCACAAAAGGGTGTGAGAGTAAGTATGCAAAGATTGGGGGGTGGTTGTCAAGCCTCCAGACCTGACCACACAAGAGAACCAGCTGCACCCCACAGCAGCTGACTTCCCTCTCCCAACCTCACCTGGATCTGCTGTGGGCTCGCTGGCATCTCCTGCTGCCAGGGTCGCCAGTTCCTCCAGCTGCTGAAGGTCCCGGAGCCGTTCTGCCAGGAGCTGACTTTGTCGTTTCTGCTTCCTCTTCAGTTTCTTCCGCTTGTTCTTCGAAAGCTTCCCATTCTGGGAGATGAGATGACCCCATGTCACAGCCCTGTTACTTACAATTCCAGGGCTGCATGGGAAAGTGAGCGGGGGTTGGGGGGGGAGCATGCAAAGGAGCCACATGGCAGGCCCTGAGGTTTGGGGTAGAGAACGGGAGAAGGAGAAGGAACAAACCAAGGGAATCACCAGGAAGCAACTCAAAGTGTCAGTGGGCAGTGCCAGAACCCCAAAACAGCGGGGTGCAATTTCACAGCAAAACACACAGCTTGCAAGAGAGTAGTTGTGTGCAAAGAAATGGGGGCGGGCAAAGGATGAATGAGGAGAAAGATGTAGCAAGAAGAAGAAGAAAGGCATTACATATCTGTAAGAGCAGATGCAAGAGCAAGTGAGCAAATGAGGCCTAGTGGTCAGCCTGTTTCTGGTTACAAACGGGGATTCTCCTACCTGAAATGCTACCCCAAACAAAATAATTTCTGCCACACAAAAACTAGCATGTCGAGGAAGAAGGCAAGATGGACAAGGCCCTTCCCCCAAAAAACATTAAGTTTTCTATGTGCAGTTATTTATTTATGCAGGAACATTTTACTCAAGTGAGCACCCACCTCAGTGCTACGGCTCAAACACCTCACTGAACACTAGTCCTACAAGGAAACAAGGACTTGTGTAAAGGCACAAGCCAAATGTAAGGGCTGGGCCTATAAAAAAGCTGGGCCAGACCAACTGCAGAAGAGAGTGGTCCCTCACTGATAATATATTTAGGGGTGTCAAGAAAATTGTGCACAATTCAAATATTGGAGCCCAACATCTGCTGTGATCCTGCAAAGCACCGGTGTGTGTGTGTGTGTGTGAGATTCTGGGTGGCTTGCAGGCACTGTAGCTCTTAAATCCCAACATCCCCCACAATCAATTATAGTGTTGGGAGGGCCCCTGAGGGTCATCTAGTCCAACCCCCTGCACTGCAGGAATCTCAACTAAAGCATCCATAACAGATGGCCACCCAGCCTCTAAAAACCTTAACTTTACTTGGGTATTTGCAACTGGGCTTCCCTAAGGCACCTCACTGCTTTCTAAAGCAGTGCTTCCAGGAGCACCATTAACAGCCCTACCCATTAACAACCAATTCTCTTTCCTTCTGCGCATGGCTGATTGCATTGTTTATCCCACTGTGATGACTACAGCAGCCAATGACTAATGATCTCTCAATGTGGGAAATCAAAATGGGAGAAATACTGTAATACAGCCAGAAGTGAACAGAAATGAAGTGAATAGGAACAACAGAAATGAAACAAGGCAGCACCACCTATTAATTGCAAATGAGATGCATCTGGGAGGGAAAAGAGGGACTCTGAAGGAATAATAAGGGGAAATAAATAAGGGTTTTTTTTAAAAAAAATGAACAGAATGAGTTTGGAGAGATTAAGGAATGGAACTGCCTGACAATAATAATAATAATAATAATAATAATAATAATAATAATAATAATTTATTATTTATACCCCGCCCATCTGGCTGGGCTTCCCCGGCCACTCTGGGCGGCTTCCAAAAGAATATTAAAATACTATAATACATCAAACATTAAAAGCTTCCCGAAACAGGGCTGCCTTCAGATGTCTTCTAAAAGCCTGGTAGTTGTTGTTCTCTTTGACATCTGGTGGGAGGGTGTTCCACAGGGAAGGCGTCACTACCGAGAAGGCCCTCTGCCTGGTTCCCTGTAACTTGGCTTCTCACAGTGAGGGAACCGCCAGAAGGCCCTCGGTGCTGGACCTCAGTGTCCGGGTAGAACGATGGGGGTGGAGACGCTCTTTCACGTTGGATGGAACACATTATCAGTTAAAAAATAAATGGAAGAAAATAAAGAAACTACCAATGGAATGAATCTGTGAGAATAAAGGAACAGCCTTACTTTGGAAGGAAAGTAATGATCTGGCCGTGCCCATTTTACCATGCAGCCCTCAGAGGGTGGCCATGGGCCACTCTGGACTTCTGCCCCAAAAGGCTTAGCCACCCCTGTAGTAAAATGTCTTGGGTTAGGCCTGGCTGGGTTAAAGCAAAAGCAGGTGCAGGAACAAATAAATGACGTACAGAAACAAGGGTGTGCTCGGTGGCAGAAGCATGAACTCCAGAGAACACACACAAGGCATGAAGGGCGTGAAACTGGGAATGAGAAGACAAAGAAACCATAATGGGTGTGCGAGAGGACACCATCTTGCACTTCCACAAGCAAAAAGGGATGCAAATCTCTCTCTCTGTGTGTGATGATATATGCAAACTGGTGTTTTTAAGGTGGAAAAATAAAGCAGGCAGATGGGTGGGCAAAATAAACAACTAAATGCTATGGGATGAGCATATGAATTATGACCCTTTGTCTTTCCAGCAAAGCTGAGCAACAACCAATGCCCTATCCAGCACTAACACAACAGAACAGCAGGAGTAACAACGGGGCAGCAGCAACAGCAAGAACCGAGTCAGGAATTATGCGATTTTAAGGAAAGATTTTTATCTACATGCAAGCCCATAAACCTGTATTGGCTGATTACCATCACACATCCTTTTAAAAGTGTTTGTTTTGTTCTTGTTTTTATTATGTATTTAATGTTTTATTTTTATGCTGTGAACTCCCCTGAGGTCTTTGGATGAAGAGTGGTATACAAATTTAATAATAAAATGAATAATAATATTCTATCCCCTTCACATGTGCACCTAGAAGTCACGTTACAACATACTGGCATCATGGCACTTGGGATATGGACTCATCTGTACAGAAAATGCAAGGAGGGAACAAGTCAAAATACACAAGGCTCTGCTGCATTAACCAAAGAACTTCTATCTTGTAGCAGCTTTGTGTCTGGTAAGAAAGCAAGTGGTCAAGCTGGTTGCACTTCCTCTTGGCTGGCTTCTGATGGACTATCAAAAAAGAACTGGCTTCCTTGATTTCTCTAAGGCTAGCTGTAAGATGTGGTTTCCCTGGTCCAAAACTCTCTCCTTTTTTGTGTTCACACTTGCATGCCTTCTTGTCCCCCTTACTGGCACAGGCAGAATCGAGAGTGCATTGTCCCTGCTTGGGATTTGCTACATAAAGGCCAAAGAGAAAAACCCAAAGAAGTGTGACAGGCAGCGCAGGTAAGCAAAGAGTGTCCACAGAAGAGAGTGCAGAGTCTTTGGAAATCATCAGATGGCTTTACAAGTTGAAGTGCAATCTTGGAAAAGTGGACAAGAGCCAGTCCTCAGCCAGTCCCAACATGGGGACATTTCAGAAATGAGGAATCAAATCTGGTACACTTTTATGGGATAATCTGTCTATCTATCAAATGTGTGTGCTACATGAAAATGAAAAATGAATTTGCAATGCTGTCTCTGCCTTATTTGTGTACGTTATGTTTCCCATGAACACTTCTGCCCTTCTTTGAAGTGACACAACTGGAACCAGGCAGGCACAATGACTGGAACACGGGGAACGGCCTTAGAGCAGGTCGGACTATTTTGTGCTTCCAGCTCAGTATCAGCTTTTCCGCTTGGCAGCAGCTCCCTGGACCTTTTCCATCATCTGCTAAACATGCCATTTAATGGGAGATGCCAGGGACTGACTTCTGCATAGCATGTGCTTTTCTGCTGAGCTGTGAGCCCTCACAAAGAGAGGCTTAGGCCAGTGCACAGGTGCATTCTCACACTGCAGGGCAGTGCCACAGTTAAATTAACTGTGTGCCACACAGAACAAAGTACAACCCACACAAGGCTGTGAAGCTCTTGCCTCTCTCTGCACTTTGTTTTTGTATCCAGTAAAGGCTGCAGACATCTCTGGCACATGTGAAAAATTGTCTGTGGCTGGGTCCTGTTAAGCCTGGACTGTTGGTAAATACAGGTGTGACCATGAGAATCTTGTATGCGAATTGCAAAACAGGGGGCAGGGGGAGGCCCATCCATCCACACAAGGCCACAGAATACAGCAACAATAATTACCAATTCTAAACTTAGTTTTTCCACCACCTTTGAAAGGGGTAGTGGCACCAAGAGGAGACTTACCAGGCTCTCCTGGGGTGCAGAGCTGACTGAGGGAAGAGGTGCACAGATGGAGTGAGGAGAGAAAAGAGGGAGAGAAAGAGACAGAAATGATTCCCAGAATCCAACAGCCAGGAAGTCTAAGGCAAACAAACAACAATCCGTAACACTGTGAAGATAAATATAGGGGAGAGGATGTGGGAGGCAGCCAAGCTCCCTAGTGAGGGTGGATTGACATTCTAGGCCATGGCTGGTAGTCCATGGCCCACAGAGTGATGTTGTGATTCTTGCCCTCTCCTTTCCTCCCATCAATCATCCTACAAGTCTACCCTGCTTGGTCTTGAATGTGCAGTCACCACTTCTGGAGATCCTTAGCATAATCTCGAGTTCCTGTGCAGATACTCATTAGAGCTGCTCTCTAAACCTCCACCTCTAACCATTAGCCATGCCGACTGCGGTTGATGGGAGCTGGTGTCCAACATTATCTGGAGGGTCACAGGTTCCTTATCCATGGACTGGAGTGACACACAGCCATGGCCATCAGTAACAAGTAGGGAGACTGGGGAGAGCTGCTCTACTCAATTATGTGCATGCACACACGCACTCTTCCTGCACTATGTTTAAGGCTGCTGTCTGGAGATCAGCAACTGCACCAGCCGGGTCCTCCACCTGCTGAGTCAGAGAGGCAAGAGTCTGGGTGGGAAAAGTGATGGCAAGAGCGGTGCAACTTTCTGACAATTCAGTTGCAAAGGGAGAGTGCAGGTTATATCCAACTCAGTTATATTAACAGAGCTATGCTTCAGTTAGGTCCATTATTTTCAGTGGATCTACTCTTGAGTAGGATTAACATAGGAAGCAACCCTGTGTGTATGCCTGCAATCTCCGTATTAAAGTAGTAAATAAACAGTAAATAGTTGCCAACTAGGGGCCTAGCCTTTCATGAACCATTGTAGCTTCAATTTTTCTGCACATCTTCCCAGTTGACTCTCCTCTACCGCACTCCACAATTCAGTCAAAGTTTTTCCTGTTTTATGCTTTGCCAAGGATTCCGTGGACAATTTGATTTATTTAGCATCACTATACTTGTATTATTGGCTCACTTGCTACTACTCTGATTCCTGCAATCAAACTTCACCCATATGTCTTGTAGGGTTGGGCGATACTTGGTTGTCAACACTGCAATATATCACCAGCTAAACATCGCAACAGACCGATAATAATCATGATGTAATAAGGATGGAACGATGTAGAGGTGTCTTGGGTATTCACTGGGTATTTAAAATTTAGTCACAGTTCAGTAAATGCAAACACAGGCACTACTACACTAAAATTAGTTATTAAGTCAATTGGAAAGAGGTGCTTGCTTAACTTCCTGCTAAAGTCTCCAACTTTTCCACTTGCCAACCCTGGTCTTGCCTGTCTAACGTAGGCGGGAGAATGGAGCCAGGGATTATCCTCTTCTTTCTAAAGAAGATGTGCCACTATAAAGATTAAAAGAACATGGGGAGGGTGTGACTATTTACCTGCAGAGCCAGAAGGGGGCGGGCCCCCAGCTTGCTGCCAGACAGTGGCCTCAGCTGCCAGGCGGCGCACGTAACTCTCATCTACACACAGCAGGATGTTCTCTGGCTTTATGTCTGTGTGGATTATTTTGCACTTCGTGTGGAGGTAGTCGAGGCCCTGCAATACCTGGGAAGGGAGATGCATGATCAAATGGGAGAATTCAAGGGTTTCCGAGTACAGAGGTTGTGGTATCAGGAACTACAGAGCTTATACAGTGGTACCTTGGGTTAAGTACTTAATTCGTTCTGGAGGTCTGTTCTTAACCTGAAACTGTTCTTAACCTGAAGCACCACTTTAGCTAATGGGGTCTCCTGCTGCCGCCGTGCCGCCGGAGCACGATTTCTGTTCTCACCCTGAAGCAAAGTTCTTAACCTGAAGCACTATTTCTGGGTTAGTGGAGTCTGTAACCTGAAGCGTATGTAACCCAAGGTACCACTGTACTGGGAACCTCAGAGCCTGGAATTTTGTTAACTACCATGGACCGTGTGCATGTGCTCAAGATACAGAACCCTCTTCAAGAGCAGAAGGATGTGTGTGCAATATCAGCCCCTAGATAGAAGAAGAAGAAGAGTTTGGATTTGATATCCCGCCTTTCACTCCCTTTAAGGAGTCTCAAAGCGGCTAACGTTCTCCTTTCCCTTCCTCCCCCACAACAAACACTCCATGAGGTGAGTGGGGCTGAGAGACTTCAAAGAAGTGTGACTAGCCCAAGGTCACCCAGCAGCTGCATGTGGAGGAGCGGAGATGCGAACCCGGTTCCCCAGATTACGAGACTACCGCTCTTAACCACTACACCACACTGGCTCTAGGACTAGATTTGGGAATGACTGCCTTAGGCCCCAGCCTCTCTTCAACAAATAGACTCATGTTCCTCTGTTCACCTGAATCCCCTCCCATCAAGATGGATTTTAGTCTAGCCTTCACCTCAATGGTCCAGCTCAGTGTTTCTCAAACCGAGGTTTCCAGCTGTTTGTGCACTACAACTCCCATAATCCCTAACTAGCAGGACCAGCCATCAGGGATGATGGGAATTATAGTTCAAAAACAGCTGGAGACCCAAGTTTGGGAAACACTGGTCTAGCTTTCCATATGCAGAGACTGGAGTTTTCTTTCATGGAAAGCAATACAACATGCAATATCCCACTGGTGGTCTAAAACTATACTCCAGAAAGAACTCAACCATATGATACCCCCATCCCCAACATACAGACACCTTCATTTCTGCTCAAGTTGTGTGGCTTGTTTGATTCAACCTCCCAGTGATTTTGAATATAATACAAGTAACCTAAATCTAAGCAGCCTAAATAAAGAAGGGTTGAAATGATCCCGATGTTACAAACAGATCCCAACTGGATTTAAAATAAATCCACTCTTTACCTGGCGTAGGATGCTCTTGACGCAGGGTATAGGAAGTCCCTGGTAGTTGGACTTGATGATCCATTTCAATAATTGGTGTCCTAAAACCTCAAGGACCATGCAGACATCTGGGCAGAGGTCGAGTCAAGGAGACACAGTAAGCTAAAATGATTTCCCTAGGTCTGAGCGATGTATCAGAACACTATGACAACCCTCATTTCCCCCATATTACTAATGTGGTGTTTTTAATGTCTTAAAATCAGATATGGAAGAGAAACTGTGCCAGTGTTCAGTGAGGAGGAGAACACTGAATGTTTTGAGACATTCACCTACTGACAACTGGCCACTGTGTGAAAACCATGCAACTTTCCACATGATGACAAAACTGGGATTCCTTTCCGGAACATCTCATTCAATAGCAGGAGTAGCATTATCTGCAGGGAATGACTGCATGCTTGCTGCTTTGTGTCTAATTAAATAAGGTAGATGTTGTGGACTGAAACTCCCACCATCCTTGACAACTGGCCATGCCAGCTGAGGCTTGTGGGAGCACACAGCCAGAACACAGAAACAGAACTATTCATTAAATGTGGCAGGGAATTGTAGAGCACAGGTAGCCTTGCTGGCTTTTCCCATGTCCTCACCTATTTACCATTTATTTTTTAAGAGGCTACATGAGAACGCCTACGAAAAATGGAACAGCAATGAGCACAGCCACCAATTTTTATTTTTAAGCTCTCAAAAAGTCATAGTGTGTGTGTGTGTGTGTATGCATACTGGAGAAGGTTCTGGTCATCATCAGAAGTGTCACAGCTACTAGCCAATAGATTCCTTCGACGCTGAACAGCTACAGTAAATGCAACATTCCAAACACCCATCATGGGGGGAGAGGAAAAACACCTTCCCAGCAAAAATAAATTGCAATTCATCTCAGGCCAATGTATGATTCTTTTCCGACAGTGACATGACCTGGAGGGTGTGGCCTAACAACAGTTGTGCCTCTGTCCAACAATAAAACAATCATCTGAAGCAGACTGCAACTGTTTATGTCCATCCTCATAGGCCTGATCCAAACAGAAAGTTCATTGCTTGCTCCAACTGTCTCTGGACTGTATCATGTCATATAGCAGGAGGCAGAATGCAGGACTGAACGCTCCCCTACAGAAAAAACATTCCTGAGCATATAAAACCAGGTTGCAAGATCAACTTTCTGCTGAATATGCTAACTTTTTATCTGTATGAAGAATTTGGTACTGCTCTTTGAATGTTTCCCCAACAAAACAACCACACCATTCTGGTCTAAGAAGTAGCAGAGAAAGCTTTGTCCTGACCTAGACATTCACCCAAGAGATACCTTCAGAAACCATAGTTTTGGAAGTCAATAGTGGCTCCTAACAATCTGAACAGGAGCACCTATGGTTTTCTGGGCCTGCTTGTGGAAGGATACGGACACCGTTGATCCCTGAGATCTTGAAGTCATCAATCAATTGGACAATGTTCTCACGCTTGGGGTCACAGGGATCAGAGTCTCGCACCTGGAAAGTAAAAAAAAAGGGGGAAATGACACATCCTAGATCACAGTCATCAACAGAAGCCCTTGGGTCAAAACGGCCCACCCTCCCCAGTTGCCAACCTGGAGATTAAAAAATGTAGAGATGTCGCATCTGTGGTAAATAACTTGTTAGCAGGACACTCTAGCAGGTGGGTCCTTCCAAGAAACCTTGATACTGACCAGGCTTCTGATCCAACCAGATCCTCCTAATTGAAATCCCACCACCCACCTTGAAGGAAGATGTGTGGGGCCTATGTGGCTGGAGGTGAAGTATGGCATGCTTAAATACTCCCTAGAAATAAAAAAGGCCCCGTGTGAAGAATGGGTAGGTTACAATAGAATCTCTGCTGGTACTCAAAGCGTAGCGAGCTTTTATTAATGTGAGGGAGTCCAATCCCTCACTGCACTATGAAGTTGTACAATCCCAATCATACTTAAAAAATAATAATTCTCAGGGTTTACAGTGGTACCTCAGGTTAAGTACTTAATTCGTTCCGGAGGTCCGTACTTAACCTGAAACTGTTCTTAACCTGAATCACCACTTTAGCTAATGGGGCCTCCTGCTGCTGCCACGCCGCCGGAACACGATTTCTGTTCTCATCCTGAAGCAAAGTTCTTAACCTAAAGCACTATTTCTGGGTTAGTGGAGTCTGTAACCTGAAGTGTATGTAACCTGACGAGGTACCACTGTATATCCCACCTGATCCACTCAAAGAGATTTACAATCTAAATAAAAACATTATAGAAAAGGGGGGGGGGATAAGTAAAGCCACAAAGCAGTCCAAACAGGACTTTAAAAACCCTAAAGGCAGAACCAGCATAAAGAGGGATAAGTCTCCAAAAGCTCCCTGGAATAAAACTGCCTTTGTTTGCCTATCCACAAGTGAGCAATGATAGAGCCAGGCAAACCATCCTTGGGAGGATGTTTTAAATCATAGATGTCACAGCTGAAAAAAACCCCAACTTGGGTACACTTCCACTGTATTTCTGATGTCAGGGGCCATGGGTATAGCCAGGATTTTTGTTAGGGGGGCCAGGACTTTTTTTAGGGGGGCAGAAATGACACGATTGGTCAGTTAATTAAATATTTCTATTCATTACTTGATCGGGGGGGGAGCTGTCCCCCTTGGCTATGCCCATGGCAAGGGCTCCCCTATAGCCGGGCATCAAACGTTGAACCAAACTGTCAAATCCATTATTATTTCCAAACAATATTCCACAAAGAAACACTGTTTAGAATAGGGAAATAGTGTCTTTGTGTGGGATGGGGAAGAAGGAATGTTTATTAGGAATCTACTTCAAATGTCAGAGTAGCAAACCAAACTCTCTGCTCCGGGTAGCTGAGAGTCGGCTCTCCTGTAGACTCGTACTTTTCACGTTGCTCTAAGGCAGCCTTTCTTAACAGTGTTAGAAACTGAGATATGAAGGCTAGGTGCTAAATGGCACCTTAAACCTAAGTTATGGACGCAACAACAAAATGTCTAGGCACGCTTTTTTTAGAACAAGAACACAAAGCTGAAAATGAATGAACTGCAACTAAAATATTACGTTCCTTTTTCACATGGTCTAGTCCTTCCCCTGCCCATCCCCCCTAATATTCTTAAGAGGATCTCTTCTCCAGTCTTCAGAGAATAGTTGGAAGTGGGGAGGCAGAAAAAGCTCCTCCTTTCCTTCCACTCTGCAGTTTTAATCTGAAATCTTAGGTGCAGTACTGCGCCCAGAGCTCAGAAACTGCTTGTGCTAATGAAATTCCCTGTTGCAAAATATGTCTAAAACAATGGGAGTTTTGAACACTGTTTCCCAATCCGGGGTGCCCTCCAGACATATTGGACTGCAATTCTCACGAGTCCTTACCAGCACCCAGTGTTTGCTGGGGCTGATGGAAGTTGTAGTCCAGGTCATACGGAGAGAAACAGATTAGATTGGCTAAGGGAACAGAAGACACTGTGTCTGACAGCAAAGGGTGGGATCTAGATAGTAAACAGAGCAAATGGATCCAGGGTAGGGGTGCTTCATCTGCTCCAAGCCTAGGCTGTCCAAGGGATCAGATAAAATAATAAAGAGCGGCATACACATGAGCACCGGTAGTTTATGGCTCAGGGCTCCCAAGCAGAAGGGGTTCCAAGTATGCCAAAATCTCACAAACTTCGTCTCCTTTTATTTAATCACTACTCCTTCTACAGGGCCCCCAGAACTGGGGAAAGGGATGGGCAAGGAGGACAACTCACACATTTCAGCAGCTTTATCTCATCCACGGCTGTCTCTGTATAGTGCACAGCGCTCTTCACCACTTTGAGGGCCACAAAACGCTTCCGCCTTGCGGGGGGAGACAGAGAAGAAAAGGACTGGTTAGTCCTGGCTCCCCCTTTCCACCTTTTTTTTAAAATTTTGCCCCCCACTTTGTAATCTCCACAGGAGCATCAAGACTTCTCAGATAAAACAAGTTAAGGACATAGTAGTGATTACAAAATAATAACAAATTCATAAAAGCAAAGTGGGAATACTTAACGATTTATGCAGTAGGAAACAGCAAGTTCCTCTGCTATTAAGACACTTGACTACCATGCCCACCCTTCTCCTTGTCCCACACACACTCAAGGACCCCCCCTCCCCATCCTCATGGGTCTTCCCAGAATCTGTGAATACAGATTAGGCAATCCCTTTATGCCCATCAATTAGTTTGTACTTAATAATCAGCAGCCTGGTAAGAAAGGCTGAGTTTCTGCCCCCACCCCATTGCGTCTTACTGAAGACGTTGGCTACTTTGGAATACCTAATTACAGGTAAAAAGCTGCAATCCTGTGAATAACCTCTGGATTTGCATTTCCAACCTTATCAGCCCTCCTGCTAAGGACTTAGACTGGGTAAAATGATCACAATGTGTGGTTCCAAAGGCTCAAATGGGCTTTTGTACAAACTAATAACTACGATGACAACATGTTTAAATTTAAGCAAGCTTCTAGCCCTCAAGAGCAGCAGAACAATCATGACCATATAAGCCCTCAGCACATTCCTCTCTTTTTCTTCTCCTTGCTAGGAATCTACAGTACAGTCATACCTCGGGCTGAATGTGCTTCAGGTTGAGCGTTTTCAACTTACGCTCCGCAGCGACCCAGAAGTAGCAGAGCGCGTTACTTCCGGGTTTCGCCACTTGCGCAGACGCTCAAAATGACGTCACGCGCATGTGTGGAAGCGGCGAATCGCAACCAGCGCACGCGCAGACGCGGGTTGCGTTTGCTTCAGGATGCGAACGGGGCTCCGGAACGGATCCCATTTGCATCCAGAGGTACCACTGTATATGGTATAAAAATCACTTCCTGAGTATTTCCATTTCCCTTAATTCTTCCTCCCTTATTTCTCGCTTCACACAGCCTCCCTTTGTTGCTCCATAATCTGGCCAGTTAGAAAACGCTGCCTTTGATTTTTCCATTTTTCAGGAAAGTGAAGTCCATTGTACTAGCCTTCACTCCTTAATTCTCTGGTAGGGGACAGAAATGAAGCCTCCCCACCCTGCCATACTCACTGAATGTCCCAACAAAGCCAGACAGTCGAAAAGTGCCCCCAGCCGAGTTTCCGCACCACATGGTAGCGCCCGTTGAACAGGTCCCCAATCTTTACCGGGTAATACCCACCTAGCAAGGCAACAAGGGGAAGATAGGTTAGTTATACCAGTTGCCAGAGTCACAGAGAACGTCCTGGCCCAGCACAATTGCCACCCTGGACCACGGTGCACCTAGTGCTGGGGTGGGTTACTTCTGGCCCAACAGCATTTGGAGGACTACAGATCCCATCAGCCTCAGCCAACCTGGCCAAAGATCAGGGATTGTGGGAACTGTAGTTCAACAGCATTGGAAGGCCCACAGGTTTCTCACCCATGTTCTAGTACTGCATGTGGGCAATTTCTAAAGACATTGAACAGTTTTGTTGTTATTCTTTAGGGGCACAGAAGAGTGCTTTGCTGGACCAGACCAAGGGTCTAGCTCTCTGGGTTGTCTTGCTGGAAACAAGAGCAACTTTAGAAACTCAACAAGCAGAGGGTATGAAGGCAATGCAGTCTTCCTTTGTTTATCTGCTCTCTGCACCTGGTACTGCCCACCTCACTTACAATTCCAAACAGAAAGCCCCTAATCTGTCCCAGCTTGGGGGAAGAATAGCCTGCCCCACTCCCCACATTGCCCAAATACCTCGGCAGTAATCTCGGGGGTCCTCTTGTTCCTCGTCATCAGATCCCAGCTGCCCTCCTCCGATCACAGCGGGGAAAGGCAAGGGGGGTACTGGAGGGGTGCTTGGAGCGTCATCTGAGCAGGAGGGACTCAGTGGCCTGGAAGAGTTGGCCGGAGGGGGGGGGCAGGGGGAGAAAGAGAGACTTGTCAGGAGCATCTCAATTCCCAATTATGTCATTTACTTTTTAATTCATGTTTATCCTGCTTCTGTAAGCAGCTGTTTATCCTTTGCCTGCTTCCAACCTGAGAGTCACCTCTGGAGAGGACGAACCACATGGGCATTAATTCTCACCCCCCCCAACAGAAAGTTTAAGGAACTGTAACTTTTCTTTGCTCATATTCTTAAACCTCCCATCTCCCCCTCTGTCAAAATTCAGAGAGTAAGCCCCTCAGGGCAGGGACCTCTCTTTTAGGTTTATATCGTTTTGTAAAACGCCATGCACATCAATGGCACAATAAAATAACACCACTACCCTCCTTTCACAATAATTTTAGACATACCTACTGCCTCCTAGTCCCTCTTGCATCGTTTCCCCCATCTCCAAAGATACACAGGGAAGCGATTCGTGGCCAAGCATAAAATGAAATTAGCTGGCACCCTTTTCTCTGCTGATCTTCCAGTTCTTGTCAAAGGAAGGTGTGTATTTGGGGGGAGGGCAAGGGGAGAAGACCTGCTCTGTTCCTGACGCCTTCCCCAGGGAGAAGATACTCCTCAGAGCAAAGCTCCCAGATCTGGGCAGGAGCTGCCGGTTCTGGCGTGAAAGCCAGGCTGGAGTGACGGGCCCTGGGATGGAGACAGAAGACTGCCTCAGCAAAGCATGCCGGCAGCTGGGCACCTTATCTGTCCACATGCTCCCCTCCTTAGTAAAAGAGGAATTAATACCTTGTGAGCTCAGAACCCTCCTCCCCGCCAGAGCCCAAATGTGCACAGAGACACCAGAGGCAGGCGGGGGGTTAAAAATAGCCCCATGGCCCCCGGCAGCTGCCGCCCAGGATGGGAATGGAATCTGGGCGAGGGGAGCGGGATGAGACCGGCCAGGGGAAGCAGCCAGCCCTGCATGGCGTGGGTCTAGCTCACCAGGAGGCCCCAGGTCCAGACCAAACCGTGGCAGGTGCTCTCTCTCAAGGCTGGGTGCTTTCTCATGGAAAAGAAACTAAAAACTCCCTATAAAGGGAGGAGAGTTTTAGCACAGTTTTGCCGTAGCTTGCTAGTTTCCTATGTGGATATTTATTTATTTATTTATTTAATCATGTAATCCCCATCTGCAATCTAAATCAGCACAGCAAGATGATCTAGGTCTGGGGTCCGCAAACTTTTCCAGCAGGGGGCCAGTCCACTGTCCCTCAGACCTTGTGGGGGGCCGGACTACATTTTGGGAGAAAAAATGAATGAATTCCTATGCCCCACAAATAACCCAGAGATGCATTTTAAATAAAAGCACACATTCTACTCATGTAAAAACACGCTGATTCCTGGGCCGGATTTAGAAGGCGATTGGGCCGGATCTGGCCCCCAGAGCCTTAGTTTGCCTACCCATGATCTAGGCTGTGGGTTCAGCATGTTCCCCACAGAACCAAACAACCTATTTTTTCCCCTTTGTGGCATCTGACTCAGATTCAGAGGCAACCTTCACCAAAGGCACCAAGAAAAAGATACTGTACCCAGTAACCTACAACACCATTTCCAACACCCATGGATGGGGCTTCCAGGTAGCCTCATTCCTTTAAAAAGGCATCAGCACCAGCACTACTCCTTTAACAGTAACACTTTTGGCACTCCCCTTAAAAAGGGAAGACAATAAACTCAATTTCACAGGCACACATGGTGGGGACACGGGAGAGGGCCTTCTCAGTGGTGGCTGCTCCCAGACTTGGGAATTCCCTCCCTAGAGAAGCTAGACTGGCTCCCTCCTTGTTGTCCTTGCATTGCCAGGTGAAGGCTTTTGAGAACCACTGTGATGTTTTTATTGTAATTATCTAGATTTTTAATAAATCTGTTTTATAAATTGTTTTACTTTTATTAATGTTTAGTAAGTTTTCCCCATGTTTTTTACCTGTTTCTATTTTATCCGTAAGTCACCTTGTGTCCCGGTTTGGGAAAAAGGCAGGATATACATAAAATAATAGTAATAATAATAATAATTTCAGATGGTGGCAGGAATTACCTTATCTCAGGGGAGCCTTCCCTCTCCTGGGGCCCTCCAGATGTTGTTGGACTCGTAACTCCCATCAGCCCCAACCAGTGGTAAGAGATGATGGAAGTAGAAGCCCAACAACATATTGCGGGATCTAGATTGGTTCACTTGTTTGAGTCATCTGGACTTACTAGTCTGCCACAGCCATCCTGGTGCAAAAGGCACCCAATCCACGTTCATGAACTGAGGCCTCTTAAAAGCCTAACACACTTATCATGGCACAGGCTTTTGTCTAGGCAACAACAACGAGCAAAAACAGAAGCTCCTTACTCCCGGAAGCTCACAATAAAATCGTTGTTGAAGAGGTAAAGGTCCTAAAGTGAGCAAACACAGCCGCTCCTGCTCAGGTTTTGCCTTGAAGACTGGTTCTTGAGCCTTCATCATCAGAAAGCTGAATTACTTTCTCGACCAGCTCTCCTGACTGCTTTACATGTCAATGAAGCAATGTAGAAGCGCTCACATGTTTTAAGTTGTAGCAGAAGCTTTATCATCATTTCCCCCCCTTGCCAGAGAAATGGAAATCATAACCATGATTTGGTCTTCTCAACACCCAAATTACTTGCAGTCAAACTGCCTCCACTTAATTACATTTAAGATTATACATAGCGTTATACCTGTGATGGACATTCACACATGCAAACTATGCAATCTTCCAGAGACAAAGGCGTGTTATGAAACTGACCGATTTCCTGAAATTTCCACCCTCCAAACACTAAAAGTCGCTTACACGTGCACAGATGCCACTGGCGTTCTTGCAGCCTGAAGGCTGGCAGCGGAGAGCCTGCACGGGCTCCCCCGAAAAGCGGGGCGCTCTAGGCATTGATACCCGTGTTGGCCCGCCCTCTCAAGCCACGATTCTGAACATGCACGTGTGAATCTGCCCTGAGAAGCCGCAGCCAGCCCCGCACTCCCCTTGCGGCTTCCCCAGCACCTGTTCCGCAAACCTGTCCGTCCCCCCCCCTCTCAGTCATGCCGGCTTCCTCTAAACGGGGAGAATCCCCCCCCCCAACATCCGAGAGCTGCAGTTTCCAGAATCAGGACCTCTCTCCCGCATTCACTCGCACACGCATCCCCGACGGGGCAGGCTCGCTCCCGCCGCCGCCCTCCCCCCGAGGCAAGATGCGCTCGGCGCCCCACTCACCCCGCGGGGGTCTCGCTCTCTGCCTGCGGAGCCGGAGGCGCCTTCTCCTTCTTATGCTTCTTCTTTTTGCCGCGGCCGCTCCCCGGGCCTGAGGGACGCGAGGGAGGAGAATTAGCGCTCCGCCTGCAAAAGTTTCCGAGGCAAGCTTGCAAATGGCAGCAGCAGCAGGGACCGACCGTGCAAGAGGAAAGCCCCCCTGCTGCCGCCGCCCCCTCTTTCCTCCCCATGCAACTGCCTCCCCCACCCAGGATTTATCTGCAGCCCCCATGCACGCGCCCCCAAGACCTGAAGGGCAGCCGCGCGCCCCCGCTTTACCTTTCTTGCCGCTCATGGCCCCCCCAGCCCCCGTGAGCTCCATCCAGGCTCCGGGATGCCCCTTGCGCCTGCGTGGCCCGCCCCCTTCCCAACCGCACCAGCTGCTTCTGCTCCACCACGTGAGGCTGGCGGGGAGGAGGCTGAGCTGCATCTGGGCCTGCCCCTCCGCGGGGTGGGGAGCGGGAGGGAGAAGGCGGAGAAAGACGAGGCAGATGGCAGGTTTGTGCTTTTAAAAAGCAAGTTTCCTAAAGCGTCTGAGTGACAAGTGCTCGATACAAACATACACGCATATACTGTATATATATGGGGGGAGGGGCGCTAATCAGCTCAGTCTTCTTCATCATCATCTTCATCAGCTACCACCACCCTGACAAGGTGGGTCACTATCTGAATCCCACCCTGCAGATGGGCGAACCTGAAAGTTAGTTGTTCTCAAAAACTGCAGTCCTATGTCTATTGCAGGGGATTGGACTTGATGGCTCTTGTGACTTTCAACAATTCAACGATCCTATGATTCACTGGAGAGCAATTCCTCGTTATGGCTTAAATCATCATCATGCCGCAGCTCAGTGATTTGCATGCAGAAGTTCCCGAGTTTCAACACCTGACCTTTCCATGTAGAACTGGGAATGCTCTCCATTCGAAACCCTGGAGAGTGGCAGCTGCCAGTCAGTGGACAACACTGAGCTGGCTAGAGGTGCCATCTGGCTTGGCGTAAGGCAGGTTCTATGCTTCGTTTTTATAGTGTTCAGGATAAAGCTTGTGAAGTGCTTTGAAGTCCTAAGAATCACCCTATGAGAAGGTAGGTCAGTTCTGTATTATTATCCCTTACCCTATTTTGCAGATGTGAGGGAAGGAGGCTGAGGGTCAGGGCAGGTCTAGAACTGAACCAGGGGATTCCCATTTAAGGATGCAATCCTAATCCCAACTGAAATGGAAGTAAGACCCATTGAACTCAATTGTGCTTACTTCTGATGAGTATCACACTGTTGTGGTTCATTTTCTTGGCCATTGGACCCGGGTCCGTTAAAAAGTGTAAATCATTTGGGGATGTCCCAAGAAGTTAGTTAAGTAACAGGATTAAAAAGGTAAAGGTAAAGGGGCCCTTGACCATTAGGTCCAGTCGTGACCGACTCTGGGGTTGCAGCGCTCATTTCGCTTTATTGGCCGAGGGAGCCGGTGTACAGCTTACGGGTCATGTGGCCAGCAGGACTAAGCCACTTCTGGCGAACCAGAACAGCGCACGGAAATGCTGTTTACCTTCCCTCCGGAGTGGTACCTATTTATCTATTTGCACTTTGGCGTGCTTTCCAACTGCTAGGTTGGCAGGAGCAGGGACCGAGCAACGGGAGCTCACCCCGTTGCGGGGATTCGAACCGCCCACCTTCTGATCAGCAAGTCCTAGGCTCTGTGGTTTAACCCACAGTGCCACCCGCATCCCTAGTAACAGGATTAGGGCAAAACAATTGGCAGAAACACATAGAATATCATCTTGCAAGAGGTGGGTGAATTCAGGTTCTCTGCCTTGCACAGTTGCTCTGTCCCCTGATCTTCATTTCATCGTGAGCTCACAGCCCTTGAAGGAGGAAGCCCTTAAGGAGGCCGCCCCATGACGACAGTTTCCCCCTGTACAGATTTGGTTTCTCTCCCTGTGTGGGGAAGATTGGTTATATGTATGAATGAATGCACATGTAAAGTCATTGTTGCATTCTTTGAGGAGACAATGCTAAATTGCTGTTTTAGGGGTTGTTTTTAAAAGTCTGGATCGGATCAATCCAATTTGCATTAATTTCTATGGGAAAGCGCACCTTGGTTTTGGAACGCTTTGGTTTTGGAACAGACTTCCGGAACAGATTAAGTTTGAGAACCAAGGTACAGTATCACTGTATTCCATGTATGTGTGGAATCAGAGAATGCACAGCAACTTGGAACACATGCAGTTTCTAATCAACTAGTCCTGTGAGAAAGAGCCTGACCAATGGGAACAAGTTCCACCCCATCTTAACTCTCCGGAGGCAGTTCATGTACCGTCTTACCAGCTTTCACCCCTTAGTTACCAAGTGGGAATCATCTAGTAACTTGTTTAAGGCAAACCTTTCCATTCCCTTCTTCCCTTAGGTTGTGTGAATAAACCAGACAACAGTACCTTTCTGAAAAGTGGTGTGTTTTTTTTATTCTTCAAAATCTCATTAAAATAAATACAATCCTGGAGCAGGGAGCTCCCATATATACATAAAATGGGGGTGTTGGGGGGGAGAGAGATGGGGAAAGTTAAAAGAGAGACTAGTAGAGTCTGTTCAGAGGAAGGTGGCGTTTCCACCCCAATATTAGTGCATTACCAGCCAGGAAATTGGGGTCGATCCCCCAAATCCCAGAGACTGCAGTGGTCAGCAGGGACCTGCCACAACCCCACTCCCCCAAAAGGTGGGAGACAGCAGCTGGTACCCTTTTCAGAGAGCCACAGAAATAAATACACCCTTTTATTTACAAATCCAGTGTATTGGACTCGGAAGATTCTCTTTGCAGCTAGTTTAAAAAAAGAGAGAGAAAGAGCACTGAGTGCGAGAGACCCTGGCAGCTTCTATGCAGTTAAGGCACTGACTGGAGGCATGGCGTGCGCACAGACCCACGCACAGAGGTGGCAGGGAACTTTCAGTATGGCTCAACCTTGCCCCCTTAAAAGGCTGCAACCCTAAATAGCACAGTTGCTAGGGAATTAAGCCCCATTGTACTCAGTGGGATTTCATGCTGAGTCAACCTGTTTAGGATTGTACAGTTTCTCGTGTGTGCTGAATCTGAGCAGGTAGTGGACCCAGGAGTGTCACAAGTCAGTAACTTTGTTCTCTACGAGAGCTGCAATCTGTTGCAGTCGATATGCCAGTTGCATCTTCTGGCCCAGTGGGTCCTCTTCTAGTGCACTGATTATCTGCAAAGAGGCACACAAAGTCAATATTTTGCCTACCTATCCTAGCAGAAGTCTTTCTACAGCAGGGTTGGCTAACTTGTGCCAGAGCCCTCCTGATACTGCCAGACTGCAACACCCATAATCCCTGACCACTAGCCATACAGGCTGGGCCTGGTGGGAGTTGGGGTCCAACAATATCTGGAGGGCCACATGCTTCCCATCCCGATCCTACAGGCCTTCCCTTCCCAGCAACCAACCTCTCTGCAGTGAATGGGTTAGAATAGATGGGTTCACTCCCACCCCACCCTCTCCCACAGAAATTGGTCTGTTTATGTCCCTCCGTCCCACCCCCACCAACATCCTGCAAGTACAAAATCTCAAGGGATTTATCATACCTGATCATAGTACTTGTTAATATAATTATAAAGTTCTTGCAGGGCCACCAGGCAGTTGAGGTCAGAGGAATATTTCTGCCGAAACAGGAGGGTGGAAAATGAAACGTTAGAAGTTTTAATTACATTTTCACTACAACTACACGTGGACTTCGGAAGCTGCCTTATCTAGTCAGGCCATTGGTCTATCTAGCCCAGTACTGTCAACACTGACAAGCAGAGTCTCTCCAGGGTTCAGAAAAGGAGGGCTCAACCAGACCTACCAGGAGATGCCAGGAATTGAATGTGGGACATTTTGCATGCAAAGCACACTCTCTGCCACTGAACTACGGTCCTTGTATTTTTGCATATTTCTACACATTATGCTATGTTTATATCATACTCATTGATACCCCTTCTCACCCTTCCTGATAACAATCCTAAAACAACAATTACGACAACTTCAGAAAGGGAGCAATAATTGATGGAGGGACATTGTGTGATTGCAGACCTTGCTGATGGGATCCCAACAAGGGAGCCCAATGCATGCCTGTGCGCAGAGAGGTGCCCTGCCCCAGTTTTAGTGGACTGGTATATGATGAAGTGATCTGGTAAATACAAGCAACCCCCCATTGACACATGTTCAATATGTGAGCATCCGCTTATAAAACTGCAGGTTATTACAATGATCCTGCCAATGTTCTTTTCTGTTTACAGTTTGATTGTAAATAGTCAATAAACCATTTCCATTATTTTATTTAAAAAATTGTTATCTTGATTCCTTATTTTTCCAGTAAGTTTAATCATTTCTGCATATTCCATAAGTTTTTGTATCCATTCTTCTTTTGCTGGGACTTCTTCCCAATGGTGTTTCAAATATACAGGATTTCACATACTGTGTGCGCGTGGTGCCTCGGAACGTAACCCCCTCGTAAATGGGGAGTTGCCTATATAAACAATCCAAGCTTGGGCCAAACTGCAGCAAGCAGCCCTTGTTCAACCTGTGATTTAAAGACTTTCCAAGATCTCTTGCAACATATCCTCGACATAACTTGGAATGGCACAACTTTTAGAAGACATTTGAAGACAGCACTGTATAGGGAAGTTTTTTATGTTTGTTGCTTTATTGTGTTTTTATATTTTGCTGGAAGTTGCTCAGAGTAGCTAGGGCAACCCAGTCAGATGGACTGCATATAAATGTAATAGTACTACTACTACTGCCTCAAATAAATGCCTCAAAATCAAGGGACTGTGCAGCAACCACTCCCCTCCACCCACCCACATACTGAAGTCAAATCAGTTGACATATTCAGTGGATTTTCATGATGGTGATGGTAGTAATAGTCATCGTCAACATCATGAAAATCCACTGAATATGTCAACTGATTTTGAGGCATTTATTTGCTCTGCCACGCAACCTTTCCTTGTAGGAAAGTGGCAGATTAAGTCAGCATGGGAGAGTTTTAAAATTAGTGAGGCGGAGAGAGTGCAGTTTTTAAATACTATTTTTGGTTCTGGAATCATGGCAGGATTCCCTTACCCCCGAGAGTTCAGTCAGGGCTGAGTTCATCTCTTGGTAGCTGGCAGGAACAGTCTGTCGAATATCAGCATAATACCTAACCGTGGAGGAGGGTGGGGGGGAGAGAAGAGAAAGGTTAGTGGGGAGGGGCCACACTGCAATGCAAGTCTCCTTTGCCTGCCCTAAAAATGACATTCTCAAGCCAGCCAGCAACATTCATAACATCCAACACTGTCTACGACACCCTCTCCTCATTCTGTAGTATGCTGAAAGATGTCATTGTTTTAATTTAATTTAATTAATTAATTAATTAATTAATTAAACAATAGTGGGAGAAGACCACTAAGCATTTCTCTCATTCATACTGGGTAACAAAAATGGTGGGCCTTTTCACACTTTCAATGCATTTTTGGATGTGAAATCTTTGAGCAATGTTGATTAAATGGATGTGGTCCGGAAGGTATGATTTTGCATCTGTGCAGAAAACATGCAGGATTCAGTTCCCTTAGAATTGTTGTTGTTTAGTTGTTTAGTCTTGTCCGACTCTTCGTGACCCCATGGACCAGAGCACGCCGTTGTCCATGGAGTTTTCTTGGCAGGGATACTGGAGTGGCTTGCCAGTTCCTACTCCATCCCTTAGAATATCTTCATTAAATAAAAGAAATTTATGAATCTGGAATTTATGAAGATATGCTCACATGTTTGTGGATGCTGACTGAGAAATCTCCAAAGCCATGGAGGAAGCTAATAAGATTCCCATTAAAGATGGGGCTTCAAAGCCGTGCCTAGCTCCTTACTCTTCCATATCACTGGCAGAAGCAGAATTATGTAAAATAAGGGGGGGATGTAAATCTGCTCTATTTGCATAATTTATAACTGTTGCAAAATTAGTATTTCCTTTTGCATATTTTTAAAAAAACGTAGAAAATATGCAATCAGCTCCCAGGACTCCTGGCTTCCCCAAACACACCCACAACCTCTCATTTTCTGCAGGGCTAGGTATTCTTCTACCACAACAACCTTTTTTTCTGTTTTTCACACTTACTTCTCCACCATCTGTTTGTAGTGTGGGATTTCCCTGGCATAGAGTAGTTTGTTGACTGGTGAATCCTGAGGAGGGAGGGAGAGGGAGAAAGGGAGAGAGAACAAAAGGTGACATAAGGTTTGAAGAAGTTTTCGGAAAGGGGACAGAAGTCAGACTCAAGAATTATGTCTCCACCTGTAGGTATGGTATGGTATGGTATGGTATGGTATGGTATGGTATGGTATGGGGTGCAACTGGTTAGTTTTCAGGCTGTCCAGACTGCATTTTAAGAGAGACAGGAAATGTAAAGTTTATAAGACCAATTCAGCATTTAAATAGGAGCCCATTCCAAAGCATACTCCCAATGCGGTACTATGCAAAGCTAACAGAGAGGAGGCGAAGTTCCTCTGAGCATGTGAAGAGTCAAAGCCTGCCCCCTCATATGCAGGTGAGGAAATTCTCCTACATACAAAAAACCCCTGCATTCATCATCATAATAAAAAGATATTAGAGAGAAGAGTTACAGCATAGCTTTTTCTCTGACATAGTTGTCTGCATGCATAAATCTCCAATTTTCTCTGAAACCTACTTGCAGCATAGACAGATTTACCACCTCAGTAAAGCCCTCTTCAAGGACATTACTATCAGGTATTAAGAAAAAACATGGAGGGGAGAGGGGAAGAAGAGTAAAATAATAATAATGATGATGATGATGATGATGATGATGATGTAACCTTTCATAAAACCCAAAATCAGGTGCCTAATGTGATCACCTGCCTGTGTCCAGTGGCAAGGCCAGCCCTGATAGGTAGATGGAACTTTCATGAACAGAGGCAGTATATGTTCCACCTGAGTTCCAGATTCTGGGAACAAATGGGATGGCCATCACCTCAGTGCCCTGCTTTTGAGATTCCCAAAGGCATATGGCTGACTGCTGTTGAGAACTGATGCTGGATAAAATGGACCTTGGCTTGATCCAGTCAGCCAGCATCATTAATACAGAACAGAAAACACAGAAGTGCTAATTCTAAATCCCAGCATACTTTCTTTGCCAAGATATTTTTGCATCCAAACATAAATAATGGTTTGTTATTTCTGAACATGGCTTAAAAGTGAAAAGCACCAACCACCCTACCTATTGTGCTGCTTTAAACATCATGGCTTCCCTTCCCCCAAGATCCCACCTGATCTCACAACCCTCTTTCTTTAGCAAATCCAGAATTCCGAACAAAACCTCAGAGCTGGGCATTTCTGAAAGGGCCTCCTGGCAAAACACTAGAGAGGCATGATGAGCTGCTGAGTAAGGTGGCTGAACTAAACCCCAAATTAAAAATGGAAATGCCTACATTTTAAAAACATAATTAAGTGAGCTCTTGGTCATGAAAAAAAAAATGATTTGAGAGAACCACCAGTCCTTGGGAATGATGCCTGAGAGGTGGCAAAAGCAGGTGTCAGTCAGGTTTGACCAGTTTGACAGGCTGTTACGAGAGATTGAGAGAGATCAACTTCTACAGTACATGCAGAAACAATCCTTCTTGTCCCCAGTACTACAGGATGTTCTCCCTGCCCCCACCCTCATCTTCTAGAATTGCTGGGTTTTGCGTGGAAATGACAAAAATAAGCTGTACCTGTATTTTATTTTTAAAGGAAAGAAAAACATGCCCCAATATATCTAAGACACGATTTAATATGCAACATGCTTCAGGCCCAGCCTGAAACCTTCTCTCAGGGATCTACAAAAAAATCCCCTGAAATTTGTTTTCAGAAATTCTGGAAAACAAAGCTGAGACCCTCAACCCATATGTTTCCAGAGAGTGACCAGAATGTGGGAAAGGCACTTGGGGCCATAATTTGGGGCTTATATTTGAGCCAAAGTTCAGGTCTAGAACATATGGTAATGTGTCTAAATCTCTCTGTCTCTGTCCGTCTGTCTGTCTGTCTGTCTCTCTCTCTCTCTCTCTCTCTCTCTGTGTGTGTGTGTGTGTGACCAAGCATGGCAGAGCATCACTCATTCACTGTTGTACAAACAAACAGGGAAAACTCCAACATTTCTATGATGAGGGCAGAGATAAGACTTTTAGATCAAAAAGGCTCTATAAGTCAAGTCTCCCTTTACATTTCACACAAACATCCTTGCAGTCTCAGATTTCATTTTAAAACACCTTAAGGCTTGATTGTGTGGGCAACACTGGGTAAATTATCAGAGGGCATTAAACAGCTGAGAATGATTTCCAGTTTAAGAGGGCAGTATTTCAATGCTCTACATAGCTCCTTGCACATCCCCAAAGAAAATAGCTCAAGTTGAGGAAGTAGAGGGGAGCCCAGAAAAACTGGGGGGCCAGGTGCAGCCCCCACAGTTCTGACTGGCAACCTAAGTGTATGCTGGCATGCCTGGATTTGGAACTGCTTGTAACCACAATTTTGAACATGTAATAATATATGTACCCAGACGGATAAAATGTTAAGGTGCGGGAAATGAGATGTTTTGCAATACAGAATGTCAAGTGGAGTGATGCAACGTAATTAAGAAGGTTTGACTGTTAAATGGCCTAGATGGGAGAAACGTCATTCTCACACAATCAGCAATAAGCATCTTGAAATCAGTACTTCTGTGCAAGTGTTTGAAACAGGCCAAAACCACAACAGACATACTGGAATCGAGATGATACTTTGGTGGATTATAAGATACCACTGAACTAAGAATGGGACTTTCGCTCTTATGTCAAGACTACTGCATTAATGAATACCTTTATATGCAAGAAGACATGAACAGTCATGCTCATACTTGCAACCAGTGATTTGTGGCACTGGGGAAAAATTTGCTCCCCCTTTGTCCAATATCTTGAAGTTTGCTCTCCACTTCCTCTGGGACATCAGAGATGGTCCTCAGTAGAGATGGGACAAGGTGGTTTCTGCTAGTTAAGACAGACACCTTTGCTCCCATGAAAGCCTGGTTTCATGGAGGATTTGTTCTTCAAAAAGTGTCACTTGTTTCCATTCCTTGAGCCAATATGGAGTGTTTCATGCAGCTGCTCTTCAAGCAAACAGTCTGATTAAGGTCCCTCTGGTGTGTGCCATCCATTTTGTTCCTGTTCTGTTTATGGCAGTATGCTAACTGTGAGGGTTAAAATCGTGGCGATTATAAGGCGTAGGACAAGAGATTTTGGTGCCTCAAGCAGGAAATCCAAATGGCTAATTAACACGGGAATCCCCTGGGAATCTTCCACATTAAAATGAATAGGAGAGTCCCAGTGGACTGTCTCACCCAGTGGACTGTCTCACACATAGACCCTCTCTCTGAGTCTCCAAATCTGCTGCCGAAATGGCATCTAAAATCCATAGTTGAACAGCAGGTGCCAACTTATCCCCCACATTGAGGGGGCACAGTCATGCAACATGTCACACAACATGTCACATAATGCCACCAGGCGGGGGCGGAGCATGTGGAGGGCGATCTCCACGCTTGCTCGTTCCAGCCCCCGCCCGACTTCTGGGCTGCCAGGCTGCAGCTGGGATGAGCGAAGCAAAGATTGCCCAAGCTTGTCACAGCCACTGCCTGGCTTCTGGGCTGCCGTGCAGAGGCTGAGGCTGGGGCACTTGGAGGGTGACTGACGGCTGCGGGGGCAGCAGCCCCCTCAGTATTGGGGTGGCACTGCCCCCTGCCCAAAAATACTGGGGGAAATGAAGCCCCCTCCCCCCCTTTACCCAGCACAACTGGCTATCTCTGTCAGTGGCAATGGGATCCATATTCAAGTTAAATGCCTGGAGTATCCCGTTTCAGAACAGAGGGCAGGCCATAGTAAAGCACCTGACTTCATCATTTAGGGAAATGGATCAAGGCAAGCACTACCTGTCCTCTTTTGATCCTGGTCTGATATGGGTGTGACCTTTAGACATGTGCAGATGTATAAACTTACCCTGCCAACTTTGTGCTCAGCAGTTGTACAGGCATCAATGAATGTCTGAGCAATGACAGTCAAGTTGGCGTCCACATTGTCAGAGACACGCACATCAAAAATGAACTGTGGGTTCTTGAGTGTGTTCACCCAGAAGCGCAGCAACAAACTAAGGAGAAGGGGGAAAGGCAGAAACCAAGTTAGCAACTGGCTGGCTGTCTTCAGCCCTTCTGGTGGAAAATGTTCAGTCTCTACAACCCACTGTCCCAGTCTCAGCTCCTACTGCCACCATCCATTCCCAGCCAATGCTGCCTCAGCAACCCTGTGTCCACCCCACCTGTTTGTTTTCCAGATGTGCAGCGTCTCTGGCTCAGTGACCCCGTGCCGCGCTGCTAGCTCATCCAGCAGGTCAAACAGATACTTGACAGCAATTGGTACTGGGCGGTTCACACTCAGGACAGCCTGGAACACATCATCCACAAACTTCTGTAGCGTCCCCTTTGGAGAATAAATGGAAGAAAGAGGGGATTAGAGACACATAGGTGCACTGCTGAGACAGCCAGGAATCAGCCACATAAATAACAGCATGTTTCTACAGCGTCCTGCATTGGCAACAGAGCAATCTGGTGTCCAAATACCGGGGTTTTTTTTGTACAGACTGACAGAAACTGCTCCTGAAAGCATAACACGGGGAGTCCCTTTTTCCTCCCTTGAAAGAACTTGAAACCAACAGCTAAGCCTATAGATCTGGGATCTCATCTCCAGTAGACTCCTCCAGCCCATTCCATTCTCAAAACAACAACTGTCATGCTCTCAGGAGCATCTAGTCTTAAATACATTTCCAACATTATTGTACCTCTGTATTATAGCCCCAAACTGAATATGGATGGAAAAGTTTGACTTATATGGAATGGAACTTGCCAAGGACAAAACAAACCCACCTGCCACCATACTAGTTTCAAAATTGTCAAATAAATTGAACTGGTTGTTTATCCTTCAGTTTAGAGGACTGTATGAAGTATCTTTGGCAACTGCCTTAGGCTAAGAATCATCACACCCCAAACAAACAAGATTTAACCTGTTCAACTGTTGATGTGTTGCATATGTGACAAAAAAATTCCTAGAGTAGTCAATATACAGCTGCCCACTTAACCCTATTCTAACCTCTTAATTTAAATTGTTGGTAACTGGACCTGGGACCTCATGGTGAAACGCAGGTAAGAAACAAAGCAGCAGCAGCAGCAGCAACAAGAAGCATGACCAGAACAAGGTTCTATTCTATATTGTATTAAGTATTAATCTTCCAAGAGCAGTGTCTACAGCAGCCTTCCTCAAACAGATCCCCTCCCGATATTGTTGGACTCCAACTCCCATCGGCTCCAGCCGGCAGTGCCAATAGTTGAAGTGATGGAATTTGGAGTCCAACAGTATCTGCAGGGAAAGTCTAGTCTACAGGAACTGCAAAATACTGTATGCCTATAACCAGTGCTTTTTCCCCCCAGGGGGAATTCAAGAGTATACAGTACCAGCACCTCTTTGTTCTTGTTGTTAAAAAGTGTGGCACTTACTGTAACAACTTTATGGTACCAGAGCCTCTTTTTGTTGTTGTTAAAAAGTGTGATACTTCTTGGTGAGTACCAGCACCTATTTTTCTAGAAAAAAAGCACTGCCCATGACAGATACACAAAACTTTTCATCTGCACTGCTTGCAGGCTGGGAGACAAGGCCCTTGTGATTTCTAGATGTGGCAGCCAACATTTTCAGATTTACCATGTCAAGGAACCCAGGAAATATTCTAGGGCAGTGGCTCTCGAACTCCACTCATCCCATTCCTGGGCCACTTGAAAATTGCTGAGGGCCTTGGTGGACAACAATTGCTTTCCTGCCTGTTGTAAGCAAGTGTAATGCACTGGGCTAGACGCTATATGATTTTCAACTGTATTTTTATTTCTTCTTTTGCTTCTTCAGTTGTATTTTATTGTGTTACAACTTGAACTCCACAGAATCAATATGAAAAATCAATACAATATTGAATGTGGACACAGCATGGACCACCCAAATGAAGCTCAGAGACCACTGGCAGTCCATGGACCATGGTTTGAGAAGCCCTGTTCAAGGGCACCTAGTCACGTTCACGCAGGGAAATGTGTCTGTCATTATTGATCTATTCACGGAAGAAATCCTGATTAGGCTCTGAAGAATCCCACTGCTCTAAAAGGGCTGGTATAACTGGAGAATGGCTTAGGAGGGGGGAAAATGCTTTCCCTCTTACCTTCATGGAAAGCAAGCGGGTGAGGTAGATCTCAGGAATCGCCTTGGCACGCTCCCGAAGGCTGCTGCGCCGCTCTTGCTGCTGTTTTGTGAGTTCAGGCTCTTCAGATGGCTTTACCAGGTGCCAGAGGCGTAGCCCCCCATCCTCACCATCCTCTAGCATTGGAGTGTCTGCAAAGAGCACAACAGGAATTCATTACAATGGAAAACGGGGCAGTCCACTGGGCAGCCCTCAGGGCACCTGCCTGTCCTGTGGACAGCTGAGGCAACTGTGAGGGCCCCAGTCCTGGCTACCAGCAGCAGCAGCAAACAAAGGTGTGAGATAAATGATGATGCCTGCAAGAAGGAAGGAGGAGGCACGGGCCCAGTGGGAGGCTTGGTGGGACTGACATGGCCCGTACACCCACACCCCCAAGGAATAAAGGAAGCAGCACAGAAGTTTGGGAACTTTTTATCATGGCCAAGTGCAGAATATTCTTCTGTAATGCAGAATCTAAATGGCTCTCACATAAACAATGCTATCATTTGAAGGGTTTTTTTGGGGGGGTGTAAAAGGGAGCCAAAGAAGTATCTAATCCTCCAGGTGGCAAAGAAAAATCTAAAAAAATGTTTAGAGTTTCTGTTAAAGGTCTACAAAAGCAACACACACACACACACACACACACACACACAGGCCTTTCCCCAACCACCTCACACTTAATTCCAGTACCTCCCTAAGAAGTTTCCAGTTTGTCTGCCTCTGGCCCTGTGCACCTCTTGTTGCCACTCCCAGAGCATTTATAACAAATGTCAATCTGTGCTCTTCTTTCCTAGACTAAAAGAAGACTAGAAAAAACTTGACTCCCTTGTTTGCAAAACAAAAGGCCTCTATAGATACAGAAATAAAACAGGCTTATTCTCATGTGATAACCTGAATTACCATTATGTACAAAAGGAGAAGGAAGAAACATCTACAGGCATTAATTTTAGAGTCTCCTGGTCTGGAGCTTTTCCATTACTTTTTCAGGCTAGAAAATTAAGGAACTCTTCACACACATTACAAAAAAAGGGCTAAGGTGCTTCCCTCCATGAACAGGCAAGAGACTTCCCTACCCAACCTATGACACACACACTGCAGTTGAGCTGCACTGCTCACCATTTGTGCCCATAGTTAAAACCACATCTCTTTGCAGTGTACAAGTTGCTGCCAGTTGCAGAGAGGAGGGGAAAAGGAGGTTGCTCTACGGCATGGGAGAGCAATGGCTCAAGGAAGAGAGAGACAGGCAGACTCACTTTCTCCAGAGAAGAAGTTCTGGCTGGTGCCTTGGGAGATGTCATTGTGAAGGCGGGGAATGAGGCCAACTGTGGCCCCATCTGGAACCTGGGGAAAAGAGGAAGGACAGTAAACAAGAAGGTGAGAATTTGTTCCCAGCACCATGAATCTCCTGCCAGAAGCAAAACGTGGAAGCCCTGCATTGCAGACACGATCAGGGTAGCCAATGTGAGGCCCTCCAGATGCCGCTGGACTACAACTCCCATCAACCCTGACCACTTGCCATTCTGTCTGGTGCTAATGGGAACTGGAGTCTGGAGGGCACCACATTGGCTACCCGACTCTATACTCCCTCCCTCCCTGCTTCTACCACTCAGCTGCATCCCACCCAACCCCATACCTTGTAATGTTGTAGAGTGTTGAGTCTCTTCCATTGGTTCTGCGTGATGGAGGTCAGATCCTCATCCGAAAGCGTCAGGTGGCCAGCAACGCCTGAGCGCCACTCTGAGGAAAGGAAGAGTGGCAGGTGAGGGTCTCCTACTTCCACCCCCTGCCCCCAAATCTCCACAGCAAGCCCAGGACAACTTCATGTTGGCCTCTCTCAAAATGAACTAAACATCCTCAACAGGTTTTGGTCCTTCCTTATCCAAAGGAAGACCCACAGATTGGGGTGGGGGGTGGGGAGTGGAGAATGGAGAATGGAGAATGGAGAATGGAGAATGAAGAATAAGACTCCTTACCCAAGTCAAGGGAGTGCACCGAGGGGCGCTGGGAGAAAGGGACGCCTTTGTAGACCTGGTCCAAAATTTTCTCCTTCACTTGAGTGATGGTGTCTGTATCAAGGACACGGGCTGGGATGCGCTGAGTCTCACCCGCACCACCTGGGCCACCCCCCCGCACCAGGACAGTCAGGTTGAGGGGCCGATACTCCACGTCTTCTCTCAGCAGCCGCCCATCATTCAGTGTCCGTTTGGCCTTGCCTGTCACAGCATCCACTGGGCCCTTGTCCACCTGGTACTTAATGGCACGGAACAGCATGTACAGGGGCTCACCAGCCACCTCCTTCATTGGAAAACACAGAGGAGGAGGGGAAGGAATGAGAAGGACGCCTGGGCTCCAGAGTCACTACAGTCCCTGCACTGCACTTAACAACCCCACACCTGCACAGCTAGAAGTAGGAGCCTCAAAATCATACATTTTTCTACCAGACCCACCATCACGACAGTGTACATTTTTGGAAATTCCAAGCAAAGTACCAAAAAAGCACAGGTGGTGGTGCTGGCCACTTAATTCAGTTCTCAAGTGAAACTTGAAGAGAAAGATCCAATCCACTGAGACGTTTTCCTACATACATTTCCTATGAAAGCTGATGTAGTGTCATGGCTAGAGTGTCACACAAGACTTAATAAGACCCAGATTCCTATTTATCCACAAGCATTTACAGACTGGCCTTGGGCCGGGCACTCTCTTGCTCAGCCCAACCTCCCTCACAGGACTGCTGAGAAGATAAAAGGGGGCAGGGAAACCACATGTGCCTCTTCAAGCAGCATAAAAGTGCAATGAATAAATGAATATAATCACTTGCACAAGGTGGATTGCACTCCACTCTGAATTTAAGTATGTTTGGATAGGGTACTCTGGGTTGTTCTGCCTTCAGCATCAAAATGTCTTAGGCATGCCCTGGACTAGCTGTGGGACGAGAGAGCATGATAAAATGTTTACCCCTATGAAGCCTCAACAAGCCACAGGACTAGGCAAGAACAATTAGCAGGAGAGTGAGCACTTGTGGAAAAATGTGGGACAAGTTTCTCCCACCTTAGACATGAAACATGAAATTTATTACGGTCAGAGACCAGCTTGAGAAACACAAATGGAACTACAATCCCAATAGCAAAACAAACATTTAAAACAATATACAACAATGGATTTTAAGTTTAAAAGTGCAAAGTCCCACCTTAGACGCAGAAGGCATCATCCAAACAGGCTTTACAACTTACCCTGAGATAGGAGTAGAGGCAGATGGACATCCAGTTGGTCAGCAGCTTCTCTACCATGGTCTCTGTCCTGCAGGACAGTTGAGGAGCTAAGTAGAGTTGCTAGCGTCCCCCCTCCCCCCTCATGCCAAGATATGCTACCAGCTGTGGCACAAGATGGTGACAGCAATCCTTTGCCCACAGTTTTAAATTCAAAGCTCTGTTCTGCAGGATTAAGTAGAGTGGTTATGAAATAATAACTTGTGGTACCTTAAGATGAATACTTTTTTAAAAACAGGTACTGAGGGCCCTTTTGATGGAAAGTAAGTTTAAGTGTTGCTGTTTATAAAAACATCAGGACAGTCTCTCAACATATATAGAATGCTTAAACCTAGTTCAAGGAACTGCTTTCTGTTTAGAAGTATAAAAAACTTGCTGTTTTAATATAAAGCAGCAAAACTAGAGTTTTTGAAATGCTCCTCATCTCTAATTTATTTCAGCACTTTTGTGTTTTGAGGCATTCCAGTTTAAGCATTAATTACCTTGTGGACATAAACCACCAGCAAAATATAACAGGTTTTTTGGGGGGGGGGCAGGGCATTGCATTCTTCAGTTCTGGCAGCAAGCCAGGTGGATTAATTCTGGCCAGGCAAATAAAAATTCTTGCCAGTTGGCAGCCCCCACCAACTGTGAAAGCATCCACACCCCCCCCCAGGGGAAGGAGTGGGAGAAGGCACCTATGGGGACTTCTTGGAACAAGGACATCTTTCCCCACCTCCACAATGCCCCATCCTGAACACAGGGCCTACCTGCGAAGCATGAGCTTGGCATTGCGGGTGACGCAGTGGGCAGCAAGATCACTCAGCAGAGTCTGCATGATGTCTGTAAGATACTCCAGGCGCCCATGAAGAGCCAATGAGAGCAGTGATGCTGTATGACATCGATCCCGCTGGGAGAAGGTAGGCTGGGCCTCCAGAGTTCGGATTAACTGGGAACAGCAAGGGAAGACTCTCATCACCTCTGCCAGAATCCTCACACAACCCGTTCAGTCCTACTCCTTCTCCAGAGCAGGAAACAGAACTCGGGGCAGATGTTGTGTGCCGCCTTCATCCATTCATACAGCAGAACAGAACCCCTAAAGCACGCACACACATAAACACCCCGATGGTCTGCTGAACTACAGCTCCCATCCTTCCTGACCATTGGGCCATGCTGGCTGTGGATGATGGGACTTGGAATCTAGCACCATGTGGAGAGTGCCAGGTTCCCCATCCCTGAGCAAGGAGGTGCCAGAATGCGACCCCAGAGGTTATCAGCACACATTTACATGGCCTAAATGCAGGAAGAGACTTTCAGAAGCAGCTGCTCTCGAACTGAAGTCTCTCCATACTGTATCTCCACCTACTGTTCAGTACAACTAGAATTGTGCTCCTTAAGGCACTCGCTCTCTCAATTTATCTGGAAATTAAAAAAGGTACACGGCTGATCTTGCATTCATATGCATTCATACACAGACAGAAAACCCCAAAAATCTCCACTTACAAGAAACCTCTCCCCCCACTCCCAATGCCCCCAAGTATGGCATAGCACTGACCCTCTAGCGCAGCCACTTTCTGGACCCTCTCCCCTTATCCCCCCAGATCACCCACCGTCAGCAGGAAGACTTTGCTGTTCAGCAGATTGGAGAGTTGCCCCAGGCCCTGCTCCACTGTGGCACGGCGCCCCTCGGGCAGATCCAGCACACGCCGCAACGGCACGTCCCCCTGAGCCGGGAAGAAGACCCGCTGGGTGTAGGTGTTGTAGTCCAGGAATGGGATCCCTGACCCCTCCAGCTCCCCGCTCAGGTCAGTCATTTCCGTCATCAGGTCTGAAGCAAGCAGGGGGTTGTGTTGGGAGACGGGTGGGAAGGCAAGAATGAAGAGGGGGTGGAGAGAAAAAGCAAAAGAAAAGCGTGAGCAACACACAACCATTACATTAGGAGAAAAGATCCCCGTTTGATGGAATTCTTTACCCAAATACGTAGCTGTTAGCGACTCTCAGCAAACATCCTTCTGGAATTCATCTCAAAACAGCTTCCTTTTTGAAATTCTGGAAATGTATCCCTTCAGGAAATACCTTTCGAACTCTGTTCTTGTGCATCATCATCAATCAATCATTATACAGCCACAGACTCATTAAATCCTGCACATTTAAACTAGGAACGGGGAACCTGTGGCTTTTGGGGTGTTGTTGGTCTCCAATGCATATCAGTCCCAGTCAGCACAACCAACGGGTCAGAGATGAAGGGAGATGAAGTTCAACAACATCTGAAGGGCTACTGGCTCCCCAACTCTTGGCTTTGAATAGCCCAGCACTCAGAAATTAGGCAAGTGAAATTTGTCTCACCACCTCCCTCCATGTCACCTGCTTAATTTCTGTGCCCCAGACTGCTGCTTATAATTAGGAGAGTAGGGTTATTACAAGGGGTGGAGGGAGTGATAACACAACCTTATTCCTAGTCCTCCGTATCATTCAGGTATTATTCAGAAAAGCATAGTTTCACTTCCCCCACCCTCCTCAAGCTGTTCCTTCGTCTATTTCATGCCACTGCTCTCCTGCCTGTGGCTCAAACTCACCTCCTCCCTCTTCCATACTTGCTCCCCCCCCCCATTCCATACCAGTGAATTCCTTGCGGCACTGGTCCCCAACGCTGATCTCCATGTTCTCAAGCTGCACCAGCACTTTCTTGTAGTCTCGTAGGGCTTGCTTGCTCTTTCGCCTGCCAGGATGAGGGGAGGAGCAACACAGTTTTTACAGAAGCAAGGATTTGGGGGGCGGGGTTGAAGGAAACAAGGCAACGTTTCATCCCCCTCCCCCTGAAACATCGTAATGTTGATACCTGTACATGAGGATGAGCAGCAGCACTACAAAAGCCAGCACGGCTGCCCCCACCCCCAGCCCAATTTGGGCTTCCGGTGGGAAACGGGAGGGTGGCTCAGTGTCATAGCGAACTCGGCCAAGATCCAGGCGCAAGTTTCCCATTTGCACCTGTAAAGTGACAACGACAACACAGAAATATGACTCCAGAGAGGTGGCCGGATTTGTCTGTAGCAGCAAAACAGCAAAGTCTTGTGGCGCCTTAAAAACTTACAAATATACTGGGGCATAAGTCTTTGTGAATCAAAATCCAGTTCAAATGATCAACTGAAATCATTATGGAATTTGAAGAATTCCGTATCCTTTGCCCTGTTCACCCTCCCGCCAGATGTGTTTAACACTCCCCTCCCCCCATCATCCGTGACCACTGGGCATGCTGACTGGGCTGATGGGAGTCCAACAATATATAAAGAAGGGCCATTCCAAGCCTGCAGATCTAACTGTATACAGCAGGAGATTCCATACTTTTCAAAGACAAAACCTAACCCTAAAACAGTTGTTCCTACTACTATGAGGAAACCTCAGCTTGCACTGATAGTTCTCTCCTCTTTGTTTCCTGACAAGTCTCCCACAATCTACTGAAAAGTTCTGACCTACTATTTAATCCAGAGGCACAGTGAAGCATAAGATTGGGGCATGATAGCCAGCAAGTTTCCGCAAGCTTTTAGCCTACTTAAGGGGAATGTGTTTGCTTCAGTGTGTTTTGACCGGCTGAATCCAAATCTGTCTGTATCTGACCAATGCATTTTACTCTCTGGCCAGGGTAGCCACACAGAGTGTAGACATCAACTCTTGCTGTTGCTGCCACACTGCTTAACCTGTTTTGATGACATTTTGAAGGCAAGCCTAATAATTAACACAAAGCTTTTTAGATGCCTAAGTTGGGGCGGGGGTGTGGAATCACAAAATGGCAACCACTTAAAAAATTATTTTGGGCAACACCAAAACTATTTACAAAATATGATATGAAACCAATTGTAGGACATTAAACAAGGCACAGTTTGGTGTGCAAACCAACCTTCTGTGACACTGGGATGTTGAGAAAATGGACATTTAAAATCCCATATGTCAGCCAAAAGCCTTACGTCTAAAATAAAATTGAAATATATACTCTATTTTGTAATCTGAACAAGGAAAGGTAAAGAGCTACAAAAACAGTATATGATGTTACACTAAAACAATTCCTAGCTGTTTTTTGTATCTGCTTTACATCAGCATGTTAACATTTTTGGATATAGGAGAGCCAAAAATAAAAGGATTCTATGACCTTTTTTATAGCAACAAAACTGTTTCATTCCTTGAAGTTTTCAAATAATTTAAACCAGCCAAAGGGGGGGGGGACTTAAGGTATGTTACATGCACATAAAAAATGGACAGAAACAGGTAAAAAATGCATTTCTGAGCACTGATCCTACACAGGGCGTGGCCTGCAAGTCTGCAAAAGCAGCCACCACCTCTGGGTCAGGGTTTAGCAATCCTGATCCCAGTCATCAACCAAGTGACTTTTGGTTGGAGCAGGAAAAGGAAGGACACATAAGCAGGACCTCACAACTCCATTCATTATCTCCTTAATACCTTTGCACACACAGTAAGGCCACATAAAGGATTCTAAATTTGATCTTGATCACTAAGTACATATTTACACTACATAAACCAGTTTAAGCCACTCCCTCTCCTCAGGGAATTGTTTGTTATGGGGTTGGGATCTCCAACAACAACCTACCAGGAAAAAGCCACGGCAACAGCAGTTAACACAGGCATAAAACCAATATAGCATTACTGTGCAGACCTTTGATTCCTGTACACACTCTCTGGGTGGAGTGGGAAACTTGACTCTGGTAGCTACTAATTTGTCATTATGCAAACTACAAGGGTGTGAGCTTATATATGCACTTTAAACAAGTTAACATTCTTAGTAAGAGAGGGAGGGTTGCCTGATAAAATCTAGGCCACGCAGGAGGTCTTTCCAAAGTTTCAAGAGAGGAAGAACTTTCCCCATTACAAGGGGAATCCCAAAGAGGTTAACTCCTGCATGCAGCCTATCTCTCCCTTCCCTGCAACCTACTCACAATGAACTCTGGGAGCACAGAGGAAGCATTAAGTGGCTGTGGGGGCTGCAGTGGGGGTTCACAGTACAAATGGGTCAGTGTTAGGGTCTTGACGGTACAGATGCTGTTGCCAATGATGACCCTCACTTCGTTCTTGCTGATGCCAAGGGTCAAGCCTTCTCCCTGCAGGGCAGCAGAAAGAGAGAAAGAGGCAAAAGGTGAATTTCCCTGTATGTACACACAAGTTGAAGCAGTGCTGCTGGCCAGCAGAACCCCATATCCCCTTTGCTTCCAAGCTAGACACTGTAATACCAGCCCAATACCTTCTGATCTCACCAGTAGGCATAAAGACAGACCCAGCCAACTGCCCAAGAGCTCATCAAGAGAAGGAGAAAACAAGGCAAGAACTTTACGTGCTAATAGCTAAAGAAGCAACACTAGGCATTCACAGTTTGTGATCCATCAAGCCAAATGCAGCCATCCAATGACGCCATAAATCTACCCGTTTTGCTGCCTGCATAAGACTGGCCACCCCCTCCACACAAACACCATCAAAAGGAGGGGGGCTGAGAGGACAGCTGGCCACCAAGATAGGGCTGTTGGGCTGTGCTCAATAGGTAGACTGAAAGTTGTGAATGCATAAATTGCAGTACCGTTTTCTAAACTTTTGATACCTAGGGCACAATTATTTTCTGAATTAGTGTAAGTAATACTTATTTATACTATATTTATACTAATTCAGAAAATAATTGCGCCCCAGAAAACGTTAGTGCAATTCATGCATTCACAACCTGCAGTCTACTAGTATTAATTAGTACTAAAAGTAGATATTATCCATATATAGGGACATGGGTGGCGCTGTGGTCTAAACCACTGAGTCTAGGACTTGCTGATTGGAAGGTTGGCGGTTTGAATCCCCACAACGGGGTGAGCTCCCATTGCTCGGTCCCAGCTCCTGCCAACCTAGCAGTTCGAAAGCACGCCAAAGTGCAAGTAGATAATAAGGTACTACTATGGTGGGAAGGTGCTCTGGTTCGCCAGAAGCGGCTTAGTCATGCTGGCCACATGACCCGGAAGCTGTACGCCGGCTCCCTCGGCCAATAAAGCGAGATGAGCGCCGCAACCCCAAGAGTCGTCTGCGGCTGGACTTAATGGTCAGGGGTCCCTTTACCCTTTACCTATCCATATATGTGTATATGTGTATAGGTGTGTGTGTGTGTGCGCGCGCGCGCAAACATGTATACACACAAACATATACTGTACATACACACATACATATATTTCTTGAACAGTTCCCGTAGCAATTATTATTATTTTATTTATTAAAGTTCTATCCCACTCTTCATCTGAGGATCACAGGGTGGTTTACAATTTAAAAACACAAATATACATAACACATAGGGTTGCTATCTTTCAAAAAGCTGGGGTTTTTTAAAGTTTCGCCCAAAGTTGTTGAGCCTTTTTTTTTTTTTTTGCAAAATCAGGTACAAAAATGAACTTTTTGAACTTTTTTAAACCGTGTGTCTGGATTTTTCCAGACATTTCAGCAATTTACATCCCAACGCTGTTTCCGACGAGCAAATCCTGGCGATGTCCGGGAAATTGCAGATGTATGGCAACCCTATAACCTAGTAACAAAAAAACCCAATAACCCCCCCAGTTATTCACTGAAGCAGCAGAACAGCCCTATTAATGTACTGCCTCCTGACATCCTGACTTTCTAGTCAGCTGGAGGTTGCGGATTGTAGGGCAGCATATTGATAGTTAACTTACTATACAGTGATACCTCTGGTTACGAACTTAATTCGTTCCGGAGGTCTGTTCTTAAGCTGAAACTGTTCTTATCCTGAGGTGCGCTTTTGCTGATGGGGCCTCCGGCGTGCGATTTCCGTTCGCATCCTGGGGCAAAGTTTGCAACCAGGAGCGGCTACTTCCGGGTTAGCGGAGCTCGTAACCTGAAGTGTTCATAACCAGAAGCATTTGTAACCAGAGGTACCACTGTATTGTATTTTTACTGCCAGTGAGGGGGAGAAGTCCTTATGTGATCTTTGGCCTCAAGTGCCCTTGGGTACAATGACCATTGATTTGGGGGCAGGGTCACCACTTCCTGCTCTGCCTCAGATAGCAAAACACCTTGAGTGGGCCTTGATATTTGCAGACGGTGGCTTAGCTTTTCCAAGCTGCAGTTCAGATCTCTCTTCTGGCATGCAGTCAATGCAAGACTGCTTCAAATCAAGACCACTTCACTGCAATTGTGTGTTCAATAAATCCACATACAGGGCATCAATGAGGATTTGCAGGCCTTGGCAGCAGCATAAAAGGACAGCTGAGCGAGTTTTAGGGTAGGAGTAAGAAACGCCCCACTCAGTATCACTGTGCTAGGAAGCAAAGGAGTGATTATTGCATCCTAGGGACTCCACTCCCCACTTCCAAGATCTTACCTCACCTTAATATGGCCACTCACCTCAATGTCCAAGACATTGCCAGGTTTAAGACTGAAAGGACGTCCAGTGGAATCCCGCCCAGGCCAGCGCAGGTGGGGATTAGGCTTGTAGGAGAAATTCTGGCCCCCACTGGCATTGCTGAAGGGGACATGGAGTCCATCCAGCTCAAAGCGAAGATGTCGGAAGCGGGCATTGGGTGGCACAGCAGGTGATGGGCAGAGGAGAAGGGTGGACGAATTGGAGCAACAAGGCTCCCAGCACTGTGGAGATGCAAGAAGGGAGAGGGAGGGAGTGAGAGACCCCTGAATTGTAATCCACAAGCCAAAGCATTCCTTTCCTCCCTGCACTCACCTCCAACATGTCTCCCACCTCAGCACAGGGGTGGGGTGGAGCGGGGGTCAGTGGGATGTGGGGGCCCTGCAAGGAGTCGCAGGCTCTTTTCTCCCGGCTGCTTCCACTTGCCATCTCCTCTGGCTCCAGGATGGCTTTGATGAGTGGCTGCTGCACCACATCCAAATTAGTCCCTTTCACATAGATGATCCGTCCGCCCCTGGAGAAACACAGCACCCAGGAAGGTGAGATGTGGCTGAAGCAGTGGAGGGCATGCCACCCATGGGTTTGACACAGGCACTACAGTCACAGGAACATAAGAGCGGCCCTGCTGGTTCAGACCAGAGGTCCAAACAGATTCCCATGGGAATTTCACAGCTGCAGGGGTCCACGTGTGACCCTACTTTTGCTTTGCCTCCATTTCCTCCTCAGATGCCTGACTCCCTTAACCATCTCTGTCCTTCCACCTGCTGCTCCTTATGCATCATCATCATCATCATCTTCATCATAATTTATTTGTACCACACCCATCTGGCTGGGTTTCCCCAGCCACTCTGGGTGCCTTCCAACAGAGATTAAAAATACATTAAAACATCAAACACTAAAAACCTCCCTAAACAGGGCTGCCTTCACATATCACCGGTCCTGATAGACCTGCATTGGCTCCCAGTATGTTTCCGAGCACAATTCAAAGTGTTGGTGCTGACCTTTAAAGCTCTAAACGGCCTCGGTCCTGTATACCTGAAGGAGCGTTTCCACCTCCATCGTTCAGCCCGGACACTGAGGTCCAGTGCCGAGGGCCTTCTGGCAGTTCCCTCATTGCGAGAAGTTACAGGGAACCAGGCAGAGGGCCTTCTGGGTAGTGGCGCCCGCCCTGTGGAATGCCCTCCCTTCAGATGTGAAGGAAATAAGCAGCTATCTTCTCTTTAAAAGACATCTGAAGGCAGTCCTGTTTAGGGAAGTTTTTAATATTTAATGCTGTATTGTTTTTAACACTTGATTGGAAGCCACCCAGAGTGGCTGGGGAAACTCAGCCAGATGGGCGGGGTATAAATAATAAATTATTATTATATAAATTATTATTCAGATGTCTTCTAAACATCAGGTAGTTGTTAATATCTTTGACATCTGGTGGGATGGCATTCCACAGGAACCACCAGAAGGCCCTCAGCACTGGATCTCAGTGGTAGAGCAGTGGTATGGTATGTCCCTCCCAAAACACCTACTCACATCCAAATTTCACTCCCTTCAAAACTTAACCTTTGAGTTATTCCTTTACTGAGTCCCCTCAAGTTAAAGGAAGCCCAGGGACCCATAGCTACATCTGCAAACATTCAGCCTGAAACCCCTGCACCTCTTTCAGAATTTAGCACCAAACCTGACAGAACATCATTCACGTTTTAGCCCTTGCTGAGCTGATTACAAATAAAAAATAGCCAGCACATTCATGCATGCATATTGATTTGCACTGGGACTGTAATGTCTCTCCCCCCATCCCAATTCAATACATTTGGTTATAAAAATGAAGATGGCAAGGCCAGTCACCCATCTCTCCTTGTAGAAGGGGAAGACTTAAAGAAAAACACAGATATATGCATTGTGGTATATGCATACATCATTTTAAAACTAAGTAAGCTTGGTCTTTTTGCAAAACTACATTTTTTAACTGCAGCAAACTCATGTAGATTTAATTGACTGATGAATCAATATTTTATTTAACTGGGTGACAGCTCTGATCATTCCCGCTCCCCTACATTCTTTTTACCCATGGAAGCTGGTGAGTGGGGAAGCCGCAGTGAGTTGGGGGTTGGGTGTGTAATGGAAGGTCTTGCCCCGCAGCTGGCGCTCAGCCCCTTCATACTGGACCCAGACAGACACCTCTTGTGGCTTGAGGCTAGCACTGGTACGACAAACGATGGCTCCTGGTTGCACAGGCTCCTCGCTGTTGGGAGAGCAAAGACGTTAAGTGAAGGCTTGAGGCAAGACTAGTGGAGAAAAGAAGAGGAGGAGGAAGGTCAAAGTCAGGGGGCAACACCACTTACAGAATACAGGGCAGCGCCCCTACGTAGGCAGCAATCTCAGTGCCTGTCAGAAGTTCCTCCCCAGTGATGGTGACTCGAGTGCCTCCAGCCATGGGGCCAAGCTGGGGGTGCAGATCAAGAAGGGTGGGGTCCTAGGGAAAGAAGCACCCATTAGGCCTGTGGACAGGGGTTAGGTTCGCATATCATACTTAACTTTATGCGTACAGGCAGGAAGTTGCGGCCACAAGCCTCCCCTTCACCATTCCCCCCCAAGTGACCTGGAGGAAGACTTCAGCAGCTTTCAATTTTGCTCTTCCAAGGCCTTGTCTTGTTGCCTGAACAAGGGGTCGTGGCTTATGACCAGCTCTGGTCAGTTTCAAAACAAGTGAACTCCCAATTGTGATTTCTGAAGCTGGCTTCTTAAAACTAACCAGAGTCTGGCAGGGGTGCCAACTTGAATAAAATATCGGGGGGGAGGGGGAGGTAAGCCCCACCTCACATAAGCAATCACAAGACATGGTTCACGCACACCATTTGCATGGCAATGCCCATCCAATTTGCAGGGCCTGGCTCCCTCAAATATTTTATTGGGGGGTGGCAAAGGGACCTAGGGCCCCTAGGAGCCGGTTCCTATAAACCAGAGACCTGGGTTTGGGCAACATGACAAGTCGAATGGGAAAGGGGGTGGGAAGTTGCCATAATCCGCCTTCCAGCTGCAAGGGGAGAAAGGGAAGTGGGAGAGAAGCCCCTGAGCTTGAGGCTCACAGGGGCTCCTTCCTACTCATGTACATCTTGCTAAACCATGGCTTAAATGGGACAGGCTTGTGTGTGTTGCCAACATCTGACTTCTCCCTCCCATTTCCCTCCCAAGTAGTAGTGACATGGAGGAAGTTTACAGTGTTAGGGAACCACTAGGAGCAAATACGCTTATCTCTGGCCTGGTCCCCCAGTTCCAAGCTAGAGTATTTCCCTAGACCCACTCCTTGGGCATCCGCCAGTCCTCTGTAAGATACTGACCTGATAAGTGAAGTGAGTCTCAGAAACCCCTGGCGGACGGTCTCCTACAGTGACCTGGACAGGGCCAGATAAGCCTCGCTTTCCAGGAGAAACATGACACACAATCCTGTAGAGAACAGCAGAAAGGCCCTGTCATGAAGGAGCCTGCCAAAGTCCATGGCAGACATTTTGAAGAGCAAGGACAAAAGAGATAGAGCCGGTGGGCCAGAAGAGGAAGAAGAAGCAAAACACAGCACTAAGGAGATCATCCCATAAACTCAACCATTTCTGCTTGCCTGATGGAATGATCTCCCTTTTTCTCCCCTATGTGCTGTTCTGGGGGGTTCTCCCGACCCTGCAGAGTTAATCTGGGGGAGGTGTGGGAGAAGCCCCATTGCGCTAGCTAGAGTCCTTGTACTGGCTTCTTGCAACAGAACCGGGTAGTTGAAACTGACTGAACAAGTCTACTCTGAGTAAAACTTAGTTGAATACCACCCATTATGTGCTTCAGTTCCTGTGCCTAGCGTTTACTTGAACATGAGAGGCCAGAGTTCAAATTTAGCTCAGTCACAGATCCCAGTGAGTGGTGCTAGGCCAAGCTTTCTATTTTGTCCTCAGCCCTCCATCTGAAAAGTGGGAGTCGTGACTAGCCTCTCTCTCGAGGCTGGCAAGGAGGAATGCTATTCAAAAAAACTAAGCATTCCGATAAGCTAGAGAAACTGCTATAAAGCGTAGGGGCTTTTTGGTTTAGGGAGGAGAAATGATTAAAGACAGACAATATGAAGGCTTAAAAAGATATGGATTAGGTAAGGAAAGTGATCAGATAAATTTTCTCCAGCTCCCTTGTAATGCTAGAATTTAGTGCCTTCCAATAAAAGTGACAGGCAACAAGTTCAGGACAGGCAACAACATGTAAATTAATTTATGGAATTTGCTGCCACAAGATGCATTGAATGGCACTACCTTGGTAGGCATTACAAGAGGGTTAGAAAAAAACCATAGCAGGATAGATGAATAAAGGCCTCTGTTTGGAAGCTCCCAATCCAAAAGTATCAAACCACCATGTGTCAGTTGCTAGGGTAAGGGCTACTCCCTCCATGCCCTCCTGGTAGCTGTGGGAAGAAACAAGACCTTGTGGTGAATTATGATGTGTAAGTTGGCTTGATTCACTTTTGTACACTATCCTGAATAAGGAAAGGAGGCTAAGAAATATTTTAAATAGATAAAGCAGGCTACTGGCTCAAACTCCTCACATTTAATGAAAATCAGTAGAATGCTACACAGTAAACATTCAGTAACACATGCAACTGATATAGCTTGCCATGCATCATAGCAAATAAAACTGATATGCAAACCAGTGAAACAAAATAGTTTCCTCAGCCGCAACTCTCTTGGTTGGAATTGGTTGCTCTCTGTAGCTCTTCATAAAAAGCTGGTTTTCAATGTTTTACACGGGAGAGCCATGCCCTTCTCCCAGGCCTCCTTACCTAGTAGAAACCAGATACTGAGCTCGATCAGGGATGCATGGCAATCCAGCCACAGTCACAGTTTCGGCCACATCCTCAAAGCGACGGCCGAGGTTGGATCCTGTCACTGTGAGAGTCAGGCCCCCCTCCAAGGGTGCAGTGATGGGGTGAATCTAGAAAACAGGAATATTTTATTAGCAGCATTTATGTATTGCCCGGTTCCCTGGGCAGCTTATAAAAATAATAAAAATCGTGAGGATAAAAAACAACCAACAGATTCCAGTTTTTTTACAATTCAGCATAAAAACATCTAAAAAAACAACATAAAGAAAAACACAGCATCATTATAAGAATACGACTGACCTAAAATTCAGTGGATTCAGCAACTTGCAACTGAAAAGCCTGGAGTGGAGGCTATGGGAAAGTCTTCACCCAGCACCAAAAAGACCATAAAGCCTGGCAAACCTGTGTGGGGAGGGCATTCTGAGAAGGCCCCTTTTCTCAGTGGTCACCCATTACACCTCATTTAGTAGTAGCACCCAGACTGGGCATTATAGTACCAAACCAAGTCCTCCCTGCTGCAGATTGAACTAAAAGATACAAAAAGCACTGGCAGCAGACTAGAGACTAGTTGGTTTACAGCAAGAGTTCTCTCAGGCAATAACCTAGTCTACCAGATATATCTTAGAATCATAGAATCATAGAGTTGGAAGAGACCACAAGGGCCATCGAGTCCAACCCCCTGCCAAGCATATGACAGACTGCGAAGGAAGTAGATGCACACAAACCAAGTACAGGCTGAGGCCTAGTTTCCATTGAGCAGGTGGACAACTTCACACTGCAGGTCAAGGGTCACATATCTGAATACTCACAGCACACACTCTCTTGCTCACAGAAAACTGGATGTCAGGATGAAAGCTATACCAGAACCCTTCTCCCTGACATGTCAGTTTTCTACATTTAGAAAAACTTTTTCTATGGAGAAGCATTCAGTGGTGTGCACTATCAGCAATCTGAACAGAACAAGCACTGGTACTGCTTATTTCATAAATTTTATATACTACTTGATTGTGGAAAAACAAAAACCTCAAAGTCATTTACAAAATGGTTTCAGTTTTTTGTCCAAGTTAGCAGAAGTGGGTTCTAGTCAGCTTCCCAGCTCAAGTTCTATACAAAAACTTCCCAAGAAATGGACCAGCAGTTAACCAGAGCAGCAGACCTAACTGTGCTGATCCTCACCGAGTGGATGACGGGTGATGGGCAAGCAGCCACGTCAGTTTTGGATGGGCACAGGTCCTCATAGATGCAGCTGGCCACCTCTCCTAGCTGGCACCAAATGCAGCGGAAATGCTGGGGAGCAGCCTTGCAGCGGCTGCAGTCAGAACGGCCAGCAGAACAGTTGTACAAAGTCACTGGAGAAGGAGGCAAGAAGGTAAGCAGTGAATATCAGATTCAAGTCATACTGTTAATACTGCCTTTTCCAGACCAACAACAGTTCATTCCTAACCCAGGGAAGGCAGGAAAGTGCAAGACTGCAAGGCCTTGAGCAACTCAAGGGTAGTGGTGGAACATATCCAGGGTTTAGTATACCCTGCGCTGATTTTTTAAATAGAAATTGCACCAAGAAAACCTGAATTACGCAGCCTGCATCAACTATGCAATTTATTTGCTTGTTCTGCATAATCATTTACATGGGGTTTACTATTTTGCCTGATTTCTTCTGGTTTTGTTACGGTGGGGCACAGCGTTGCACAGGGCACTGAAGGTGCATCTCCAACCACTGAAAATCTTACCATCCCCAGGTCAAGCTTTCAAGGCTCTGTGCATAATTGTTTAAGCATCTTTCTGCAGCTGTAAGGGTTAGAAGTCTGCATTCTTCCTTTTGAAATTTAAAAAACAGGGGATTTCATGAAACTGAATCCTGCACCCAGTACCACATTCTGCACTCCCTGTTGAATTGTGGCACACACAAAGGCATAAGCACAACATTTTATATATATATATATATATATATATATATATAACACACACACACACACACACATATATAAAATCCAACCTCCACAGGTTATCATCCCTTACCATGCAGGTCTCCATGGCTGTCAAGGCGCCGGTCTTCCCCCATCATGATGTAGAGAGGGACATGTAGCTCAGGGGCAGGCTGTGTGTAGTTATATGCCTGGGGCAGGCACTGCACACGACGGGATGTTCCCCTGTCCCCTTCTTCCAGGGATGCTGGAACCACAACCAGGGTTCCCTCCACTTCCAGGACACAGGAGAGTGTCACTGGGGCCTGAGGATGAGGACAGGGTGAGACAGGGCCCTGCATGCCACACCTGCTCCCTCCTTCCCCAGTCCTGCCACAAAGTCTGCTCACTCTCAGTCCTGCTCTCCCTGCCCTTTCGTTTGCCAGTCCTAACACAGAGGGGAAATGCCAACCACTTCTGTCATGGCAAGCTGAAGCCCCTCAGAGGACAGCAAAGGCACGACTTGCATACAAATAACTGGTATGTATGATGCTGCAGGTACTTTTTTATTTATTTATTTTCCCTCTACGGAGCTTAAGGTGGCATACGGGGTTCTCCCCCTCCTCATTTAATCCCCACGACAACCCTGTGAGAGGCCAGGCTTAAAATATTAAAATAGCACTCAAGCACACGTCTTCAAATTCCTAGCTCCTTTGCAAGACCGATCTGAAACATGTTCAAACCTCCACAGTTCCCCACAAAATCTTGGGAATCACGTTCTGCAGAGGAGCTGGGGGAACAAGTGAGCCTCCAGATGTGGCTGGACTGCAGCTCCCATCATGTCTGACTATTGTCTGTGATGGCTGCAGCTGATGGGAATTGTAGTGGAACAACATCTAGAAGGCCACCAGTTCCTCATCCCTGGGGTACGGATTCCCTTAAAAGTTATGAACATGCATACAAAAATGACAGCTTCTTGGGTACTTAGATGTGGCAGACTCAAGTGCATTTTAACTTTGAAATGAGGAGCCCCTTGTGTCCCAAGAGGTCTTGTCAAGCCCTGTTTCCTTTCACACAGAGACACACCAGTAGCTTCTAGGACTTTTAATCTTGTCACTTACCATCAACAAGTGCAGATTCCAGGCTACCAGGTTCAGTGGCATTTTTACACCAACAGGAATCAGGTGGGTCTCACCAATGCCCCCCACACTGGGGCAGGCAGCTGCACCACGGGGCTCTTCAGAAGTTAACTAGGAGACACAGAGGGCTTAGATGCAGAAACATTTCTCCCATTCTTCCCCCCACGAACATAATTTATTCTGGAAAGTAAGGAGGGACCTGCTATACCAGGGGTAGGCAACCTAACGCCCGTGGGCCAGATGCGGCCCAATCACCTTCTCAATCCGGCCCACGGACGGTCCAGGAATCAGCGTGTTTTTTCATGAGCAGGATGTGCCCTTTTATTTAAAATGCATCTCTGGGTTATTTGTGGGGCATAGGAATTCGTTCATTTCCCCCCCAAAAAATATAGTCCAGCCCACCACATGGTCTGAGGAACGGTGGACCGGCCCATGGCTGAAAAAGGTTGCTGCCCCCTGTGCTATACAGTTACTCACCTTCTGATTGTACACAAGCCCTTCTCCTCCATCTGGGCAGGGCCCTCCAGGGACACAGCGGTGACTAGATGGGCACCAATGACACATCCAGGGGCTGTCCACACATGTCCCACACCTATGGGAGAAGGGGGGGGGGTTCAAAGGGAAAGGACCTTTAAACAGGACTGTATGTGGACAGCAAGTTCAGAAAGGGAGGTGAAACATTATTATTTAACAAACAAGCAAGATTCTAGCTTAAGGCAGCAAGAATGTGCTTTGAAGTGTCAGGTGAGATCTTCTAGGCTAGGGGAGATTCAGTGAGACTGTTTTCAACAGAGAATGGGGCATTAGATCTCTGCTTTGCCCTTGCTCAGAAACAGAATAATTTATGTGAAACAAGCAATTATATGCATGTGCTTAATTTGCATAATTCATAGGAAAGTTCCAGAATTCAGTTTTCCTTAGTGCAGAATTTCAACATTTTAGTACAAAGAGTGAACACAGTTTTGTTTTCAACATAAAAGCTTCTTGCTAGCTAGGGCAAATTCTACTACACCCCCTCCAACCTCCCACCCTCCCAAAAAATCTTACAGATGCTTCTCAATATCCAACCTGCAGCCCCCTCCCCCCCCAAATGCCCTCATCCCCACTCAACATTCGCTCACGGGGTGGCATCAGCAAGTTGGCTCACAGCATTACAGTCATAGAAGGAAAATCCCACAGACGCCACCACCACGTCCTGGAACATCAAGGCTAACGCCACAGTCACATGATCTGAGGAGGGAAAAAGCACAGTAAGAAACTTTCCTCGCACTTACACATAATGCAAGAGGAATGGCTACCCCCACACACCCTCTGAACAGCATCAGCATGCATGCGCACCAATGGCCTCTTGACTTTTCCCACCATTTAGGCGATTCTGGTGAAGACCCTTCAGAGATTATCTCTTGATCTAGGCCAGAAGCATTTCACGGTTGCTGGGTAACAGAGAAGCATTTTCTCAGATGGCTTTATAGTTTTGAGAATAGGCAAAGGCAACTAAAGGGAGGCCACGATGCCCGAAGCTAAAAAAAGACTCAAAGGACATGTGGCTGGGACTGCCTTCCGCTACAGTGATAAAAATATAATAGATGATCAAGTAAGTGTTCTTATCAAGGTGGCAAACCTGTGTCTGGGCTGCACCACTTCAGTCAGCAAGTTGAGATTCCGTAGGAAAAAACCCTCCGCAGAAAAAACTAGAATGTCAGGGACTAGCACACTTGTGCCTGAGTTTTCTACGTGGAGCTTCTTTTGCTCCAACCTGTAGCCTGAAGTGGCAGATCCAGGCACAAGGTGACCACCTCATGTGAGAATTAGGCCTTGGTCTAGGCATAAGAACTAGCCCCACGTTTGCCAAAAGGTTTTTGGGGTTGTTTTAAGCATCTAAAACTTGGGGGAGGGATAGTTAATACCTATTGGATTGGTTTATAAGCCTCCATGGGAGTCCATGGATGGCCTAGAACAGGCATCCCCAAACTCGGCCCTCCAGCTGTTTTGGGACTACAACTCCCATCATCCCTAGCTAACAGGACCAGTGGTCAGGGATGATGGGAACTATAGTCCCAAAACCGCTGGAGGGCCGAGTTTGGGGATACCTGGCCTAGAATGTGGGGCACTGTAAATACATTCACACAAGGGGAGATGCACTTCCTCCCTACAACCCCCTGGCAAAAGGAACAGGACTGGCTTTGAAGCACGGCACTCATAGCAAAGCCTCCACATGCCTCTGGGCATGAACTCCCAGAGGTTTATTAAGGCCTTGCCAGAAGAATCAACAGTTGGGCTTGATACTTTGCAAAAGCGCAGCTCCCCCACTGCCTGCTGGAAAACAGAATAGCACCAGGATATAATTCCCCACAGTAATCCTACTATGACACCTAGAGGACATGTTCAAGGTCAGCCCACATAGATTAATTACTTAAGATATTTTAGCGCACACACCCTTTTTTTTTTTGCATATGAAGATCCTTTTTGTTTTTAAAAAGGAGGGATATCAAGCAATTTCTTTTTCAGTTTAACAAATGTATGTAACTTCATAATTCTACTTTAATGACTGTCAGCACTAAGCCAAAGTGGAAGCAGCAAACAATAAACAGATTGCCAACTTTTCAAGTGGGGGCTACTGCTGTGTTTTTAAGAGGAACTTGATCAGCAGACATTCAGTAAGTTTATTTACATACTTCAAAAAGCGGCACCTGCTAGTTGCTGAAGATCAAGCTGCTGTTTTACAGGCACAGAAGCAGAGATTGCTTGAAATGTTGACAACCCTAGTGATAGCTGTTCTGGAGAAATCAGGGACAAGCTACATATTGGGTCAATTTTATTTTCAAAGGAAGAATAGCCACACTGATCAAGGGCATGCTCCTTATCTGTATCGCGGTATTATTATTATTCATTAAATTTATATACCGCCCTTCATCAACCCAGAGATGCTGTCCCACTGAAAACCATCCCTCTTCTGGGGGAAATAATAGCTGTAAAGGGTACAATACAGTGGTACCTCGGGTTACAAACACCTTGGGTTACAAACATTTTGGGTTACTGACTCCGCTAACCAGGAAGGAGTACCTCGGGTTAAGAACTTTTACCTCAGGATGAGAACAGAAATCGCGCGCTGGCGTGCAGCGGCAGCGGGAGGCCCCATTAGCTAAAGTGGTACCTCAGGTTAAGAACGGACCTCCGGAACGAATTAAGTACGTAACCAGAGGTACCACTGTATTGCAAGGTTAGAAGTCAGGCAGACTTTCCTGGCTCACCTTTGCCCTCTTGGGTGGGTGGCACCTGCTGGGGAACAGGTGAGAGGCAGCGAACCCAGGAGTCTTGCAGGTGTGCTTGGCTGTCTTGGCTCCCGAAGGCACAGTGGTATTGCTCTCCCTCTGCCAGTGCAGGGAGACGTGGGACCAACATGGAGACCTGGGCAGAGCAGGAGACACATCGTTTTATAGGTGTTAAGTTGTGGGTAGACATAGCAGACGACACAGCGATTTCTCCAAAGCAGCTCTTTATTTGTAAGCTGGAACAGAACTGAACAGCAAACAGCTCAGCCGGCCTGCTTTTATAGGCAGCCGGCTGTCAACATTGTAGCAACAACCACCCAGGGCTTCCCGCCTAAAGTAACTGACGTGGACCTGAGTGAAAACTACATACACGATACTCCTTTGGGCCAGGGTGAGAACTTCAATACATAACAATAGGAATGTAGCTTAATTGGCTGGGCCACTTTTTGTGGCTTAATTTTTTATGGTCTTAATATTATATTTTCCTTAAGTTACTTTTAGGAGAACTGTATGGGCAGCTTTGAAAATAAAAGCAGAGCACTGATCTTAAGTAAATTAATGTTTGGTGAGCCAATGTTTGGTGATCCCTCTCAGGCACGGGGCGAGTGCGGTAGCAGCTAGGGATCAATCTTTGCCAGAACTTGATGAAGACAAGGAAAGGAATCTCTAGGCATCAATGTCAATATACATGCTATGAGCAATGTGCGTTTGAGGAAAACCTAGGTGACACTGAGATGCTTCATTCCACACACATGCTAATTAAGAGAGTAACATGTGAATAACCACCTGATCCAAATCACAATCAACCCAGGTTTCAACCTTTGACCCTCCACATTCACCTCTGTTTGTTCTTCTCGGCTCTGATTGGCTGGTGACATCTGTTCCACTCTCAAACATTGGCTCTCAGCTCCATAGCTCCAAAGCCAGTGATTGGCCATCTCATGGCGCTCACACTCCAACTTCCGGGTACACCTGCCAATCAGCCAATTATATTAGAGACAGAGAAAAAGAAGGCGTGTCTTTTAATTTGAAATAAAGCACACTCTGCTAGCTCTCATCTGTGACCCACCTACTCTGCAGAACACACCAACCACAGAAGGGGTCTTGGGCGCGCAGGCAGGAGGCACAGTCCTGGAAGTGAGGGCATTCAGAGACTGGGACCTTGGAGACCTGGGTTGGAAAAAGGCAAGTCATACACTATATACTCAAAAACCACCACCACCAGTAGAATCTAGGCTACTTTGCATCCGTTTTTGCATCGGCCTCTACTAATTTCAGATATATTCAGAAGGGAATAGTTTTAGGCCAAGGGCAAGGGGGTGGTAGAGAAAAGGTATTGATAAGGAAAAGGATGGTTAAAACAGGAGTGGAGTTTGAGGGGGCAGGAAGTTTGGCACTAAAGTTCACCCTTATTGTCTTATCCTACTACTCCAGACAACACCAATGAACTAAGCTAAATATGATACAGGAAAAGAAATATCTTGTAAGTTAAATTTTATTTCAGAGTAGCAATCAACTTTGTACCATACAATCTGAAGAGAAACCAGAGTATGTCACCATAGGTCCTAAAAGCCATTTTTGCACCTCACAATGTCTGGATAGTTTTATCCTAACGTATCTCCTACTATGTTTCTTTAACTGTGTTGTGCTCTGATCCACGCACTTTTTCTATGCCAATAAAGGAGATTGATTGTTATAAACACTGTACCATTTCATAATCTAGTAACAGGTCTTAGATTACCTCTGAGCGCATAACGAAGTTTTTTTTGCACAAGGCAGCACAGCAATGCTGTAAGTTTTCAACATGAAAAGAACTTATGGGGAGTCCTATGAAAACTCAACAAAAGCAGATACAATGCAGAACTTTCCTGCATCCAAACTGACGATGACAAACAGCAGTGCTGTAGAAGTAAAAGGAAAAGGGGGTTGTGCCCCATGACTACTCACACACCTGGGAGGCCGTCATCACATACAGGTGGGCCCCACTGCCATCCAGTAGCAGGTCTGGATTGACTGGGGATCGCTGGCCAGTGGGAACGGTGCTGTAGACTTCTGCCACGGTGCCATTCAGGTAAACCTTGACAAATGAGTAAGGGCTATCAGTGCCTATTAAAAAGTTGTTTAGGAAGCACATGACAACAAGGAGGCCTCTGAGGCTAAGCACCTCTGGAAACAGTCTACATAGGTTAGCACCCTATGTAGGTCCTTGTACTTACATATTCTTCCTCCTCAAGTTCCACCGCTGACCACAGTCAGTAAAAAAGGATCCTGTTTAGGACCAACCCTGTTCACACTTTGGGGTGTTCTCCAGGTATCACTGGACTGCAACCCCCACCACTCCAACTATTAGGCAATTAGGGAATTGGGAATTCAGCAACATCTGGAGGGCCAGGGGTTCCCCAAAGCAGCATGTTATAAGCAACATGGGGTTATCACTGAAAACAGGTAAAGTCCCAGGTAGAGGCTCTGGGCCTTTTATGGCTGGAGAAGACGGGAAGGGCAGCACCATGCTGCTTATCCTACGTAGCTCTGCCTTGGGTTCTGTGTGGCTTTGCTTTTTTTCTTCTATTGGTCCCAATGCCTATCCAAAAAGTTACTTATGCAAATCTATTTATGCACAGGTAGCTCTTTTGCATTCATTGACTTTGTCTTCAAGGCTTGTTTTGCAGCCAGTACCTGCTTCTGTGTTTGTGTGTGTGTACATAACTTAGATGCCGTAGGGAAATGGTAGAAGGGCACCTTAGAAAGGAACTGGTAGGCAGAACAAAATAAAAATCCAGCTGATTCCCTTGTCCTGTCCCATGGTAACAAAACCTACAAACTAAATAAAAGTTTGCTTCCCTTTAATGGCACCCCAACATCTAATGCCTGAGGCAGCTGCCTCACCCCAGCTTAGTGGGAAGACCAGCCCTTCTGGCAGCATGAGAAAGACAAAAAGCTCCATCACCACCCAGGAAGAAAGAAAGAAAACATGTTGTCTCTGCCTGCAGGCTTTTAAAGAGAAAGGTAAAAGTGATACCTAGAATCCAGTACTCTTAACAGAAAAAGAGGGAGCACTTGCTGGATAACATCTGATAACCAACAAAAGAACATTTAAAGGCTGTAATCTTAAATACACTTACCTAGGAATAATGCCCATTGAACACAGTTGACTTACTTCTGGGTAAACATGCATAGGATTGACCACTAAACAAATACTAGATAGGAACACCATGGAAAAGTCATTTATTTATTTAAAGCACTTTTCACTCTTCAGCTGAAAAGGCTCCCAGAGTTGTTTACATAAGACTGCTAACAAAAGAGACCCTGCCCTCTGACTCACAATCTAAGAGACACGACACAAAAGAAAAGGGGAGGAGGAGGGAGGAGGAAAAAGCATATCCAGGCACTAGTTCTTTGCAAATTTCTACAAAATCAGAAATTATTATCCATCTTTTGAGTGGAAACTCATTTCCACTGGAAGTGGCTTTCTAAGTCCTTCAGTCCGGGATCCTTTTAACTGGTGACAGCAAGGACTGAACCCAGGAACTTAAGCATACAAGTGATTTCTATGCATTAATCCCTGGGTTCAGCTCTACTATGGAGCTACAGCCCTTCACACATTCTCTGTTTTCATCTGGCTGCAGCCTTGCTATGGTGTAGGAATGGGGAACCTGTGTGGCCCTCCAGATGTTGTTGTCCAACCCCATCACTCAGCCAGTGTGACTCTTGATCAGGGATTATGGAACTTGCATTAGTACAGCAACAATCTGAAGGAACACAGGTTCCCCAATTCTGAAGTTAGTCTGACAAATTTAGATTTACCTGCTGCCGAGTTATAGGGCTAATCTTCCAAGATTCTGATCTACGGACACTGCAAGATACAGGGGACAAGCCTATGGTGGCCATAAATACAGACTGCATTGGTAGGCGAATGTTGGCTATTACTCAGCTCTGGATGCCCACACACATTCCTGACCATAGATTTCCAGGTTGTTAAGCATGGTAGGTGTTTCCCTTTGATTGCAAAAGAATGCTAAAAAGGTGTGTAGCAAGAGATACAATTGCGGAGTAATGGCTTATTTCACAGAGGATGCAATAGTTTCTGAAAGCACCGATACTCCCTGTTAATGCAGTTCTTTGAAGGAAGTGTCCTTCTGGGGTGTAAAATGGTGAATGTTGATTACTACCTTCTCCTCCCACTCAGCTTCCAAGTGATAGTAATCTTACCCGAAGAGGGTGTTTTTTGCAGAAGGCAAACAGATTAGCAGAGATGTGGGCCATGGTTACGCAAGACGGCCATTGTGTAGAAAACTACGCAGGCAAGAGCTCAGGAATGCCTACGGAGCCACAAATGTAGGCACCCCAAGTCAAGTCATATCCAGTATTGATATTTTAAAGACTAACATACCAAGAGATCCCAGCAAAATTATGGTTTTTAAAATAAATACCATGTGGGACATTAATCTTTATGTGACAGCTAACTAAACACAGTGTGGTGGCTACAAAGTTAGACTCTGGGCTCCAGTTTCCAATGAAGATCATGGTGTCCCTTCAGGTCAGCCTTTCTCCACCTAACTGACTTCACAGGGACGTTATGGGATACAGTGGTACCTCGGGTTACATACACTTCAGGTTACAGACTCCGCTAATCCAGAAATAGTACCTCGGGTTAAGTACTTTGCTTCAGGATGAGAACAGAAATCATGCTCCGGCAGCGCGGCAGCAGCGGGAGGCCCCATTAGCTAAAGTGGTGCTTCAGGTTAAGAACAGTTTCAGGTTAAGAACGGACCTCCAGAACTAATTAAGTACTTAACCCGAGGTACCACTGTAGCTCCTTGGAGGGCAGGTGGGATAAAAATGCAATAAAATAATTTTAAGACACTTTAGAGTAATTTAGCAAAATGAAGGGCGACTTGGGTTAGATTCCACACAAGCCTGATTGAGGCTACAGCAGAATTATGCATATTCTTGTACTAAAAAGATAAAATAACCTCCAAGCTTGGCACTAAGAAACATTCGTCAGGTACTGGAATAAATCTTTACTGTATTATTATTTCTTTACTTTGCAAAACCTGCCCTACTCCTTTCATTTATGGAGAATAATGTATTTATTTAAACAAAAGGATTTCTATACTACTCTCTCACAAAACATCAGCAACATACAAAATACAATACAATCGTTGACTGGCTACTCAAGATAGATTTTAAACAATTGCATTGGCCTGTTGGCATAAAACAATAATGTTTATGGTGATAATTATAGACAGAAGGCACTGTAGAATAATGAAGGTTAAGAGAACAAAGCCCGGCCCCTGGGCTTACAATCTCAAACCAAACACAAAAACAGAACTATAAAGAAAGGAACACCAAAGAAGACTGAGAAGAGGCAGAGATCAGAGGTTAAAGATGGGTTGCATTTAAGCAATAGCTGGTAGCACTGGTGACAAGGAGCTGTATGCAGATGAGCACATGGAATGCTATGCAGCTGAGTGAGCAGGCTGGCAGAGGAGGGGATGGAGCGCTCCTTCTCTCCTCTGCACACAGCGCAGAAGTAAAGGGGGCTGCCCTTCCCAGCACACCAAGCCTAGAGTTCTCCATCCCTCATCTGCCAGCCGCTCGGCAGGCTAGTAATTTTTATGGGCTTATTTGCAAGGCTGGATTAAAGGCTCAGCAGAGGAGATCAGTTTTCAGACACTTGCAAGGAGGGGGGCACAGGGAGTTCCAGAAAAAAAGGGGCGGGAAAAAGGGAGAAAAGGACACCAGCATGAAGTAAAAACAAGTAGCCCAGATCTGTAGAGCAAAGACAATTAAGGGGCAAATAAGGAGAGGGAAAGTAGATAAGAAAGAGCCAAGCTTTTTTAAAAACGAAAAAACTGAATGCCACATTCAAACTGATCCATTGAGGAAACAGAAGCCGGTGAAGAGGGGGATGTAAAAAAGGAGAAACAAGGGCAAAACAGATAATGAGAAGGAGTGAGGGGTGGGGAGAAGAATGGGCGCCAGAACTGAGAATAAGGGGAAGGAAGGGGGGAGAGAGAGGATGAAACCAGAAAAAAGGCAAAACAGAGAGATGAGGATTAGTCATCAAGCCAAGAAAATGTAAGAGAATAGACAAATGTGGTTGTTGTGGGCAGAGGGAGAGAAAACAAAGGGCAGCACTATTAAGAAGCATGAGTCCAGACTGTGGAGAAACTTGGGTAGCCATCCAAACGCTCTGCCTGCCAGAAACCTCTTTCTGCCCTCAAGTGGGAGAGATCTTGTCTGGGAGGGTCTTGGCTGACATCATGCTACCCTGGACAGCCAGTGCGGTGTAGTGAGTGATGGGGAGACCTGGGTTCAAATTCCCTGTCAGCTATGATGTTCACTGGGTAACCTTGGGTCTGTTACTATGGTCTCTCAGCTAACTGTACCCCATTGGTTCATTGCAACGAAAAAACAGGAGACCCTTGAAGGAAGGGGAAATGAAGAAGAAGATGATTTAGTAAATTTGTACACCGCCCTTCATTCAAAGATCCCAGGGTTGTTCACAACAGAAAAAGACACCGGACACATTCTTAGGGTCCCTTGAGATATTTGGTGGGTCTATTCCACAACATGCAGAACAGTGCATTAGTGACGGATCGTGTGCAGGTAACAAGCACTGTACTCTGCTTTCACTTACATGATTTCAGCTTCGCGCAGGTAGAGGAAAAGTAAGTAAATAAATGGAGAGCAGAGTAAGCCCACCATTCCCCACCCTCCATGTATTTATTTTTCCCCAACCCAGGCACCCAGCAGGTTTTCCTTGCTTACCAGACTTTGGGAAGGCAGTGTAAGGGCCCTGGCAGCAGCCTAGATTCCCCTCAAGGCTCCTACCCAAAGCCTGATAACCAAGACTTCCAAGAAGGTCATGGGAAGGCGCTGGTAACTGCCCTTCCCAGAGCCCAGGAAGCAGCCCTCCACCCTGCAGGGGGACAATGGCTCCTTGGCTTCCTGAAATTTTACATTTACACATGGACCCCAGAACCTGACCCTCGCATAAGATAAAGATACCTGTACTGGACCATCCACATACCATCCTGCTTTATTAGTTTTTCAGTCAAACCTCCTCAGTATTATCACATTATTGCCACCTAGAAAGGCAGTCTTACACTGCAGCACAATTACATTGGGAGAAAACCTCTGAAACATTTGTGGGATGAGTTACAGGATTTCAGCAGGAAACTGAAACTTTTACCAGCGTAAATTTTACAATATTGACAGCAGGATCATGTATAATTGCCCCAATAGCAGCACAAGCACAAACTAACATGAATGCACTACAAAAAGGACGCCTGGAAGAGCCTTTAGTGCAGAGCTTTCCAAACTGTGTGTTGCGACACATTAGTGTGGCGGCTGCAGTGTGTAAGGGTGTCACACAAACGTTCCCACACTCCACCCAGGGCTGGAAAGGGGTTAGTTTAACCTCCGGTTTTCTAGTAAAACTGTATTACTGTGTCGTGAAATGATGCATGTTTAAAAAGTGTGTCACTGACATGAAAAGTTTGGAAAGTTCTGCTTTAGCGCCTGAGAACCATGGAACAACTGTAGCAACAATCCCCTGCCACTACCATCTCCTGCAGCTCAAGCTTCCAAGAGGGATGCTGATGAGAAAGTTTCTAATCAAAGTATTTGCAGTGGCTCCAACAAAAGAAGAAAAAAGTGAAAAGAGTGGGGAGGAGAACCTGTGCCCCCGCCCATTGTTGCTGGACAGCCTTCCAATGGTCCAGGATGATGGGAGTTGTAACGCAGCAATATCTGTAGGGCCCAAGGTTCCCTACTCCCAAGTTAAAGCACAGAAGCACTACCCAGAGTAAATAAAAAAGGAAAAAACTACAGCACAACCCCTGAGCTTCAAGCAATTAATTTTAACAAAATTATAAAACACAATCACAAATAGCAACAAGACAATCAGAGAGGCTGAAACCCAACAAAAGGCAGAGATAGTCACCTTTGCTTTTCATCTTCTGAGCTAACTGGCAAAAGAGAAAGGGATAAAGAGAAGAGGGCCCAGCAGCCAAGAGCCTTGGGGATCTCTTCTGGAAAGAAGGCAACCTGCCCTGTATCCGTGCTTGGTAGTCAAGCAGAGTGCCTGGGGCAGATGTCCTGGTAGCCTACATAGCAGGTAGCAGAGAGTAGGAGAGGGTCTCTACTCAAAGACAGAGACCACCCTTGCACATATCCCTTTCCCTCCCACACACTTCAACCCTAAACTACTCCAGAAAAACTTATATGGGAGAACAAAGGGGTGACAGAGGAGCGAGAACTTCATCCATACTACATGGGACCATGAAATAGCATGAATGAAAGCTGAAGGAACAAATGGGACAGCACCCACTACCCCTTGGCATCATCCTCACCCCAAACTGGCAGAAGGCTGCTCATGTGTAGGACCCTCATGTTCCTGGAGAATATGCCCAGCAATAGCGAAAGTTGTGTGGGTGCTACGCCCCAGACCAGCTAGGACAGGGTGGTGGAGAGTAGCCAATGGCTGACTCATTACTGGGGAAATGGATATGGCGAACATGCACGATCTGTGCCCTGTTCTTGAGCTTGCACACACACACCCCGGACCCTTGGTACGACAAGAATGACTGCTCCTTTGCTGCTTAGCACACAGGCCAATGCTCTTCTCCCAGCCATGAGTTTTCACAGGACCCAACCTTTGTACAAAAAAAGAACAGTCTGAAACCACTCCACAGGGCAGGGCAGGGAGGGCAAAGCATGACTGACAGGATTCTGGAAATCCTACTCGGCGCCAGGCTGGCTTTGGAGACCTTCACCAGATAAATTTGTAACGATGTGGATGGCTACTTCCACAGCTGGAACACATGATGCTGCTGCCTTATTTACTGGCCCATCTAGCAGTGGCTATTCTAACGGTCAGGACCTCAGGTCAGAAGACTTTCCTAGCATTTGCCACCCAAGTGCGACAGAGGATTGAGCCCCCAAAATGCAAGGAGGTCTGCCCCTAAGATACAGGTCTGCTCCAACCAGTTGAGGTTTTCAGGATACTCAATTCTGCCAAAGTCTGTCCCTGGGCAGTCCAAAGTTATGCACGCCAGCCTAAACCTGAATAAACTGCAGTGCAAGGCTGCAGCTGTTGAGGAACTACGCGGGAAAACTAACCCATGTTACTGATGCAGTTTCTCACCTGGACAGAAAACACTAACACACTGGGCACCACTGATTCTAGCTCGAAGGCACATGTGTGTGTGTTTTGGGATATGCGGAGAGGTTCTACTAGAGAGGAAGAGAATAGGAACCTTGGACTACAAGCATCAATTGGTATGAATAGTGGATCAATCACTGCGCCCTAGGCCCTTATAGTGAGCAAAATTAGTAACCACAGTTAATTAATTAGTTAAATCAGCAATATTAGAACAGGGGGGCTGAGAGTAAAGCATGCTCATGTTTTTAGGTTAGGCTGGTCCTGGACTGTTACTGAAAGGGTTTGTCCTCACTTCCTCTTCAGTGTTCAATCAGAACAAACAGCAATGTGGGTTTCCTCCAGAATCCGGATTGACATTTGTTCTGATTTAGAGCTAACAGTGGGTTTTCCCTGAGAAAAGAGGGAGGAATAAATGGCTGCCTTTGTTTACTAAAGTGTAATGTTCTGTCTAACATTTCCTTCATTATCCCACCGCCTCCCTCCCAATATGCTTATACTGGTTCTTTTTTTTAGCCTAAAAACTTAGGTTGAAATCAGAAAATTGGTTAAAAGGCAGATCAATCAACTAAACATTATTTAGTAAGTGGCCAGTCCAAAGGGGAAACCGCATGACAGAATACAGTATGGCAAAGCCATAGACAGCAAAAACTCTAAAAGGCCAACAAGCCTTCTTAAGTCTCCAGATTCTTCTAGACTCAGTACCAGGAATCAAGAGCAATTTTTCCAGAGCTGAAAGAGTTGCAGTAAATACTTTATGCCATGAAAGGATCTCCTATCACTTTCCTTCTTAGTGAGAGGAGAATTTTTATGGGGCTTCCTGCTCTGTGACGCATTTGGAGAAACTGCTTATTATACACTTAGTTTAATTTTTAAAAATCCTCCACTCTTAGCTCTTCCTTGTCATATGGCAAAAGAGAAGCAGCAATCATCCCAATGCAAGAAAATTTACAATATGCTTCCAGCATAAGCAACACAACAGCCTCCACTCTGTACAGTGTAGTAGGTCTCAGGTTTAGACTAAGAGGGAGGGAGGGACAGCCTGCTTGGAAGCAGGTGTTGGCGCTGCACACATGAAACATGCAATTTTAAATGGCTTGAAACACGCAATTAAAAATCAAAATCAAACCCAGTCCTACCCCTACAGGCAGGATGTGCCAAATCAGCCCTCTCTGTAGAATATTATTTTGGTCTTTAATTTGTGGGAAAATGGAATCTCAGACTCGGGAGGAGAAGGAAATATGCCAGACACACCTTGCATTTTTTAAAAGCTAAATTTCTGCTCCGGGGTGAACTAATTCTGCACTCCAAACAGCTATACTCCATAATCTGAAAGGAATTACAAAACTTAAACCGATCTGCATGTGCTTCATTTGCCTGCACAGGTTTACAATTTGCTTCTATTACTCATGGGAAAGGGCAGTGACCAATCCTTACACTAGTTTTGTCTCCTCTCTGGTTTCAGAAGCATCACTAGGCATCAACCACCTACTTAAACAATTATTTCTGCACCAATATAGCTAGAGACTTGCTCTGAAGGGAGGGAGAGAGGAGGAGATTCTCAGGATGTTGAATTAGTGACCAATACCAAATTTTGCGGCTTGCAAACAGCATGAGCGGTTCCACTTTTTATCTCACACATGTAGCAGGCATCTCCCAAGCCTATGCAAATAAATTGTACTGTGGGATTAAGACACACAGATGCTAACTTATTCAGAGTCTCAAACTCGGAGCGCTTTGGAGGAAAAGAGGTCCAGACCTTGAAGAAATTATACCAAGCTCTGCACACATGTGGATCAGAGGCATAATTAGAGGTCTGAAAACTCCAAACTGCAGAAATGTATCTACTTCTGGTATGGAGTTGCCTTCCCTCTGTACCTCCCCCTTCTAGGATATTGAAGAAGTTAAAGCAAGATCAAAAGGCACACGCAGTTTGGGGTCTAACTCTTGATTCGCTTACAGACTTAGGGACATAGGTCAGTAGGATAGCAACTGCTTTGCATGCAGAGTCCCAGGTTAAATCCTCAGCATCTCCAGCTGGGGCTGGGAGACCACCTTGCCTGAACTCAAGATCAAGGCCAGTCAATGTAGAGAACATGGATCCAGACAGACCAAGTTGCCTACACTGAAGTGAGTAAGCAATAAGTCAAATATGAATGAAAACATGTGAACACAAGCACACGAGTTCTCTTTTTAATTTTCCTTGAAGAACAGCTTTGGGAAGCAGTGATTTGGAGCACAGAAGCAGCTGCAGGTACTCTTGCTCCCCTCTGCTGCTGCTGCTGCTTCTCCACTCCAAATCATCCTACGGATCCTGCCACACACAGGATGAACCCAAAATAAAAATGAAACCACCTATGCAGAAATATGGGCTAAATAAATTTAAACAAATATATAAGGGGGGAGGAGGAAAACAGTAACACAAACACCCATTTAGCAGGTGCAGACCTGGGTGGAAGCTATCAGCAGCACAGCAGGAATACAGCACACAGCTCAGATTATTGTCACTGCGTCGCCCGTTACCTTATGCAGCTGCCCAACACCATCCCCAAGGAAGGCGATGGTATGACCTGCTTCTATCATGGCCGCCACGGCTGTCAGTCTTGGCATGGTAGTTAGAAGAGCCTCGGCCACCAGTGGCTTCCGACTAGCAATGGGACTAGGTGTGTGCTCATCCCCACAAGGGTAAGACTCTGGCGACTCCTGGAAATCAACAGAAAGGTTGGAATGTAGCCACCTCTGGGTTAGGGAAGCCTTTCCACTGCCCCCTGCCTCTTCCCCCATGGAAAGAAGGCAATCACTTCCATCCTCTCTCTCACCTTAGGCAAATAATTGCAGCGGGAGGTCACCCCATATTCAATGGCGGCCTCCTGCTCATTTGTGGCACCAATTCCAGCCGAAGTGTAACACAGCCGCCGTGTCTGCTCCATGGCTGCGTTCACTTCGCCCAAGCTGTAGGAGCACAAAGCTGTCTGCGCTGTCGGGGAGGAAGTGGAGCCCTGCCCAGCGGCTGAAACGACAAAGAGGGTTGCCTCGTCCCCAGGGAAGCCGGATGCCAAGTGCCCAGCCTGAGCCAGATTGTAAACCTGCCCTTTTGCGTCCCGGCACTCGAGGGGCAGCTCGACGTAGGAGTAGAGGTTAGTGTCGTCCACGCAGCTCCGCGATAGGTAGGGGCGATACTCCATTTGTGCCTTTGCTCCACGCCGAGAGAACAGGAAGTAGACGTAGCCCCCAGCGGCAAAGGCCGCCACGTAGCTGTTGTTGTAGTCCGAGAAGTCCCCCACCACCAGCTTGCCCATCCCTTCGTTGGAGAACGCCTGGGGTCCTTCCAGCTGCCGGATCGTGAATGGTGGGATGCCCCCGGAGAGCTTTGCGGTTAGCCCACGACCCACAAAGAGCAGGTCACGGCCATCGTGTTGCCCCACCAAGCCCACGGTCGAAACCCGCGGCTCGTTGGCTGCCACAAACTGGTTGTCACCAGGATCCTCGGGACGGTATAGCACTTTGTTGATGTCTGCTAGGGCTCTCTTCTCGCACACTCCCTGGAAGAGCTGCCCACAGACCACCAGCTCCCCAGCCCGCTCATTGGCCAACAGCAGCTTGTTGGAATTGTCCGTGAGCCGGGCCTGGGGGCAGTCGCGTGCGTCGCGGAAAGGAAGACACTCGGGGCTGTCTTGCGCGGGCCCCGTTCGCACACGCCCTGCCAGCCTCAGCTCAGGGCTCAGCTGGTACAAGGCATTGACAGCACCCACATACAGTGCCCCTGTGTCCCGGGCTCGGGCCAGGTGGTTGAAAGTCGTGTTGGGGGCCAAGAAGGATGGGTAGGAAGGGGGCCGAGCAGCTGGGTATGACGGCAGGAGGAGTGTCAGGGCAACCACCGAGGGCAGCAGCAAGTGGCCTAGGAACATGGCCAAATCCTGGACAGAAGGAGAAAGAGAAGGCATGATTAGCACTCAGAGACACAGCAGGCAGCCTCTTTCGTGTGGAAACTCCAGGCTCAAAGGAGTCATTTAATTTACTTATTCAAATAAGTCTCGTGACTCATTAGCCGCTCTCATGCAGCACAGAACTGTGGCATAGCATGCTGTGTGGGAATCACCAAGCTGGAGATAATAGTCTGGTTTCTGCACCAGATCTTTTTCCTTGGATAGGATCTGTACCACATTCCAAGGGGAGCTGCTGATCAAGGCTCCGCTGCTGGATTTTGACACAGAGAAGTGAAGTGCACCCATCAACATTCGGCAAAAAGTCTGGGCAGACACTCTCTCCTTACTGCTCCCCAGGGCTAGTAAAACCAGACTAACTTGTGCAAAACAGATGCGATGCCAATTTGATGATGTTTTGTCTGGTTTCTCTTGTCAGGGTGGGTTAATGAGGAGGCAAAAGAAGATCTCTTTCCACTCCACCAATTATACACTTACAAGTGAAGTTGGAATCCTGATCACCATTTGTGAATACAAGATAGGGACTGTCTAGACTGGTCTGTAGTAAAGAGGTGCAATCTTGCATCCTCCGTGCACCACACTTTTAAGGCAGCACCAAGAACCCAGGAGCCGAGGCGTAGGAAGGTCAGGTGGTACCTGGTGCAGAAATTTCTTGTCACTCACTCCCCCCTCCCCACATTGATTCTTCTTTTTTTTGCCTGCAAAAATGCTTTTACATTATTTCATATTTTCTTACAAAGGAATGTGGATTCTGAGCCTCTGATAACAAGTAGGCGACTATGGACAGATACTTAAATCTACAGGATGGATTGTGTTTTGGCTTGTGTTATTTTATTTATATTTATTGTTTATTTATTTAATAAAATTTATTTTTAAAAACCTGCAAAGTGGTTTACCGAAACAAAAAACACCACAGCAGTAAAATCAAGAAAGATTAACAATCCTACTTTAAAACATACAAAAGCTAAAATATTAAGATTAAAATTACTTCAACTTTCCAAGCATCTAGTTATGCTTGCCTAAAGAAGAATGCTTTTAGCAGGTGCCCAAAAAGAGTCTAGCAAAGGCATGTGCTTTGTTGAAATTTCAGCCTTCACGACATAGGAAAAAGGCCACGTAAACAGATGTTTTCGTGGAGGAGGGTCAAGATATTAACTGATATGCATGAAATTTCATATGTAGCTATATAATCCCCAGTGTAGTAGGATCAGACATTTGGAGCAGGCATTTTAAAAAAAAGTTTTTTATGAACCGCCCTCGTAGGGCAGTAATTGTTCCCTGATAATTTGTCACTCCCCCCCCCCATGATGGCACCTGGGGCGGTCCGTCCCCACCCCGCCCCCTTTCCTACGCCCCTGCCCAGGAGTCCTGGCACACTTCTTCTACCTCCCTGACTTAGGATGCCTCTCAATGTCCAGTTTCAGTGCCCCTTTTCCCCAAGTGGTGCTCAGTTCCGCACATTATTCCTCTCCCCCGCTCTGCCCACCACAATGGATGCTGCAGAATGGTGACTCAAGTTCCTCCTTCCCACAGTGAGCCCAGGATCCCACACTTTGCCCTTTCAGACCCAAGACATTTTGCTGCCTGAAGCAGCCCGAATTCTCCCTCCCCTCCCGAAGGCCACTACTTTAAAGAGTTGAGCGCATCATTCAGACGCCAGCTCCTGCCTTCATTTGTCTCCCCACATGGTGCTGCAAGAAGCCGCTCAAATTACCCCCAAGAGGAAGTGGAAGGAGTGGAGGGCGGATCCAGTCCGCTTTCACCTTGGAAATGAGTGTCCTCCTCCTCCTTTCCAACACCAACTAGGATTTAGCAGCCCAGGGAAGGCGATTAAGCCACATCCCATCGGAATTAATCCCCTCCCTCAAGCAAGGTCACAGCTCAGACAGCAACACAGGCAGGAGACAGTGGCCAATGGGGGCATGAACAGCGCAAGGATGCTCTCGGCTTCATCACTGCCCAGCCCCTCACTCTGGCCTTTGCTTCTATTTGCCATTCTTTAAATGGCCTGCAAAGGCAATGCCTACAAAAACATTCAAGACACTCAAGGCACAATGCGTGCTCACAAGTGCAGGAAGAGGAGAGACAGAAATGGGACTACTTTTTAATTAATAGGTTGTTGTGGTTGGTTGTTGTGGTTTGTTTGTTTGTTTGTTTGTTTGTTTTTAAAAAAGCAATAATACACTGATAGGGAGACGAGTGGGATATTCTACAGGTTTAGCAATCTCAGTTTGGAGCCAAGGCAGGAAAAAGAGAGCGCCAGTGAAAAAGAGTGTGAACTGGCAAGCCAATCTGCATGTTAGCACAGGAAGCAAACGAGTGTGCAAAGAATGTAATTCAAAACAAGGAAACTGCATAGCCTCCTCTTCACACGTACACCCCCTCGCAGGCCCCAGACAGATGCCATCAGGAAGATGGCACCTAAGGGGGGGTGTGGACCTCTCCCCCTTCTGCTCTGCTCCAATTCCCCTGACCCAGCTGTTGCCTAAACACACAGATGTGAAGGTGCTTTGTCCCACTCCCTCTTCTCCAGTGGAATTCCCAACCCAGCAAAGCACACACAAACACCACCCTTCCATATTATCTCATTGCCCAGCACATGGGCCCATCTGCCTGCTGGAGGAGGGGAGGGTGCAGAACCTAGATATTCAACATCCTGGCTGGAAACCAAACCTTCTGTCTCATCCCTCCATCTCCCCCTACGCCCAGTCTCAGGTGGGGGTGGGCAGGCAGGAAGCACAGAGACGAGAGCTTACAGTAACCCCCACCCCTTCCCTCCTGGCAACAGCTGGAAGGGAGCAGAGGCAGCGCATGTAGCAACACCACCACCAACACACAAACAAAATCCCTGGGGAAGGTGAGAGAGAGACACACAGGCAGACAATGGCACAGGGGTGGGGCTGCAAAGGAGACAAAAGGAACCACACACACACACACTTTCAGGAATCCTGGTCCACGTTTCTTAGCATGGAATAGCAACCCAAGTCTGTCATCAAAGCATATCACAGGGTAGTATCAGAAATGTGTCACACACCAAACTAAGGTTTTCCAGCACTTGCTTCAGCTCATGACATGCGCACACATGCACATCCACTCTGCCCAGGAACTATGATACTCCAGCACAGTTGCGCCTCCCCTGTTAAATCCCATTTTCCTCCTCTGCAATTCCCCTTCCTACACTTCCAAGGCTTACCGTTTGGCTGCGCTGGGGGCATTTCAGCTCCCACATGGTGGCGTCGAGCAGGAGGACTCAGCAGGCATCCCTATGGGTGGAAGAATGAGATAAGACAGCGGGTGAGTTGACATGGGTGCCGGGGGACGGAGATGGGGAGAGGTTAGATGGCAATTCAAGGCTGCATCAATGGCTGCTGTGATAACCTTCCCCAATCAAAGCCCCCACTGTTCCCATCTCGGCTGTGCCATCACAGAGCCACACGGGGGCTAAAGGGGCCCATTATCCCCTAGAAACAGAGCTCTCACAACTTATACACATAGCACTGGCACCCCAGAGAGAATGAAACAGGGCAGAGGGGAGAGGGGCTGTGGGTGCAAAATGAAGGGCATTGCCAGAGACAGGAGAAGGCAGCTATTGCAGGCTGGGGGGTGGGGTCCTGAGATTGCAAGAGACGGACAGGTCGGGCTTGTGTCTGGCCCTTGGGTGGGGAACAGAGGAATCCCTTGTGATTTGTTTGCATGGAGTTATTGATTAATTGGAAGGGGAAGGGAGAGGGGGATGGCTGTGCCTGGTTTGCTGGGACCTGAGGGGGCCCTTTTTAATTTTGGGGTGGGGACAGGTCATAAAGCAGCACAAGGCTGACCCAAACCATTTAAACGAAAAGCTTAAGAAAGGCAAAACCAGTCAAGGAATATTGTCTGATAAACTCATTCCCAAACCTTTCTGATCATTTTGCTACAGGGCTTCCTAATGCCTGAGGAAGGAGGTGGGAGAAGTCAGTTAACACCCCCTAATTAACATGGGGGCCTAATCAACTGGGAAGGTCTCCTGCACACAAGACTGACCAAAGTTGTTCATTTCAGCAGAGCTGGTGCAAAACTTCTCAAGGGGGATTGAGTCCCACAGATCAGGACTTTGCCTGTCTCCCATTCTCCTGCCCAAAATCTGCTGCTGGAGGCAGCTGCCACCATGAGGCACCTGGCAGAAGCCTTAATGTGTAGTTTTGGTGCTATGAGCTTAGAATCCAGCTCAGTCAGGTCCAGCCCCTCCCCTGGCTTTCCCAAGCAATTATTGTGCCCCCACCATGCTATAGCATAATAGCAATTCCATTAGAGCCTCATTGAATCATCGATCCCCCTTTGCCGGCTCCAGCTGGAGCTGCAGAATCGGGGACATTTGGCCTGAGCGGGGAGGGGCAGGACATTCCCCACAAGGGAGTGGGTGCAAGATTAAGGTTACGGCCAGCAGGGGGTGGGTGGGGAGAAGCAGCAGAAGGGGAAGGACAGGGAACAAGAGAGAGAGAAAAAGTGTACAGAAAGTACAAACAGCCAAGGTGTCAGGAGTGTGTTGCTTCCACTAGGCCTTCCCCAGGTACCTAGGCCCCGTCACAATGGGTCCTGATTATTCTGTTCCCCTGCAGAGTTTGGTTTGGGGCAGCACAACACACTCTTGCTCTGGGCTCAGGCCTGCCCCACCCTTGGTGCTTTTGCCACTCCCCACAATGCCACCTCCTGTGGCGCCCTGGAGTCAGCAGAGGCCTCGGCTGAGAAGGTGTCGGGGTCAGCAAGAAGCTGCAGTTCCCTGGCGAGCGCCCAGCGCAGCCGCCCCCACAGCGGGAAGCAGGCGTGGGGAGAGCCATGCCAGTCCAGGGGCTGCTGAATGCCCCCTTTGTCTGGCTCGGGGTAGGGGGGCAGGAACAGAGCCACCCCTGATAACAGTCCAGGGGATAATGAGAGACTCTGGCGCAGGGAGTTCAGAACCAGCGTGTTTAACCCTACAAGTGCCAAAGCCCACCAGAAAAGTGGGGAAAGGAGGGGGAAATTGCAGGTACAATAACCTGACATCTCTCCCTCTGTGCCAACACCCCCCCCCCCCGCCTGCATGCACACCATGCATTTAAAGCACACCCTGCCTGAGCAATCCTGGGAGGTGTAACTTGCCCATCTCAGAACTACAATTCCTAGTATCCTTAACAAACTACAGTTCCCAGGATTGTCTGGGGGCAGTGTGTGCTTTAAATGCATGGTGTATAACCAGCCACACACTTATGCGCAGGCATGGCGGGTAAGACTCCTATGGACACAGACAGTGGCGTGGGAGGAAATCAATGGGGCTTTTGAGTGCCTCCCAGGGTAACAAGCTCTGGGGCAGCAAAGCGCGCGGAAGGCTGAAAGAGGGCGTCAAAGCAAGTCAGAGCGTGAAGGGGAAAAAAGACAAGAGGAGAAAATGTGGGGCAGACGTGAAGGGACCACAGCCAAGAGGGGGGGGCTGGGACCTCGTCATGAACCTCTCTTCGTTTCCTCAACGCTGAGGCTTCAGATGCACACCCTTCTCACTAGCATTGCCCTACCAAGCACGGCAGCACATCATGTCCCCTCAGACGGACCTCAGCATATCTATTTTCCAGCAACAGGCACCTTCACACACACAAACACACCACTCACAATCGACCACCACCCTGCCCAGGGCCATCGGAGGTACCGTCCCCTGTGGATTTCTTCCTTATGCGGCCTCAGGCTCCCTGCGCACACCTGTTCCAGCGGGAAAGCAGGTTCTTCCTCCTCCTGGGAAGTGCCTGGCACTGCTGCCTTTCGCACAGGTTCCTACGCTGGGCAACACGCATTGCTGGTGCTGGTGCCCACAAGAGCAAACCGTGGGCGGCCTCAGTAATCCCTCACGCAGCAGCAGCAGCAAGTGGAGCTGGGAACCACAGCAGCCCCCCTCCGCTGGAGAAAAGGATCTAAAAACAACCACAGCCAAAGTGCCTGTGCAGCAAGTGTCAGCATGTGTGGCAGGTATATGGGTGAGGACCGAGAAGCGTCTACACACCCACACACCCACACCCCGGTCGCTGGGGTGGGTGGGGATAGAGGGGCCCGTAGCTGGGGTCTAGGAGGGGATCCCAGACTCGACCACAGCCATCCCAGTGCCCCCACATTCCCAAGTAGTACACATTATAAAGGAGAAGGAAAACAAGGGGAGGATAATCACTATGTTTGTTATATAATCCAGGCAAACATTAAGCACTATTTGCCAGTCTATGGTAAACCGTCCCATTAAAGGAAGACAGGCACTAATCCTTCCCCCACCCCCTGCTGTGTGAGGGGAGGAGGGGGAAGAGACAGACAACGACAGGATTAGAATCATGTGATTCTGAGTTCTTGGCAAATCCATTCCTCTCCCCAACCCAACCCTCTGGCCACTGCTTAACTGTGCACTGGCTGAAGTCTCTGGGGAGGAAGGTGGTCTTTCCCCACCTTCTGCCTCACCCCGATAAATACACACCACTTTAGAAAGATGAGACAAACCAAGAAACACCCATTGTGAGTTTAATAACTGTGTGACTGGCAGCAGTCAGGCCTGCTGGGACTTGCCCTGCAGTCGACAGCAAAGGGGGGAGGCAGGAGAGAGACAGACTCCCACCCTCACCTACACGTGGCAGCTTGCCCTGCAAACCTTCCCCTGAAGACTAACACCTTCACATCTGGTTTCTTTAAGCATTCCTCCCCTCACTCCTTTGTAACCCCAGCATCAGAAAAAAAGAGAGTTTCACATTTAACATATCCATTTGGCTGTCCTAGCTTCAAATCACAAGGAGGAGACAGAATCCCACCTTTGTGTGAGGGGAGAAAACAAGTCAGCATGGGACTGCTAGCAAGCCTACTCCATAAATTCAGCAAATGGTGGGGGGCGTGGTCCTTTCCCCCAGTTTGCTGATAGCTAGCCTACCACTTGCCTTTCCTTGTTCTATATCCTTAGGAGTATTCTACGTTTTAGGTTTTTAGGGGTGAGGTGGAGTTGGGGGCAAACACACTCAGAAATTATAACTTAAAATACTAATAATTATACATAGATACATATTGTTTGTGTGCCTTTCCTTGCTATGTATAATTATTAGTATTTTAAGTTATAATTTCTGTATGCAAATATCTGCTTAATTTAATAAAAAGGAATTTAGTGGGTTCAAAGAGAAATCAGCTTTCAGCACAGGTGGGATCACGTTAAGGTGGAAGGCTGGGGGACCCATTTATTTTGGGGCGAAGGCATCATTCCAACTAGTTTAATTTTACTTTACTGTACTTGCAAACCATGCAACCGTATTGCCTCTTTGTGCAAAATGAGAACACTTAGCCCCCCCACCACCACCGAAGCTCAGCTGCCTTATCCCAAGTCAGACCATTGGTCCATCAAGCTCAGTACTGTCTACACCAGGGGTGGGGCAGCTGTGGCCCTCCAGGTCTTGTGGGACTCCATTTCCCATCAGCCCCAGTCAGCACAGGCAATGGTCTGGTTTCCAATCTCTGGTCCCCCTGATGGGGAGCAGCTTTGCTCAGTTCCTGAGAGGAGTCTTTTGCAGCCCTACCTGGAGAAGATGAGAATTGAATCTGGAACCTTTGACAGGCCAGTATGTGCTCTGCCACTGAGCTACTGCTCATCCCCAAGGCACACCAACTCATCTCAGGCTGCATGTTACTTTCCAAGCTGCAATCATTCTTTCTTAATCTATCCTGAAATCATGGTGTTAAGTGCCCCTACTCTTGGCCAGCTCAGCTGCAGAACTTTTAAATGGGGAAAACTGAAAGAAAATCCATCGTATCTATCTGTGATGTGGACATGTGAAAAAGGAGCAGTGCTTGTTGCCTATTAAAAATACAACATGCAACATGGTGACAAAACGCAAGTCTGCCTGGAAACACCAATCTCTGATCTGCCAGCCCTTCCTCCTAATTCCCAGTGTGTGCGGTGTCTCTGCGGTTGCCCAGTGGTACGGAAAACGCACTCTGCACCTTCTCAGGGCCTGGCAATCTTCTTTTACTTTAAATATTCTGGCACTGAAAAGAGGTCAGAGCTGAGCTCTGGCACAAATCGAGCAGCCTTTCTGCAAATGAATGGGGCGTGCTCGCAGGGACGGGGAAACAGCCCCTACTAACTCTGGCATTTAGGGAGAGGCGAACGATGCCCTTCCCACCTGTCACCTCTTTGAAGCTACCGGAGAAGGTGTGATGCAAGCAGAAACAAACTATGGAAATCCACCCAGGCACGGAAAACAAGCCGCCTTTCCGATTGCGCATCTCCGCCAAAAACGCGCCACGCTGAAGCTGGTTCTCCGAAAGGCGAGCGGCTCCCCACCTCCGGGCTGCTGCCCCATGCAAGCCCCACACGGCCTCACCCCCGGCTCCCACTCCTTGCGCGGCTTCAGGCGGCGCGCCCAGACCCTCCGCCGACTCCCCAAGAGTCCCGGCCAAAAGCACCTGTTTCGCCGCCCGGCCTGGGAATCTCCCAGCGCGACAATTCGGGCAGAAGAACCATTGGCGGGCGGGCGGGCAAGGCAGGCAGGCAGGCACACAAAGCAGCCGGCTGGCGCAAGGGGCGCCGCTGGAGAAAGGGCTGTGCAGCCCACCCAGCCGCCCGAAACCCCCCGGCAACTCCCAGCCGCCGCTTCCCTCTTCCCAGCAGCGCCTCCGCTCGCAGAAGGGGCGGGGATCGGGACCCCGACGGGACAGGAATGGGAAAGTGCGGGGAGAAAGGGAGAGGTCGCCCCCGGGGGAGCGACGGAGAGGCAAGTTTCGCCCCGGCGCTGCGGGGAGGAGGAGGGTCCCCGCCCGGGGCGGCATCCCGGAGGGGCGAAGGGGAGCGGGAGAAAGGCGCCCGGAGAGGGGCGCCGGGGCAGCCGGTGGGGCTCCGCGGCAGGCAACGAGCCGCAACGGGGAGCAGGGAGAGGGGGGTGTCGCGCAGCCTCGGAGCCCGGCCGAGAGACCCTGCCGAGCGCGCCGCCCGTGCGCCTTACCTGGCCAGCCCGCGCCGAGAAGAACTTGCAGGCGGTCGCCGCTGCCACCCAGAGCCGCTCCCGGCGGCGGCGGCGGCGGCGGCCACTCCCCACAATGCACCGCTGCCAACTCCGGAGCGGCTCCCTTTCTCCGAGCCGCTCGCGGCGCCCAGCCTGCCCGCCCCTTCCCAAAGCCCCGCGGCGGCGGGCCAGAGCCGAGGCCCGCAGGCGCCCCCTGCCGCCCCGAGGCGGCCGCCGCTGGAGAAGCCGGGCGCGCCTCCTTCCTTCCTTCCTTCTTCCCCGCGCGCAGGAGTGGCTCTGGCGAGCAAGGCGAGCCTGCCAGAAAGCGGAGAGAGAGGGGCAAGCGGGGCCCGGCGCCCACGAGGCGGACGGGGCAGCTGCCTCGGGCGGCAGAAGCCAAGGGGCGGCTCCCACTTTGCTGCCCCCAGAGAAGAGGTTTCTGGGTTCCTGCGAGATCTCTCTGAAGAGTCCTGCAAGACATAGGCTCCAACTCCTAGGGGCCGAGGGGTCTTTGGGCCCCCAATAAAACATTTAGGGGGCCGGGCCCTCCACAGTTGATGGGCATTGCCATTCAAAGAGTGTGTGCGCACAACTCGTGTGATCAGTTATGCCCCTCCAGTTTTTAATTTATTCATTTAATTCATGCTTTTGCAGTAAATTGGCACATCCATTTCACAATATTCTTCATTATCCTTCTACATGGTTTGGCTTCCCCACACCTCCCGCCGTGGGTTCTGTTTTACTCTTGGCTGTGCTACATATCTTCCTACAGGGCCCCTCCAATATTTTATTCACGTTGGCACCCCTGCTGTGAGAGCCCCACAAAATTGCATGGAGGCCTCTGGGAGATCTTGTAGGGTTTTCTCTGGACTCTGATAAGCAAGGCTTTGGTGATGGTGTCCACAAGTGCATAGCTGTCAACTTTTCCCTTTTCCTGCAAGGAATCTTATTCGGAATAAGGGAATTTCTCTTTAAAAAAGGGAAACGTTGACAGCTATGCACAAGTGTGGGGTGGCACGTGGCACTTTCCTCTTTGGCCTCAGGCAGTGAAATGGGACAGACTGCCCCAGTGCCAAAGGCAGGATCCTAGGAGAGAGGGTCGCCCCCAGCTAGTGATTTGGACTGGATGGAGATGGCGGTGGACAGGGAGGCGAGTGCTTAAATAGTGACATCTTGACACGGGATGGGGTTGGCACTGTGCAAAGGCAGCCAAATGCTCCCATCATATCACCAAGAACACCCATCTTCATGTCTGAACCAAAGAAATGCATTTGAGGCAGTACTGCAGTTCAGAATTCTGTCCTGACACATTATTTCAGTGATATGGTAAATTAAGATATAGCTACACCAGGCATATCTTTGGTTCACTAGCAATCACTTCATTTTTAAAACTTGGGGCAAGCAAGAGATGCGCCGGGTGTAGGAATGAATTTTCAGTGCAGGGTAAAGGAAGGTTAATCCCCTGTGTTGTGGGGCCACAGGGCAGATCGAGTGCCCCAGCCCCATTGCTGATTTTTGAAAAATGAAGACACGTGGTCAGCACTAAGCATAGGGTTTGATAACACGCTTGAAGTCCTGCCTGCTCTGAGCACAAGGACAGCAAGGTTCAAAACAAAAAGTGGTGTTTCTCACACAAAAAAGAGGAATTGAGACAATATAAGCATTTCACCCACAACAGAAAACGTTTACTAACTATTTTGCCTATATGTCAGCTTTACTGTCATCTATCCAATATGCTGTACTCAGCACCTAAATTATGGAAACTCCCCTGTATCTGTTAAAGAAAGTTCCCTGCTTTCAGTGATAGGCTGGGGGTGAGCCACATGTGATGCAGAAGATCAGTGACTGGATAACCAGACTTGTTATAACTTTAAAACAGTTGCAGAAAGAATTCTGAATGTGGAATTTCCCCCAATGACAGTCTACTGCAGTTTGTCTCTAACCAGAAAAATGCAACATGACCCATAAGGAATTGTGTGTTGCTTGATAATCAGACCTGGACACACACACACAGTTGGACAGCCATGTGAAATCAGAATCCAGCTGATTGTGCTTGATCTGCAGCAGCTACTTTTTCATCCCTTGCCACATGCAGACACCCTCCATAGGGATTAAGCGACCTGGCTACAAAGCACAGAGACAGTGAAGTATGCAAGAAAAGGTTGGAAATTGGATTGACTGAGAAGGTGAAGTCCCTCCCTGCATTAAAATTTACTGTTCAGTTCACTGGACTGTGCTTAGTAAAAAAAAATGCCTGAAATGTTGTTTTCAAGCATTAAACTAATCTCCAGACGCCAGAGAAAGGACCACTAGAGTAGAGGAATGCACACATCGCCACATCCTTATCAAGCCTAGAGAAAAACTGATCTATTGGGATTGGCAAATACTTGGACAAGAGCTTTGTGGACATTTTCCTGCTGGCTCAGCCTGAGGAAAGCACAAACCGTTTTATTTCTTTGGTAAATAAAACAAAAATAATAGTTGACACTGCTGGGGCAAACGTCAGATCCCTCACACAGGTTAGAACCCCTCTGCATTTCTGTCATTGGCCACTTCTACTTTGGTTAGATTAGAAATCAACCATGTGACTGACTAGAAGCCACTCTCAACATACCTTCTAGTGCTTAATGCATTTCTAACAAGTCTAGTCTAGTCTGGTGAGGAGGACAACACTGAGAACGAGCCAAGCATAGTGCTTGATTAGTGTGCACAGCGGTGTTTTATGCACTGTTATAACATAAAGGCCTTTGATCAGCTTTTATAATGGCGCAGATGCATCTTGGGAACATCCTCTCATGGGTGTTATTGTACTACTTGCAGGACCGGCCCACCCATGAAGCAGTCCGAGGTAGCTGCCTCAGGTGGCAGAATCCCAAGGGACGGCACCCCATGTGTGGCCCCCCTCCACTGGAGAAGCGATGGAGGCTTCCAGTGAGATCTTGCTGCTGCCACTGCTTCTCCCGTGGTCGGTGGGTGGGTGGGTGCCCTCCCCGCTGCCCACCATCACTGCTGCTACAGATTCATCTGTGGCTTCCAGGTTCTGACAATATCTGATGGGACCTTATGTAATATCTCACCAGACCCCAGAAGTCGTAGCTGTGCAACCCGATAAATGAGGTTTCAGCAATGGAGTGGTGGCACAATTCCGTCTCACCTTAGGGAGCGAAACAAGTTTGGCCTGTTTGTGGTGTGGGGACTTCCCTTTCTACTCTTCTCCTGTGTGCTCCCCAAAATCTGCACCAGAGCATCCACTGACCCTCTGGAGCAGATTTGGAGGGTGTGAGAGGTGCTACGGAGGAGGACGGAGTTCTGTTACACAAGTGGGAAACCTGCTGCATGAGCAGGCCTAAACTATTGCCCTAAATCCATAGTTGCTCTCCAGGTGTTATTGGACCAGAGCTCCCATCATCCCTGACTATAGGCTGGGGCTAATGGCAAGTGGAGTTCCATTACAACATCTGGAGTACCACAGGTTTCCCTTTCTCAGCCTAAAGCCGACTCAGACTACCAAACAAGCTCAAGCAAGCCCATTGATAGACCCAGCTCTATGATGGGTTTAGGCTCTTGATTCTTACACAGGAGAACCTCTTGGTGGACTGTAGTGTTATTTGACAAACAGTTGTCCATGTTTATGACTGATGTCAGTTTTAAGGCCGCAATCTTTTAACAATTTAAAACATGCCCTGTTGAGTATAAATGATTAAGCCCTGAATGTGACTATTCATATGAGACAATGACACAGATTTTCAAATCAATGAGGCTAGAGCACTTGGTTATGAAACAGTTTGGGCTACATCCAAGCACTCCAACTGAACTAGTTTATGGATTAGGTGGAGACACCATTTACCCCATGCTCACTTGTTTTTCATAAACAAACAGACAAACAAACAAATCAATTGTGTGTCAATGCAACTGCAAGCCATGGAATCTATGAACGTCCTTTACCAGTTCAAAGACAGGGTCCTGAAGAATTGCACTTAAAACAATCAAATACCAGCATGTTCTCACTCACCCTGGGGAAGAAGGTTAGGAAGAAGCCTTCTGGATTTTCAGGTAACGGTGGATCTGCAATGTAATCAGAATTGAAGCAACAGGAAAAATCAGCAAGTTCAATGGGAATTAATGCTTCTTGCATGCAGATATGTACATGCATTATAGCTATCAAAACATAATGCATAAATATATAAATGTAAAACAAAGCAGTTTATGTGCATACTAATTATAGATGATGGGATCGGGGGCGGGGGGGAATCCAGCAGACAAGTTGGCACTGGGGTAGCAGCCTTGTTTACCTGCTATGTTGCTGACCAGGGAATTCTTAAGCAAGATCTTTGCGTGTTGCTTCCTGCTAGTGCTGGGCAAGTCTTCTGGCACACGCTGCTGAACTCTGGGCTTGTCCTATCCATTCCCAGGACCAGCCCTACCATTAGACAGAGTGATGCAGCCACAAAGGGCTGGGGGACAGATCTGCCCAGCCTGCTGCTCTCAGCTGCACTGGAGGGAGGATTCTGTTAGTTGCCAGTCCCATCAGCATTGGCATAGGGAATGGTGTGGGTTGCTATCTCAGAATGAAATGGGAGGGTGGGGAGTCAGTCTTGACCATCCCAAGCATTAGAGGGAGCTCATGAAGCCCCACAGAAAGGGTCATGAGTGATTCTATGAGCAGGACTAGGGTGGCTGCTTATGCTCTGCTAAAAATGCATCACCAACAAGAAGACGACAAACTAAGTCCTTGATCTGTATAATATTCACATCTGCTAATATATATGCAGGGTGCCAGGGTTGCCATGTGTCTTCTTTTTCCAGGACACACCTTCTTTTTCAGGGGTAAACTGTGAGACAAATTGTATTCATTTGCTTTGAATGGCCTTCATAGTGTCCTCTTTTTTTCTCTTCAAAATATGGCAACCCTAAGAGTGGCCATGTATCCTATTTTGCGGAGGATGTACTCTATTCTGGAGGGCGGCTCCAGAGGACAGTCCTCTCTTTGAAGGTGTCCTCTCTTTTGAGGGCTGCCCAAGCCAAGTCAGCTGTAAATATAAGGAGCCAGATGAAGGGGCCTTGGAGCTGCCCATCAGCAACTGCGACACCTGGTCAGCAGAGTGAGCAGGTGCACAAGCCACCTGCTGTCTTCC